GTAACTGTTTAAAATTCCTATTTCCGTTCTTCTGACTACCTCCAGATTCTTTCTAAACTGAGTATCAAATGACCCGACGTGGGAGATTTTAAAGTCCTGAAACATGACACTCCCTAAAAATTCTGCCGTGAAAACCAATTCCAGACCCGCAATAAGCGCAAACGTCTCGGCCAACATCGCCGCCCCGCAGGGGTTTTTCTCATGCTGGAACAGAGGCGCCTTGCTGGTTCTCATGGCAACTGTCTGCATGGAGGTGATGGCTGACTGTGATTTATTATAAGAGAACACTTATATACACAAAAGTATAGAATATTTGTGAGTTGTTTAGGTTGTTAAGATGTGTCCTGAACGTAGTGAAAGCGCTCCGCTGAAGGAGACACTCCCCTCACCCCCCCGCTAATTGGGTTGAAGTGGGGCACCGCCTCTCCACTTACTGCGCAGGGGAACATAGCGGAGCATTATCCCTGGAGTCATCCCACCCCGCTGCTCTCACGCTGCCACGGGCTCATCGAACACAAAGACAGGTCGAACAGCGTCCAATGATTCAGCAACATCCCAATGTGACCGACACGCATAGCATATGTGTGCATTTGGTCATGCTCGCAGTGGATGGGAGGTGATGGGAGTGTGTCTGCTCTCTCTTCACCATCTGCTCCCTCTGACTTCCTCGCTGCTTTATATAACTCTGTGCTCTCATTTCTCACTGTCTAACATCTGTCACCCCCAACATCCCCTTTCCCATGAGCCCATGTAGCAGATTTTGCATGATGGACTTATATATATTTTTGTCTTCTGGATGGATTTACAGTTGGTTTACATTTATAACTACTGGTCATGTGTACAGTCGGTACCTGAGTATGTTTAGTTTCTGGGCTGTTGTGACAAAACAAGACAGTTGAAGACGTCCCCTTGGACTATTATTATTATTAACTATTATTTAAGGAAGAAAAAGGCCAAAATAACATTGTTAAATTGGTTTTACTTTAACAATCAATGTATTTATTTGAACATTTCAGAGCTTATACTATTAGCAGATGAATTTTGATTAATCAATAGACGGAAAACAAAAAAGAGAGGCGTCACAAGGCAGACACCATAATTTGGTTTCAGATTTTTTTTTCTCTATCTTCGGCCAAACTGAAAATCTTTTGGATTTCACACAAAACAGGGCAGTTGAAGTTCATGTAATAATCGAGATAATAGGATGACTTGACGATGAACGTAATCATCGGTTGCAGGAGTAATTGTCTCAAGCTGTACTGACTGATTTGTACACAGTCATAGTGATTATATTAATGGATGAGTACCGACACGCATGCGCATTGCTTTCTGAAGAGGTGCATGCATTCAGGTGGGCATCTTCAACTGCTAAAATCCTCCTGCAGCATTGTTGTTGTTCGTGTTATTGTATCATGCCTGGTGTGGTCAGGGAAGGGGGGGGGGGGGGGCGGACCACCCAGCTCCCCTCGGCTGTGGGATGACGGGATATCTGACCCTTGCGCATTTTGTCTCCGAGTCCACCTGCTCCAGTCTCAGGACTTTCCACCTCAGAGCTCACAGCAGGTGTGACCTCCATGACCCTAACCCAAACCACCCCCCCCAAATCAGATGTTATTAATTAGTAACTGACACGAGGGCGCAGATAACGGCCAGTAGGTCGACTCACCCTGCACAGTGCACACACATCCCCATGCCAGCCGCTGCAGCAAAAGTGCAGTTGTGTGTGGCTGCGTGTTGGGTGTCCGCCCTTTGCTCCGTCCCATGTGTCCCGCTCTGCTTTTTCTCCCCCATCTGCAGTTGGACCGTGTAGGAGCTGCCCTCTAGTGGCTGCTACTCCGAGCGCTGCCAAACAGCCCGATAGATCCCGTGCAACTGATATTTACTGGAGATTAATGTTCAAATTAACCTGCTTAAAACCGCCGCGCCGCTTTTTTCTCCCCCGTAATCCTGATTACTGATTTGTCTAGACGGTTGGATGGACTCCATCGCTGTGCACCAGTGGGTCAAAATCCAATTCCTTCCCTTAGGTTTTTCATTCTTTTGATCAAATAATTTCAGATTTTTAACAGGTCTGACTTTATTAAGCATTAATTGTTATATTTTTCAAAACCGTAATGATGCACAGCCATGGACCTTGCAGTACAATGTTGTTACTTAGTACCCTTAGTTACAGGTCCAGAGTGTGTATGAGCCATAAACAGTTCAACCAAAGTGTCTTCTCCTTGTCTAGTTGTATGATGTTAAATATATATATATATGTATATACAGGTATAGAATGATAGAATTGTCTAGTACACTATACAAAAAAATAACTTTTTGTAGAAAGGATTCTGTGGGAAGTATGTTTGCATGTATGATTCACAACAAATTTATCCCATGAACCCTTTTGGGGGTTGGAAACCGTCGCGGTGCATCATGCATATTTCTATGGTTCTTCTTTTTTTGTCGTTCGTGGCAACAACCCGATCTTGAGGGCGGGATTCATGCTCCGACCTCAGAAAGCTTCTCCTAAATAATCTTTCAAAAGTCCAGATTCCTTCGGCTAATCCTCGGCGCCGCTCTGACCCCTCTCCGTGCATCTTCTGAACTGCTGCAGCCCGTGTTTAGAGAACCCCCCCCCCCACATGGTTGTGTCTGCGGCCCGGTTTGTTTGTGACACGCCAACCGACGGCTCACTGCCCGTCTTCTCTTCTCTTTCCTGCGTGCTTCCTGTCATGCCTCATTTTCATCCTCCCCCTCGCACCTACTGTGTCGGCAAAGAAGTTTTGTCTTGTGAGGCACTCACAGGGGGAGGGGGGGAGCGTCTTTTGTGCTAACCCTGCAGGCCCAGAGTTACGTTATCAGTGTGAGACGGGGATTAAAACATATCCCCAAATTAATCTGTCCGTGGCACGGACGACCCACGTTTTGCTGCAGGCATCCCCCCCCCCCCCCCCCCACCTTTTCTCTTTTCCACAGACGTGTTTATCAGAGAGCAGAACGGTCAGATTAGCAGCACGCAACGGGCCGTTTTAGATTTTTTTTTTCCAACCTCAAGAGCTTGAGAGCCGCCGGGTCACTAACTGTTGTTGTGAAGATAACTCAGCGCTGCTTCAGATACGTGTCAGATATTAAACCCCCTGCCGGGCCGTCCGCTGGCGGCACACTGGCGATCTGTGATTCCCTCACACACGTGTGTCGGTTAATATGACCCCCCCTCACCCCCCCTGCCCCATTCTCAAACCCAGAGAGAGGAGAGTAACCTCCCACCGCCACAGCCCTCTGACTTTATGAGGCACCCTAATTACATAGTCTGGTATATTTATACTCAGTGTATGACTCAATAGCACACATGTGGCATCTGTGCGTGCCTGTGTGCGTGTATTTGTGAAAGTGTACTTCTTCAGGGATGGAGTGGAGTGTTGTTCCAGCAAAATGTGTGTGTCTGCGCTCACTGAAAAAGTTGGTCCGGTTCTTGGAGTTCTCTTCGATGGAAAGTCTGTGATGAACTTGGGGGGCATTAAGTTTAAATGACGCGGTTGTTTACCAGGCAAGTTGCATTATGGGAAGTGTAGGATTGATCCGGTGTTTTCCGACATGGTTGGCCAACATGTTGTATGAAGTAGTTATATGTCTTGTGCGCTGCTCCATTGACTTCACCACGTTTCTCTCAATTCACCGCCTCATCAACCATAACGAACCACGCGAGCCTGCGGTGCGCGTGCTCGTCCACGGGGTACGGGCGGCCCTCTCTCCGGTCGAGTCCTAACTTGTCCCGCCGTGCGGCAGGTGAAACCTGTCTAACCTCGTTGGTAGCGGACGTGCGGCGCGTTGGCAGCGATGCGCGTTGGAGGGGAAAGTCAGTCGTCTGAAACAACATGGTCACCTGTCTGCCGCGCTCTCTCTCGCACGGATTCTGGACACCTGACTGTTTGGTGAGAACTCTGCCGGGTGGGCGAGGTCACTTTTCTGACTGATTTAGTGGTGTGGTGTTTAGGTGTCACTCTGCTGTGTGTGTGTGTGTGCAGGAGTTTGATGAAGAGGTCATGTTGACATCAGGTAGCCTGTTTATTTTGAGAGCACTTCTTACCCTCATCTTCAGCTTTTTTCCATTTGCTCCTCTCACTACCATCTTTCCTCCTCTATTTTCCCCTGTTAAGCAAAAAAAAAGCGAGCGAGACACTGAACAGCAGCAAGGCAAATGTTTTCTTTTCCCTTTGTGCTGGAAATTGCCCTTTTTCTCTCTCTATTTTATTCTTTTCGGCCCCCCCTCTCCGGGGGAAGGGAGGGCGGGAGAGGCAGGACCGGCTTTTGTGGAGTTTAGCGCCTGGATCACAGCTTTGTCACTTGTGATTGTGTCGCTCTCGCACACTCTCACACACACACACACACACACACACATGCAGCACACGTGCGGGGCCCTAAAGCTTCGTCTGCAACAATCCAGTGGATTTAGCCGACAGGAGACATCTCCGTGTGGACCAACTTGGCCTCCGGCGTCTGTCCGGAGTTCTTGGATTAAGCTGCAGAGTTCCAGCTCACTGTACAGTGCAGTTGTTGGTTGGCTGACGACTGTCGGAGCGGCTCCCGCGGAGGGAGGGATTGTTTGGATACGGATTGAGTGATACAAACAAGGAAGAAAGAGACTTACTGAGTGAGGGATGAAATAGCCGACGGCTCCTGAGATAAAGACAGTTTTGGCTCCGGATGACGGTTGGATGAAGGCAGAGGGAGAGGGAGGGAGAGAGAGAGAGAGAGAGAGAGAGAGAGAGAGGGAGAGAGACCTCTGGGAGAGCGCTGTGTGTTTTGGGGGTGGACGGACACTAGCAGGGGGGGAAGCTGTCACCGTGTGTGTCTGTAGCCAAACCAGACCTACCTCCGATGCCGGCGCCTCACACACTGCTCCGTCTGCTGCCCAGGAGCCCGCCGGCCTGCTTTCCCTGGACTCAAACCCTCGGAGAGAGTTTTTTGGATGTGTGTGTGTGTGTGTGTGTGTGTGTGTGTGTGTGTGTGTGTGTGTGTGTGTGTGTGTGTGTGTGAGACTTTGAGAGCTGACTCCCGGAGGTCATGAGGCTGCGATGTTGAACTGTTGAGATTAACCTTTGTGACAGCGATGGAGTAGCTCCAGCAGACGGGTAGACTCTCGATTCAACAGTCAGGTTCCTTGTGTGTGTGTGTGTGCGTGCGTGCGTGTGTGTGTGTTTGTCTGAGCGGCCTATGTGGGCGCTGAGGGATGCGGATCTGAGAAAACCGCGCGCCGCGATGCCCGCCGCTATGCTCCCGTGCCCTTCGCCGGCGGGGCCCGACTGGAGCTTCCAGAACCCGGTGGGGGTCGACTGCAGCTCCCCCGAGCCTCGCTGCATCTGGCTGGCGGTGCTCCGCGGCGCCACGAGTTCAGTTCAGCGAGCCACGCCGCCCGCCATGCCCGCCGAGCACGGCCAGAAGCGTCTGCATCCCGGGGTAAGGAGAGGTCCTCCTCTAGGGGCCGTACGCGTCGCTCTGTCGCTGCAGCTGAAGGAAAACCGAAATACAATCTTTTAGTTGTTTTTTTTGTGGTGCCATCGCAGGGAAACGATTTTTCCGATTCATTCATTGTTTGGCTTTTTTTATTTCAGAAAATGTTCGCCAGTCATAGATCAGTGTGTCGACCGACTCATCGACTTAATGGTGCAATCGCACGTTGGACGGAAGGATAAAAGCTCCTCCTGCGCTTTGCTTACCCAGATTATCGGGGCATATTTCTGTGGCTCCTCAGAAGCACCGCGGCCCCTCGGTGAGCGCTGCGTGGGATGAAACGCCGCCCGCGTAACCGTTCCCACTGTTTAAAGCCCGTTAACCTCTCGGCTGGTGACCGTTTCTTTAACCTCCTCAGCGTGCGGACAGCTGCGTTGCCTTCAGGCTGCTTTTGTTTGCCGCTCACGGTGTCTTCGACACAATGTGGTGGCCCCTTTTTGTGTGGATGGATTAAGATTATTACTGTGTGTGCTCGTAGGGGGCCGTCTCTTTGAGCTGTCAACCACTTCTCACCTGGGATGGGATTGTGATAAAATAATCAAATGTTCATCATTAAAGGCGAGCAGCTACAAGTACAAAGAATTATTTGGCTATTTATATAAATGGTTATCATATTTTATTCAAGTGCATTTCCTCCTTTAGTAGATGTCGTTAAATGTCGGCATTTCCATGAAATATGATTAAACTTTTTTTTAGATTTCTCTACGCCACTTCTTTCTAGCTTTTCCAACAGCTGACGTGAGACCTTTTCGGCGTGATTCTGTCTGTGCGGCTCATCGGCCCTCGTTCCTGCCCAGTGCCACTTTTTGCGAGTTCTTGGGGGAAGCTGTGCGGTTGCGGACGCCATCCCCTCCCCCTCCCCCCCAAAATGGCCGAAGAATTTAGGGCATCTCTTCCGTGCATGTTCTCATTTCAGTGTCGGCATCTATGTGGAACATATACCCCCCCTTTTTTTTTTTTTTTTACAGTCCCCCCCCCCCCCGACCCCCGATGACACAGTGTCACAATGAGGAATGTGGGGGGAGGAGAGGCCGTATTAACACAGCTGGGACAAACACACAATGTACGCTGTTTTGTTTGAAGAGAGATGTGTGTGTGGTAGAGAGAGAAGTAATATAGGTCGACTTGTTTCATCTCAATGAGGTTGTGTACTGTTAACAAAAATCCATACATTCTCTGAATGGTCTTTTTTCGGGGCTGTTTCCCGTCCTTCATGGAGGAAAGCGTGAGGGATGAAAGTGCCACATTTAAAGTGGCATCTCCTCATCACGCACTGACTACATGCCACGTGCCTACCGAGCTACCAAAGTCCTCCTGTAAAACTAAACTAAGACAGCTGCTTCTCCTCCTGCTGGGCTCAGGATTCAAATCCACAGCGTATCAAACGGTGTGTGCGCTTAGACAAAAGATAAGATGTTTTTGCCCTTCAACTAGAACACCCTGTTTAACCGCCATTGCATCATCACCTGTTGGCCCAGTTGAGCCGGCAATGGGGTCAAACTGGTTTTTGAGCAAACATACTTTATTCATATTGACACGTAGGTGCTTACAAATATATACACACACACACACACTAAGTCTCACATGCACGGCTCATTTGCTTAAAAATGCTCGCCGCATGTCTTGATTCTGAATCCTCGGGGTGGAAAGGCCTTCACAGCGAGACACAGGATGCATCCTGCGGGGCCGGTCATGAAATCGGCATCGCTCTTCCCGTTCCCTCCTGGCAGCCCCGGCCCCGGGCTCGCTGCCGCAGACAGCCACGGCCAGCGGGATTAAAGGCTCGTCAGCGTTTGGAGCGTCCGTAAAGCTCCACTTTTCAAACCGGGTTGCAGCTCTCAGCTGTTTAGAAGAGCATTGTTGTTCTGCCCTGCTGGGGTTTTAGCAGGACCACCGGCTTCCTGATGGCCGCTGCATTCCTGCGTACTGCTTTGGAGTGTGTGTGTGTGTGTGTGTGTGTGTGTGGGTGTGTGTTGCTGACGACTATGGCCTGCAGCAACAATATCATCATGTCCTAGAAAAGCCTCTTTGCAAACGCAAAATCGAATTTACTGGATTTTCTGAAAGATTATCACCCGCAGTGTTTATTTTTAGCATTTGTTGTGATTTAGCAAAGCTGTTGGACTCCAGATTTTGGCCCAAGATTCCATGGATTTGCATTTCTAACCAAACCGGCGTGTTATCATCGTACCAGCAGGGCGTCCTCTGCCCTCCACTTATGTTATGTGTCGCCAGTCATGTTTAATTGAAATTAGGAAGGGATATAACCACAGGGAAGAGCTTTCTTCTGTGTGTGTGTGTGTGTGTGTGTGTGTGTGTGTGTGTGTGTGCGCGCACACTCCACTTTACACACCAAACACACACTCAAAGCAGGAAGCCGTCGCGTGGCGTTACAAGCTGCTCTGCATATTAAAATCCAATTGTTTCTCGGGGGCCGCTGTTTTTCTGTGTGTTTTGATGACATCATTGAGGTGCTAATTGGATCCCTCGCGGCTCTGCATAATCTGAAGAGCATTCGGAGTTCATTTTGTTATTGTAATTAGTTTCGAGAGGCGAGGACGTGTTTGGGGGGAAAAAAGGGTGCAAGGATGCATTAGGAGGATGAAATGTCAATAAGCAGAGCGAGGTTTCCCTTCTCTGTGCCCTGGGGCCGCATAGGAAGTCAGGTTTAGACTTAGAAACCGCAGGAAATTCTTTCCAAGTGCCTCGTTGGTTAAACTAAGTGCCTGGAGAGGCCAGACGGTGTCAGCAAGTTTCGGCCCTTTTTTTATATTTTTGCTTTTTGGATGAAAGCGGTAGAAGACCAACTGGTCGCGTCGAGGTGACGGATGCATGAGAGAGAGCTTTCTTCTGGCTTCAGTAGACTGAAGACTCGGGCAGAGCGGGCCAAAGCAGGGGTGGGGGGGTGGGTGGGCGCACATCCCACACGGTCCAGAGCAGCCGAGCGGGGAACCGTGCTGGCTCAGAGACCCGGTCAGAACCCGTGTGTTTTGGATAATCACAGGGTTTGGTATTCCCAGTGCCGGGAGGGGCAACGCGGTCGAAACCGACGTGCTGGAGCCTGTCCCTCGCTGGAGCCCGATACTCCTCCTCCTCCTCCTCCTCCTCTCATTCACTCTCTCTGCGCTCCCTCCCCTCCTGGGCCGATTACAGTGTGTGTGTGCTTCGACTTGTCAAAGCCAAACCGCTCCCACTGAGGAATTCTCGTGCTCCTTTTCACCCTGATGCTCTTTCATTTCCTCTTTTTCTTTTTTACTCTTTGTCTGTCCCTTTTGTCTGCATCATTTTTATTCGACGCCTCAAACATTCCTCCTTCCTCAAGCACTTCTTTATGCTGTGTTCTTGCCACAATAGGGGCCTCAATTCTCGCCTCTTTGAGAAAATAGCAGGGGTTGCTTTACGTTGTTTAGACTGCCAGACTAAGGAGCATGCTTTGTGTGTGGAAAGTATTTATATCTCTGATATATACACCTCATGGATATCTAAATATACTCTACATACGCTCTCTCTCTATGTACAGAGATATATACATCTGTGTATGTTTTAAGTTTGCAGGTACATGATGGAGTAAACTTTTCCATCACGTACAAATTTCCCGTTTGCATACAAACCATTCATCTAAATTGCATCTGTAAACTTAAGCCACATTTCAAAAATAAATGTAACGATCCAGCCATATTTTCCATGACTGTGATGTTTACAGTAGCGGAGATTAAAATATGCAGAGAGGACACAATAGCATGTGCTGATAGAGGAAGAGGAGGAACGTGCAAGGAGGGATGAAGAGGAGTGAACGAGTTGATTTTATAGTATAAAATCTGTAATCGGTTTTATTTATAAGAGCAGCCGCCCCACAACGCTATCAAGCCTCCTGCTTCCAGCCACTTCCTGTTGTGTGGCCGCATTACAGGCCTGTCAGGGCAAGTGTGTGTGTGTGTGTGTGTGTTTGTTATATATCAGTGTGTGTTTGTGTGTGTGTAAGCGCAGTAGGAAGTGGGGAATCGTGGGGTGCTCCTTTTGTTGCGGGTAGCAGCTCGTTGTCCAGACATATTCATTTTATCACGTTAAAAAACACACACACACACACACATTGACACACCTTCAACCGAATAGCAAAGACAAGTTTAGGTGTATAGCCGATAACGGCTGTTTGGTGCACCTAATGTGCTTTGTTAATTGTTGCCCCTCGAGCGCTCTGTTTGACTTTGGCTCAATATGAAAAACCACCAAACCGCACCTAGAGCGCCGTAAACGCAGCTAGCTGTCTGTCCATGTGCTCACGGAACCAGGCTGTGTAGGCATTCATTTGAGGTTTTTCCATATTTGTTGTTCATATTCTTTAACATTTCTTGGATGGTTAAAATCCAGTACGACTTGTATCAAACCCGTTTTCTTTTTAATTATCTTGCTAATTAATCACCTGTTATTCTAGTATAACAGGTGATTAATTAGCAAGATAATTAAAAAGAAAACGGGTCAGAATAATAATCAACAACAATTTCCCTGAGCACAAATGTTGTTATTTGGGTTGCTTTGTCCAGTCAGAAATATAAAACCCAAACATATTCAGTTTGCTATTAGAAGAATAACCAAATAAAGCAGTATGTTTCGGCCATTGTTTGATGGGTTGAGGTGACACATGGACGATTATAGCGTAAACAGCGGAACATTTTTGAAAATGCACCACGAGATCACTAAACCACAGACGGCTGGACTCCTCCTCCTCGCTCCCGCCTGTTTGGTCAGGTGATTGCGCTTGATTGACGGATGTGGGTCGTCGGGGCGGCATGAGGGTGATAGTTCTCACGTGTGTCTGTCAGCTGAGCGAGCCGCGCTTATTGACTCTGCTTCAGGAACGACATATCAAGCGAGCGGGAGTTCATATTCTCCCTGGAGCCTTTCCCTCTCTCTCTGTGTGATAAAACACATGTCGGAAACCGGGTTTGATGCCGTCTACGCGTGGCCCTGCTGGATAGCGGATGTGCTCATAGACCACGTTGTTCTGAGGCTGATCTGACTCTGAGCTTTGCCCGGGATTCCAAGAGGAAGTCGTCCCCCAGCAGTCGAGGGGGGATTTAACCCGTCTTGCCCTCTGGGGTCACCTCGTGCATCTTCAGGGAGAACTGCATTATTTCTCTAGTGTTACTGTGGTACTAATTATGAGAAAACACTGTAGATCAGCATTTAACAGGCAAACTAATACTACACCCATGTGCATACCTTTCTATATGTTCTGCATGTGTAATTGGAAACAGAGATCTACTTGAAAGTAATATTACTGTACATTCATTTATTTATTTTCCAACTTTTCTGTGTGTGTTAATTGTATTAACGAGATATTCCATGCGCTTTGGAGAACCAAACCTTCCATCGAATCACATCAAAAACACACACAAACTGTGCTGAATCTCTCTCTCTCTGTGTCCACAGGGTAAGGGGCGGAGGGATGGTCTCTCCTCAGCCGGCGACAACCCTCGGCCGCCGATGGCGACCCGGCCGGGAAGGGAGGGGGTCGGCGTGGGCTGGAAGGGTCCCCGGACGCTGGTCCTGCACAAGAACTCCCTGGGTTTCGGTTTCACGCTACGCCACTTTATCGTTTACCCTCCCGAGTCGGCGCTGCACACCAACCTCAAGGTGAGACCTGCGGGCCCGCGGCAGATTGGACTTTCAAGTTGTTGAGCGCTTTTGAATTATGTTAAATACACACAGTCTTAAGCCTCGTGTTTTTCTTCCTTCTCATTTAGCATCGTAAAGTTATTTTTTTTTTTAAACTTCCATGTTTATTTTTACGGCACACATGGTCTCCATTTCATCCCTGCTGGTATTTAAAAGGGTTTCACAGCCGATTTGAGCTCGGCGATAAAGCCAATCGTACTATAGTCGGGGGTCAGAGAGTTTGAGCTGATTTTAAAAGGATCTCGCAGACTGAGGGAGAAAGCGAGCACACTGAGCAAAACAAGCACGTGGCAGGCAGTTAAAAAAGCTACAAACAAGATTTCAAGACTAAATAACAACGCAACTCATTTATTATTAGTGGACACAACAAAATTTCCCATTTGGAGCTTCTCCATAACAAAGCAAACAGACAGAGTTCATCACTTCAAAGGCCTTGGTGGTTGTTTAGTCTCTGCTGAATTCAGGTTCGTCCTGATGTTTTTGGAAACGTCCTGTGTGAGTGAGCGGATATTCGGCTCTCTGAGGTGTGTGTGTGTGTGGGGGGGGGGGGGGCAGGCAAACGGCTCCAGATGTGAAATTGAGGGGAATACGGAGGCTGGGGTGAGCCAGCTGAAACAAGGCCTCTATTATTTTTCTACCACCCCACCATCCAGCAGCTGCCGACAGGAACACGGATTGAATGAGGCCTGTTGTCTTAGCCTGGTACCACTCCCTGGCAGTCAGGCCGTACCAGGCCGGCCTCGGACAAAGGGCCCACTGCTGGCCTTTGGCCTCGGTTCTGTCCTTGTCTCCTCTGCCTCCAGCGTCACATGGGGTTTTGGGACAATCGGACTCACAGAGCCGCCCGTTCTTATCCGGAGAGCCGCCGTGGAAGTCTCCCAAATGACCCCTCGCTGTGACCACTTAGAGGCAAACCGGGTGCATGACCCGATTCAGCGTTTATTTCTTTGGTGTCTGTCGGTCCTGAAAGTCTTTACGAGTCTTCAATTATATTATCCAGAACAAAGATCCTTCTACTGTGTGGTCCCAGCATGATTCATCTCCGTCTTTGAAAATAGATGTAATAAGTGGCGTTTTAAACTTTATAGGCTCTGCTTGATCTACTCAATGATTCTTCACTGTGGACAAGAACTTCTACAAATTGACTAATTGTATGCAAAACGTGTGCTTAGTAAGATGTGTTTTTTCTACGGCCCATATCAAAAATCACTCTCTCGCCAAATTACATATTTTGTTTTGTGAAATATGATCTGCTCAGCAAACAACATCAGCCCAGCTAATGAGCTATTTTCTATCTTGCAGCAAAATATCAATTTCGAGCAAAAATTGCAGTCATACAAAACTCAAATTGTCCTTCGATGGACCAGATGAAACAGTTAATTACTTTGACCGAGTTTAATAGTTGGATGGGTAGTTTTTCACAGATCCCTTTCAGCTGCTTCACACCTTACAGGTCCAGACCTGTAGGTACAGTGTTTCCCCGAGATGCCCAAACTCTTGTGACCATCCGTCACCGTCTCCACCTCTGTCCCGGATGCGTTCAGTCTGGAGCTGCCGAGTTGTCGAGTGTCCCCCGACTCGGAGCTCCATTCTGGGGTCGGCAGCTGTTCTTTCTCTGCCTCTAAACCCCCCGCCATTGTCTACAGGAGACAGGAATTAGCCCACTCAGCGCAGCATAAAGCCAGGCAGCAGTCAGCCCACCGTGCCCCTAACCCCAAACTGTCCACTCAGCTCAGTATACGTGTGTGTGTGTGTGTGTGTGTGTGAGTGTGGACGTCCTGCAGCTATCTAATCTCACCACCAGCTCTGTGTGTTTATGACCCATGACGTCATGACTACCTGCAGACGGTTCAACCTGAAAGTCTGTCCCTGTGTCAAAGCTAAACTTCAAAATAAAAGCAGACAGTTCTGTCTTGGGACGAGATGCTAGGGAAGTGCCTGGTACTTCAAATTATGATTATTATTACGAAAGCTGTTGATGAGGATGAGTTGAGATTTTAAACTGTGTTGTGTTGATTTTAGTATTAATAGCTGACACTCTTGCTTGTTTTGGGCCCCAGGTGTCTAATTTTCTCTGAAACGTCAACATTGTCGGCTCTATGGATGAATTTGACTTGAATATGAGCAGTAATTCTGTCTGTTTCTGTTCTTTGCAGGATGAGGAGAACGGTAACGCTAAGGGTAAGTGTTTCTAGTTTTCTTCCTCATCGGACAACAAATACAAATACACAGAGGGATAACAGTGACGTAATGAACTAGGATCTCCTGCATTCCCTCCCGTCTCTCCTCCTCTGCAGCCTAACTGCGCCCCCTGCAGGATGCTATGCAACACTGCATCTAGAGTACAAACTGTCTCGGCCAACTGAATTTGGATTATCGTATAAGAAGAATAGGCAATGGCTATTACGTATTACTGTGTAATCCCCGGCCAGGAAGATCACAAACAAAATGAATTAAAAGCTTTTATTTCTTTAAAAGCGTTAGCCTGCTCTTGCTATTTATAGATGAGAGGCTTGAGAGTTAACAAAATCATTTATTTACGTCTCATTCTCCTTCTTTGTCTCCTGTCGTGAAGGGTACCAGAAAGGTCGACTGGAGCCGATGGACACCATATTTGTGAAGAGTGTGAGGGAAAAAGGGCCGGCCCATCAGGCGGGCTTGTGCACAGGTAAAGGGAACGTGGTGCAGGATTATGGACATCCTGATTTGCATTGTAAATTTGTCGGGGAAGAGCTCCGGTCACATGAGACAGGAGAGGGGGTTACCCAGGATAAACAACGAACCTTCTCTCATTTGCAAAGGGTTAGATAACCTTAGAATAAACAAGCAGTCGAAGCTGAACGGGGAGGATGACAGTGATTATAATAATAGTACAAATTGAGTTATTTTTACAGCTTATTCCATTTAATGAATAGTACAATTCCAGCTGAGGCATTTTGAACAAGCTGAGACGAGAGACTGATTTTTGACTAAGACAGATTTAGAAAGAGAGTCAACACAAGATTCAATAAAAGCACGGATTACCTCAAATTAGACCGGATGACAGCTCACCTACTTCATGTCGGAGAAGGTTTCTTATGTTGAATTACGCTTCTCAGTTTTGCTTTCATTACGCTCACTTTGCGACGTCGGACACTTATACGGTTCAGGGACAATACATGTACCGGTATAACAACTCCGATCTTCACGGCCACTTGAACGTGACGGATGCGTTGAAGCGTTCCTGTTGTGTCTTGTTGCCACAGAAGGACAGCAGTCCACTCCCAAGGCGCTCAGACAGAACAGACTAGTACTGCACGGTGCATGCTGCAACACAAGCCGGCACGTCCAGAAAGTCACAAGCAAACACACACACAGGCTGAGCGCATAGAATGTGTTTCAGCCTGGATGAAGCCGTCGAGAACGCATACGGACATTGAACGCGTAGCCGTCCGGCAACGTGGGTCGTCCATTCGCGACGGGTCGAGACGCTTCCGTTTTGTTCTCTGACCTTTGTTCTCTTTTTAGCCCGGACAAGGGCAAGGGAAAAATTGTTGAATAATATTCTGTATTTATTTAGTTTTGTCCCTGGTGTTAACAGGCCTTCAGGCTAAAACTCCTTGTATGCCTCACTTAATATAAATAATAGACTTGATGTTTTGCCCGCAGTTTTTTGTCTAAATCAGCCACACCTCTGCCATTAGAACTTGACAAGTGAAGGATGACTTTGTAGTAAATTCAATTACACATGCTTTGTGTCGCTTGAAAGGTCAAAGGTCAACATTAACCTGTAATATGTGCTGAATACAATAAAATCAGATTTCTGTGCCTTGCAGGGGATCGGCTGGTGAAAGTGAACGGAGAGAGTGTTCTGGGAAAGACGTACTCGCAGGTGATAGCCCTCATTCAGAACAGGTAAGACCTCCGGCCCGTCTGCACTTCCAGCTTTCGGTCTGTTGATCTAGCGAACCATTTGTTTGCTTTTTCTTTGCGCCTTCACCATCGACATGGTCACATAACAGGTATTCCTCAGTATTCGTTTGCTACGGCGTCTCCTACTTATTCATGGTGCTCGGCGTGGTCTCAAAGACTCAAAGACGGATACCGCTGCTCTGCAGAAGAGTTTAGAGCCTTGAAAAGGTGACACTGGACTCTGGAAGGTTTTTCATCTGGTGAAACTATTTAATCGTGATGATCTTTAACTAGCAGTTATTTCATTTCCTTCATCGGTTGCTGAACTTCCAGAGAGAGGTTGGAGGTCAGCTGCCGCGTAGCCGGCTGGTCAGCTGGACACGTGAAAAAAGCTTTCGTCTCCTGATTTGAGATACGTGTTTATCTGCTGCTCCAAACTAGAGATCTGTTTACCTCATAGAAAGGAACTCATTAAGGCCTTTGCTGTGATACTAAATGAAACTCATAGCAGAAACAGTAAACCTGTATAATGATGTTGGGGATGAAAGTGTATTCGATGTGGATCAGTCCCGTCTGTCTCCATCCACTTAACAGAGCCATTGAAGTCTTGATACAGGGTTTGGTGGGTTGATTCTATGAGTCCCCGGTGTCCACTTCGCTGTTGATGTTTTAGTTCAGTTAAACATTCCTATAAATGAGTCAGAGCACTAATAAAAAAACACAAAAATCTATTTTTGTATCTCCCACTTTACATGAAGCACCAGGTCAGGATATTGGACGTGCGCCTGTTTTTATTTAACTTCATTTTTCCTGTCCTCCCCTCTTCTTCCTCCCTTGCACATGTCTGACAGTGAAAGTGTGTTGGAACTCTCCATTATGCCAAAAGATGAAGACGTGCTTCAGTTGGTAAGTGTGAGTATGGTATTTTTCTCTGAACAAACTTGCCCACACATATCCTGCATCGCACACGAGGCTTGAGAAGCATTTGTCTTTTATATTTTGCATTATGCTGGGACACTGCGGGACACTGAGGGACACTGCAGGACACTGTCGGAGAATGTAGAGACTTTGTTGGGATGCCGTTTGTCAGAGGCTCACTGCTCCGTGTTTAGATTACATCACGGATTCAGTAAAAGCCGCGAGTGTCCCGACTGTCAAAGCTTAGATTTGAAAAAAAACAAATTTAAAAACGTCTCGGTGCTCGCTCACACTCCCATTTACTGTACAGCGCATTTTTGTCGCTCCACAAGTTGCTCACATGATCAGACATGCATCAACCGTCGCCCCTCCCACCGACCTGGAGCACCGTGTCAACACACAAAACCAGATACCGCACGATTTGAGTGGAGCTTCTGACACATCCAAGAACGGCAGCGCTCCTGCCGAAAGAGGTCAAAACATGGCTCTCCATTAACGTATATATCACTGCCAAATCTTAACATTATGAACCCACTCCTCCGTCCTGACACTCCTCCCCTCACTGTATCTGCTGCATTCCTAGCATGACATCAGCAGTGCTGCGCCTCCTTCCACACTCCCACAGGGTGGAGCAGAGCAGAGCAGGAGAGGGAGGAGAGAGGGAGTTTGGAGCGATCCGACAGCGGGGAAAACAAGGGAGAACGTTTACAAAATCCATCCCAAAAAAGTGGTAGAAAACCAGGAGAAGGGCTGAACGTGTCTGTCAGAAGAGTGTTTGTGGTAACGCGTCTTCCTCCTCGTCCTCTGCTGCTCCTCCTCTGTGACTGTTTGTCTGTGGTGACTACAAGCTTAACACGCAACCCGAGGAATGACTCTGGATTCGGTTGTCTGGTACAGGTATACATTAGAAAACTTTTCTCAAGCTTTCCTTAATTGTGACGCCGATGTAGCCGGTGGTTTTTTTTGGTTATGAAGTTGTGAATGATGCTTTAAATGCGACAGTGTGGCTTATTGACTGTAGTACTGGTTTGTTTATGCTCTTGAAATGTTGAATGGGCAGGTCCTTAAGTGCCACACTGCGGATACGTACCCTGTTATGTGTGTATACGTGACAGCTTCTACAGCGAGCGGCGCGTATCTGTGTTCAGAGCGGAGGGGCGACCCGGGGTTGAGCTGACGGGTTTGGTCAGTGTTGTCGTCAAACTTGTTTACCGGGAAAGCAAATGAGTTGGAGTCGTTAACCGTCACACGCGCGCGCTCACCTTCTCCCCAATGCGGGATTGCGTCTCTCGTCTCACCTCACCTGTCCTCTCCGTCTTCCTCCCCTCTCCCAGGCGTACTCCCAGGATGCCTACCTGACGGGCAACGAGCCCTACGCAGGGGGAGCCGAGTACCTCCCACCACCGCCTCCCCTCTGTTACCCGCCCACCAAGGCCACGACCCCGGCTGGAGCCCCCTCGCCTGGCTCCATGTGCCAGAACCAGCTGGATAATTGGGGTCGCTGGCCAAGCTCTTCCAGCCCCTCTTCGCCCCTGGACAACCGCTCCGCCGTGGGCAGCCCCGCCAGCTGGCAGGAAGGACGGGCAGGAGAGCCGGGCGGCGTGGGTCACAGCAGCCCGGCCCACCGCACGGAGGAGATCCAGTACGGCATGACCAGCCAGCAGCCTCAGGGGCAGACCAGGGGCCGCTCCTACTCCTCGTCGTCCTCGTCAGGAGGCCCTTTGCCCAGCCCGCTGCAAGTCCGCTACTCAAACCACCACGCCGCCAGCTCCTCCCACGCTCAGCCGCGCAAGTCCGGCTCGGCCCGGACCGGTCCCCCCCAGCCCCAGGTCAGCCATGGCCACACCGAGCGCCGCCAGCAGGCCCTCTCCGAGTGGTACCACAACCAGGCCCCCGAGCGCTCAGGCCGCAACATGCAGAGCCGCCACCGCAGCTTCTCTCAGGACCGGCTCAGTGATTCGAGGAGGCAGCAGCAGCAGCGGTCGGGCGGGTGGCCGCACAGCGCCTCCCAGGACACGCTGCTGTTACTGCAGCAGTCGGGACCGGGGCCGCAGGGAGAGCCCTACTGGTCGTACGGAGATTGGGAGGGGGCCCCGGGCAGGGCCACTAACTACACCCGAACGCGCTCCGAAAACCTGCTGGCGCAGTACGGTGGCCACGGCCGCTCGTTGGAGACGCTGGACCGAGCGGCAGCCGGACTGGTCTCGCCTCATTTCGAGAGGCCCTCGTGGCCCCAGCAGGCTCCGCAGCCGCCCCCCAGGACTGACGCCCACCCGAGGCAGGGGAACCATTACGGTGCGGCGCAAGCTCCCCCGATGCCCCGACACACACCGTCGCATTCTAAACACCACCCCCAGACTCAAACCCAGGCCCACCACCAGGCTCAGTCCCAGCAGGTGGCCCCGCAGAGCAGGCGGCTCCCGACTGGGCAGAGCATGGACGACCAGCCGGTGGGCTACCGCAGCTACAGCCCCTCTTTTTACCGCAAGACGGGTCGCATCATGCAGCAAGCGCACTCTTTCAGGGACCCTTCGTACTCCGGCCCTCACATGAACTGGAACCCAACGCCTAAGACGAGCCCACCAGAAGGCACCGCGTCCCCCCTCGCCGCCTCTGCCGCGTCCCACCTCGCCTCTTCCACCCCCGAATCCCAGGACAAAGCGTACCGGCCGACGAACCACGAGAGGGAACGAGGGCCGGTAGAGGGGCAAGCGGAGGCGGCGGCGGCGGCACAAACCCAGGAAGTGGTGCTGAGGCAGAAACCCCCCACCGGGCGAAGGAACGCCCACGGCATGCGTCACCCCCACTACGCGCTGCCCATGGACGGGCTAGAACCCTCTTTGTTTTCGCCTGACCCCCAGGACGCGGCTACGGCCCCGGGAGCCCCACGGAAACCCAATGGCAACCTCGCCCCCCTCCCCATAGAGGACGACTCCCTGGCCTCGATCCCCTTCATAGGTAAGCAAGGAAACGTATGAGCTCCTCGTGCGGCTCCTTCAACAGCTCAATCCCTTCTCAAAAAACTCAAAAACTGACCTTGAGAGTTCATTGCTTCCATTCTAATTTTTAATCCTCACCGAGTGTTTATTGAATATTAGGGAAAGCTTTACTGAGAGGAAATGCAGACGCTCTAATTCTGACGGAATTATGATTTTGGGGGAATGTGTTCAATTTCCTTCTCGTCTGTCTAGTGAGGCTCCGGCTCTTCTCAGATGCAGTTTCCATTCTCTCATAGAGATTGCGTGTTTGTCTGTGAATGTTTGCATTGGGTAATACCGGTACTTCCCGCTGCCTTACAGACAGCATTAGTGGTTTGATTGAATCATATTTGATGGGAATTTAGAAATTCCCGTCTGCCTCTGGTCGCTAAGGTCACCTCACAATGCTGAGGAAATGAGGTCTTAACATCCTGAATGTGTGTGTGTGTGTTTGTGTTTTTGTATGTCTGTGATAATACCTGTCATCACCTCCTTTTTAATGTCTTTTAGTATCAGATATTCGTGTTTTTATAGTAAATGTTAGCTAACACGCCATGCACAGATAGAAGATTGTAAACAAACGGCATATTAGCATTGTCATTGGGAGCCTAATGTCATGCTAGCATTAGCATTTAGCTACAGCAGTACGGCATCGCGGAGCGGCAGGCATGGCTATTCAACAAACGGGTGACATGTAAACAATTTTATGTGCGTCTTCTTTACAGCTTGGCTCTATTTCTACGTTGGGTCATTTTGCCTATAAATCATACCTACGGAAAGAAAACTAACTAAACACCTAAAAAACAACAACAAATTAATCCAAATATGTTTGATATTTTGACATTTTGGATTCACTAAAAGCAAAGAAATGAAACGTTATGTTTAGGAAAGTCCGTGGTAGGATAGCCAGAATGACTTGAATGAACTAGATAGTGCCAGCTGTAATAGGACAATATAGTAGGAGTTTGTTCTTTGCGTATATGAGGCTGTTTACATGAATATACACAGTACATTTGTGGCCTATATGTCAGTATCACTGGCAGGTGATTGTGGTCATGTCCCAGCTTGTTTCCTGCGGTAAAACGACTAAATGAGAGCGGCCCTCTGGCTTTATGTTGCCTTGACATGTACGGCGGCCATTAAGTCAAAGTATGTGCAAATGAAGTTAGTTGATCACGTGAGCTGTGCCTCCATCATCCTCTCAGCCTGAGGAAGACAGCCGCTGCTTACCTTGATGCCCAAAAGATTCAAACCAGCTGCGTTTCACCCTTTGACCCAACGAGCATCTACATTTGAGCCCATCCACACTCTTTTAGAATAAAGGTAATTTACACAACGAGAATTCAGCAGAATGTTCAAAGCAGAAGGAATCTCTCTTTCTCTCTGTCCGCCTCTCAGAGCACATTCTTGGCTCGTGCCTTCACCTAAATTAGATGAAACCTGGCAGTCAGAGCTGCAGGCAGGGACACGTCTGATGGCCACAAACTGCAACTAGGCTAGATTCTCCCCATAGACAAGAACATAACTTTTTATCTTTTCTGCCTCACCATCTTGTTATCGCAAAATGCTGGTATGATCCGGGCCTGTTTTAGGAACATGTGATTTAATTGTCGTCCGAAGTCATTCTGGTCCGTGAGGTACGGACCACGAAGGCGTCTCGTCGAGATATAGAAAATGCTGTATTTTCTTTTATTTCCTTAGCTCATACAAAGTAAATGAAGCAAGAAGGGGCATGTTCACGGATGAAGTATTTAACACATCAACATGAATCCCAGCTGTAAATTACAAAGCATTTTTGGTATCGGTGCTCGTTGGGAACACAACGGTTTCGTACTCTCAGTTCCTGCTTAACGCAGCTATTGTGCTGCTCTGGAAGAGGAATGGGTTTGTGTGTCTGTGTCTGTGTGTGTGAGGGGGTTCAGTCTGTGACTATCTTCACTAGTTGGACCGTGGATACTTCACATGAGGACCAAGACCTTCCGTAGTGGCTTCTGCTTCCACAAGGCCTCTAGGTCACAAGATTGCTGGCCGGTTTCTCTGCTTTAATCTGATTTTCAGTCTTGTTCATGAAGCTGAAACAATGAACTAATAATCTACAGCAACTTTGATGATCGATTACTCGTTAATGTCATTTCACAAGCAAAAATGATAAATATTAGTTAATCCCAGTTGCTCAATGATGATGATTTCCAGCTGTCAAAAAGAGTCATAGAGTATGATTTTGATGCTGGTACCATAACTCCCACTCTCATATGTTTATCTAAACCACACCAGACTGGAATAACTATGGTGCACATTAACAGTCACGACCTGTGTGCAGGATGTCCTGTAGAGTTGTGGCAGAGTGTGCTGCAGTATGTTGCTCCCCTCTGCTGGTCCTTCTCCGTCTGCTGGCTCTGAGCTCGCTCTCCGGCTGCGTGTTAATGACGGCCCTTGTTAAACCCACAGCGCGGCTATTTCTGGGCAGATTCCTCGTGCCAGATTGGAAATGTTTTCCGCCTGATGCCGGACTCCAGTGTGCACAGGAGTGGAGGGTGGTAGATAGAAGAAGGGAAAGAGACTCTAAGGAAAAGAGGAGCGGAGGTGTTGAGGGATAATTCCACAAAGTTGCTGGAACATAGAAGTAAAAAACATGAAGTGGAAATAACAACAGGAGTGAGATGAGAGCGTAGCAGGAATGTACAAAAAAAGATGTCTTTTCTGGAGTCCGTCCGGTCTGCAGAGGTTGTGCTGCCCTCTGTAGTTCACCCTGAGAACTGGAGCCTTACAGCACCTCACACCGGATATTTAGAAAGCCTCCACTGAATTCAGCCCGCAAATAGTACACTTGTCTCCAATCAAGAAGTGTGTGTGTGTGTGTATGTTGGGTTACGTGTGTGTGTGTGTGTGGCGGTTTCACTTCCCTTTGCATCATCCTAAGCTGGTGGAGACTTGTAGCTTGTGTGACCTACATATTCTGCTTCATAACCTTTGTCGTCGTTGAGCACAGAATCGTGAATCTATCACTAAATATGCACTCGCAGTTACCCACATGTTCACATTTTGTTAAATTATGGCTTTTCTCGCGTGTGTGTCCTCACACGTATCGGATCCCAACGTGCTGTAGATTTAATAAAGAACTGAAACCTGGCGGCAGTAAGTCTCTCTCACTGAGCCGCCTCAGTTAGGAACTGCTCTCCCGATGGCAACAGGCGGCTCAGGTACTGATCGCTGAAAAATCTCGGCTTATTTTGTTTGCATTTGTATTTTTCCAGTTTTCAATCCTGTAGTTTCTTTAGTCCGTTGGTCAGTCAGCGTGGGAGGGGCTCGTGTTCGAGTATGATTGTTGTTTTTGACTTTTGCATACGAGAGAGTTTACAGATGAGAAGGCAGCAGTCAAAACCTTGTAATTCATTTTCCTTGTATAGTTTCCATTGACGACGATGCTGCGGTTCCTGGCCGTTCCTCTCCCTTGCGAAACTCTCCTCCTCTTCCTGAAATAACCCCTTTTAATATCCTTCTTCTTCCGTCCTGGCCTTTTTCTCTAACACCTAACCCCCCCCCTCCCCCTCCTGCTCTCCTCCTCCCTTCCCTCCTGCCACAGATGAGCCGACCAGCCCAGGTGCTGATTTGCGCGCCCGCCACGTGCCGGCGTCCTCCGTGGTGTCCAGCGGCATGAACTCGGCGCCCGCCGTGGTCACCGGCCCCGCCTCCCCCACATTCACCTTCCCCCTTACTAGACTCTTCTCGCAGGACTGCAGTGAGTCCCCCCCCCCCACCCCCCCTCCTTTCTATCCCGGTCCCTCCCTTCCTCCCCGCTGCATGCAGCCAAAAAGCCTTTGTGATGTTTACGATTGATCATGCATTGGATTTTAAAAAGCCTCCACGTCCTCAAACTGAATCAAGTCAAATTTTGACCAGTTTCTAAATCAAATCAATTTTTTTGAGCAAGCCGCAGTTTTCCCCATATTGCTGTCTTAAATTTGAAGATGATTTTTATTGGAAACCAGTTTGCAGCAAGACGTTTGAGGCTAAATAAGAGAAAATGCCGTTTTAGCATGCTAGTACTGTAGATATGCATGTTTGACCGAAAGAAGTTCATAGAAACATGTTTGCTCAGAATTTGTTTCGGGGATTTTTTCTCGCTGTGCACGAAGCCGAAAAGAGTCGCGCTGTTTCAGATTAATTGTCAAAAGTCCCAGATTAATTAAACTTAAACTTGACCAACTTGCACGATACGTTTCTTCAAATCCACGTCGGCTGTTTCCGAGGGAACACGCCCGCATGCCAAGTGGTGAGAGAAGTCACCGGAGTTGATTTCGTTTAACCCACCGTTCATCCTGACTGCGCCACCCAAACCTCTTCTACCACCACCACCACCACCACCACCTCCTGCCTCCTCCCTCACAACCCCCCCACCTCCCCTAATCCAACACCACCCACTCCGGTGATTGGCATTACATCAACACTCTTTCTTTCTCTCTGTCTCTTTGTGTCTCCTTCTCTCTCTCTCTGCTCACTCATCCTCTCGCCGAGCAGGCAGTATTAAACCCGGTCGCCGTTCCTCCTATCTTCTAGCCATCCCCACCGAGCGCTCCAAGTCGTGTGACGAAGGACTCAACACGTTCAGAGAGGAAGGACGAGTCTTCACGTGAGTACCGTTCGACCCGAGACCGTTGACGTTCAAACGGCACCCGCGTGCAGGCCGACTCATCTCAGCTGTGTTGTTGTGCTTCACAGGAGGCTACCAAAGAGAGTGAAGAGTTTCTTCACAGATGGGGTGAGTTCTTCCCCTTCCTCCTCTCATTCCTCTGAACTTTCATCACCCAAACCCTTTATTTCTACAAATGTTGTCCTTCTTTCTCACTGCTTTACCATCATTTTGTCAGATTATCAACATCAAAAGAAAAACAACTAGACTCAAAGATGTATTCCATGCATCTTAACAGAAAGAAACAAATACTTGAGGACAGTTGACTGTTATTTGCTTTACAAATCAAAGCATTGAAATGTGATTTTAAGACCCTTCCCGGTAGTCCACGGCTACGTTAAATTACAGATCACAAACGTGTAAGTGAGCAATGATAATGAAAAACAGCATTTCCCTTCCCTTCCTTTTCATCCTGAATATTGGAAGTACAATTACTGTAGATATACTGGTACAATTGACTCATGATTGCTATCAGACATTACTACACTCCGTTGCATTAAGAATTGTGTTTTAAGAAGAACTTGATGTAATATAATGCGACCTACAAATAGATTTGTTGAATCTAGAGTTAAAACGTTGACTGAAGAAACATTGTATGCAAGTGGAGATCACTTATATTATTACTTTGGCACAAGAGATTTTAAATACGTTTATGGGGTTTTAAGTACATTGTCAGAAACCGGCAGCCTTTGTTTATCTACACTTTAATTACTGAAACATAAGTGAAAAAAAGTCTTAAGGCCACAAAATGTCCCCGCTTGTGTTTCAGTCTCTGGACAACCTCGGTACAGCGGAGGAGGTTAGATCCAAACGCCACTCCACCTCAGAGCTGGGAAACATAACGTACAGCGATGTGCTGCGGGAAGGATGGCTGCACTTCAAACAAATCCTCACGGAGAAGGGCAAGGTGGGCGTGCTCAGAAAACGGCGCGAGACGAGGTAAGAGCCACCGAAGCAAGCGAAGACTCTCATCTTCATCTCTCATTCGCAGAAGGTGGGCAGCGGAATGCGTCCGTGGAAGCGAGTCTTTTCCGTGCTGCGCTCCAATTCGCTGTTCCTCTACAAGGACAAGAGGGAGGCGGTGCTCCGCGGGGCCGCGGTCGGGGGCGCGGCCGAGGACGAGCAGCCCATCAGCATCCGGGGCTGCCTGGTGGACATCGCGTACAGCGAGACCAAGCGGAAGCACGCCCTGCGCCTCACCACCCAGGACTTCTGTGAGTACCTGCTTCAGGCCGAGGACCGGGAGGACATGCTGGACTGGATAAAGGTCATAAGGGAGAACAGCAAGACTGACAGCGAGGTCAGAGGACACGCCTGCACCTCTTTTAACGTCCTCGGCAAGGGTCCCTTCGGAGTCATAACGCGCGTGTGTGTGTGTTTGTTACAGGACCTCGGTTTATCCAGACAGGCCCTGATCAATAAGAGGCTGAATGATTACAGGAAGCAGAGGTGAGTCACCTGACAACCGATGATGAATCCCCCCCCCCCAACACCGCACTCATCTGTGGTCACACTTTCTCTCCGTCTCCCCCTGCAGTCCGACGGGCAGCAAGCCCGACTCCTCTCCCAGGATGTCCCGCATGAAGCCGCCCTTCCTGCAGGCCAAGACGGAAAACGCCACGGGGGCACCACGTTCCCCCAAACAGGAGGGCAAAGGTCGGTGTCTGGGATGGACTCGGCCAGCACAGCTACTACTCATTGGCATTAAATGTCAGACATTATGAGATGTATTACCACCTCGAGGGAGCATCGCTTCTCTTATAAGACTTATCAGGGCTTATATGCTTTATAGTCCTGGTTATTGGAAGTCTAAAAAGACAGTTTTTTAGTCCTTTGATTAATATATCTCCAGATGTAAGACTATGTAACGGCCCCGTGTGGATGAGGGCCTTTAGATGTGAGGACAGGACAAACCAAGATGCAAGCAGTGAGGTTTTTCGTCCCCAGATGAGAGCGCCCCCCCGAAGTCCCCGTGGGGAATCAACATCATGAAGAAGCCAAAGAAGGCCGGGCCCAAAGCTTTCGGCGTGCGGCTGGAGGATTGCCAGCCGGGCGTGATAAACAAGGTTAGCCCCGACATGACATCCGCCATACCCGAATGCGGCGAAAGTGCCGCCGCTCCCGCTGAACTCCGTGTTTCCCGCTCAGTTCATCCCGTTGATCGTGGAGATCTGCTGCGGCCTGGTGGAGGACATGGGTCTGGAGTACACAGGAATATACCGGGTCCCGGGGAACAACGCCATGGTGTCGGCGCTCCAGGATCAGCTCAACAAGGGATGCGACATCAACCCCGCAGAGGAAGTGAGGAAACGGCCACACAACAAAGCGCTTAACCGACTCGCAGGCTTCATTCGACCGTGCCGTTGGACGCCGGAGGTACGCCGCTAAACTCCTCTCTGCTTCTTCTCCCGTCAACAGAAGTGGCAAGACCTCAACGTCGTCAGCAGTCTACTCAAATCCTTCTTCAGGAAACTTCCAGAGCCGCTCTTCACTAACGGTTTGTCCAGACATGTCGCCGCCGCACGCAAACAACTCGCGCCGCCGTGCGCGAACATCAGACCCCTCCATGTTAACGTGTTTGAAATCTTCACAGACAAGTACAACGACTTCATCGACGCCAACCGGATGGACAGCACATCAGACAGACTGAAGACCATGAAGAAACTGGTACGTTTTTGTTTGTATTACTTGTGTTACTGCTACCACCAAGCTTGTGTGTTTGTGTGCGTGTGTGTCTTTGTGCGTGTTTGGCAGGTTTTACAGGTTAATTAATATTGTCCCTCTTCCTATTTTCTCTCGCAGATCCGAGACCTCCCAGATTATTATTACCACACTCTGAAGTTCCTGGTTGTTCACCTGAAGACCGTAGCCGACAGCTCGGATAAAAACAAGGTGTGAAAGGCACTTTGTGAATGAAGCGTAAATACGATCACGTGTCACTGTGCGCTCGTGCGTGTTTATGAGTTGTTGTGTTGTTGTGTAGATGGAGCCCCGTAACCTGGCTCTGGTGTTCGGGCCGACTCTGGTTCGGACGTCTGAAGACAACATGAAAGATATGGTCACGCACATGCCCGACCGCTACAAGATAGTTGAGACGCTCATCCAACATGTGAGAGAGGCCGCACGGACACGCACACAGACACACACACACACGCACACGTCATGAAACTTTTCAAGATAAATATTTCCTCTGTTGTTCTTGTAGTGCAACTGGTTTTTCACTGAAGAGCAAGACAAGGACGAAAAGGTATGCCACCCGAATGGTTTCTTTAGACTAACACATCAAAAGCGTTGACAGACAGTTATTTAAAGATTTTGGAAAATGTGGAGCTTGTGACTTCATTATCTGAGAATCCTTCCAGGTTGGTGTGAAATGAATTGCAATGTGACTACGTAGTTTAAAGGAGAACGAGTGCTTCATCTTTTTAAAAATACAATAAACTTGCTGTAAGAGCTCATACATTAACCAACGTATTATTTAATGCATTCTTGTGCAGAAAACACCTTTTGCTTTGAGATGATTTATTATCGTTTTGTGAATCCTAAGAAGTGGAACGACATTCTCCACTTCAGATTTGAGCTTGTAGTGTCGTAGAATAATTCCCAAAAAAATTCCAAAAGCCGTATCTGTAGAAATCCCCATTGAAACCAGTCAATAGTCAGTAAATTTACAGCCTTTTGTCTTGTGTCCCTTTCGTCCAGACGCCGGTGGACACGCAGGACGTGCAGCCCGCCCCCAACATCGACCACCTGCTGCCCAACATCGGCAGGACCGGGGAGGCCTCAGGTGAGCGCGCTGCTTTACCGCTCTGACCTGGCCGACCAATAGCATTCGAGTAGATGTGATCGATTCCCCAAATTAATGCTGCCCTCCATTTGAAGCTGAAGAAAGGGAATTGCGATTGTGAGTGCTCTGATGTTTCTAAGAATCCAGAACCCTAAATGACTGAAAATGACTAAAATGAAGTGCTCCCTCTTTGGAAATTTGTCCCAGTTTAGAACCAGAACTCCTTTTCAAACTGCACTGCAACGCGGCATAAGAAATGAAAGTCTGACATGCGTTGGTACTCGGGAGTGTTTCTGTGTTTGATAGCGTGTCTGCACTTCTCTTCTCTCTGCTGACCTCTTTTCTATCCTACACGTTGCTCATCTTTCACTTTCTCTGTACGTTTCTGCATTTCCTTCTCTTAGCTGAGCCTGTGGAGCAGCCACTGCGGTAGGATGGGAACTCCCCCGGCAATACGTGTGTGTGTGTGTGTGTGTGTGTGTGTGTGTGTGTGTGTGTGTGTGTGTGTGTGTGTGTGTGTGTGTGTGCAACCGAATATGTGCAGCTCGTTGTGAAAGTGAAATAATGTGTGTGTGTGTGTGTGTGTGTGTGAGAGAGAAGGTGTTCCTGTTGGTGATGGTTGTGTGTCTCCATGGTCTCCATTACCCGCCTTTAGAGTCATTGTCTCCCTCTTGGTGTCGGACGGCCTCGTAAGAACATGTCGCCCCAGTCGGACTAATTCATTAAGGCCTGAGACAGCTGCAGTATCTGACACCGGAGTGTAAACTGTGTTAAACTGCTGCTGAGGGACAACCCCCACCCCCCCTCCACCCGCCATTTTTAATCAGAGTATCCCAAAGCTCAGGCTTCTCGTGCCATGCTCGCCTCCAAATGGACTATTTTTAATGCCCCAACGACCTCAGCGATATAATCTGGTCTGTTTGTATATCGTTCAGTGGGGGCCCACTTTCACCCTTCACCCTTTCACGCTAGTTTGCTATACGAGTCGTAGAAGTGAGTTTTCAAAATTAAAATCCTTCTGGAGATTAGCAAAACAAAAAACCAGCTATGGTTTCAACATTAACTGACCCCTCCGATTTTTTCATGGGTTTAACATATGAGCCATATTCCCGCTGCCAAAGCTTTGTCATTGATACCGTGGCTTTAACTCACGATAGGTCCCAGATTTTAAGTACTGTAGCAGACACTAATGCTTTATGTAGATTATCTGTCAAATATATTAATTGGTATATTAACAGGTGGATCCGTGCTGGCGGAGCTGAAGGTCTCATCTCTGAGCAGTGATGTAAAGCATCAATTAGCCAATATTTTGTATTCATTCTTAAAATGCCTTTAACAATTGCTCATCAAGTTTTTTACGGAATACTTCTCCAATCAAATAATTCACGTTGACCTTTCAACATTTTTCAAGAGATTTAAAACGCTTTTCGAAGGCAAACGACCGCTCAATAATGTGCAGATTTGAGCCCCTGTCATGGGGGACAAACCGTTTCACCCGCTGAGCGCCAGCCAACCCTCTTCTACGAGAGGCGGCATAACATCACAAAAGGGCCGAAATGGTGATATGACACAACACAGGCGAAGGGTGAGAGTTTGTCCAACGAGATAAACCGCATTGATATTATTATTCTATACTCCTTCCATCCCAAGTTGTTTAAATGGCCAAAATCCCGGGTTTCTCCAAAAGATTTAGAGTTTCGTACCGTGTGGAAGACAGAAACAGCTTTTATCCTGCTCCGCTGTGTTTTGTGTTGTGAGGAAGTGTCTTTCTTTACAAAATTATTTCTGCCTTGTTGCCTCCCAACGCTTCTCTGACTGATGGATGTCATCAGCGTTTTTCTGTGATGTCATCGGTGTGTGCCGTGGTTTCCTAATGCCTCCAACACCAAACCCCGCTCACCCGATCGTTGTTTCTCCTTCACATGTGTAAATCGGTGTCTTCGTACTGGGGCCCGTCGCAGCCAGAGGGCACAGAGGAAGGAGAGCTCCTTTAAAATTGCCTGGATCGATGATTGTTTTGCAATCTGGGAAGACAACATAAAACTGCTGCAACTTTCAAGAATGTTGTGCTCGAGCCACGGCCTCATCGGTGTCTCAGCGGGTGTTTTCCCCCTTTGCAGCTGATGGAAAACACCCGCCGAGGCGTCAGGGTTTGAAGTGGAGACAGAAGTGCAACATTCAGCAGCAGTTTTCTATGATTTGAAAAAAAAAAAGAAAACGCAGCAGCTGCCTCTGTGTCCCCCGCGGTGACCGCTCTGGCCTTTTGTTAACCTCAACCGCTCTGACCCTGTGATGTTTTTATCCTCTTCCCCCCTCAGACTCAACCAACAGTGACTCGGCTAAATCAAAGGTAACATCTCTAAACACGGTTCAAGGTTTCTCTGAACGCACACACACACACACACACATACACACACACACACACACGCACACACATGCTGTCAGGCAGCAGTAGACTTGTAGAATGGGATCTATGACAACGTCACGATTTGACAAACTCTCCTTTTTTCAGGGCTCTTGGGGGTCAAAGAAGGACCTTTCACCCAAAGACTTCTTGACTCTGTCCATCATGTCGGCCGTTACGGGCCGCAAACGCAGGAAGCACGCCCGCCGCTTTGGTAGCAGCACCGATGACGACTCCGAGCACGAGCCAATCAAAGCCGGACATGTAGGGGCGGAGGAGGAGGAGGAGGAGGCGGGCTCCCCTTTGGGAGACACTGCCCCCCGAGCGGAGGGAGAGGAGGACGAGGATGAAGAAGAAGAGGAAGACGAGGAAGTTGTTGACAGCGGAGCGAAAGAGGAGATGCAGGCGGATATTCCCGGCCGGCCGCGCCGTGAAGACGAGGAGGAGGGAGGCGAGGAGGAGGCAGGAGGAAGACCACCAGCCGCGTTGTTGCGCGAGGAGGAGGCGCGGGTGGAGGTGAAGGCTCCGGCGTGGAAAGCCCCGGAGGACGCTCGCTCCATCGTCTCCGGTTACTCCACGCTCTCCACGTTGGGCCGCAGCCTGGGGTCGGAGGGCAGGGGGGGCGACGCCGACGACGAGCACAGCGAGCTGGTGAGCGAGACGGACAACGAGAGCGGCTTCGCCTCGCGCTCCCTCACCCAGGAGAGGCCCGACAAGCACCCGGCGGCGCCCGCCAACGCCCAGGCGGCCCCGCGCAGCTTCCTCTACACGCGCTACAAATCCCCCGTCCCCTCCCCCGCCAACCTGCTCGCCACGCCGGCCGCGCCCACGCCGGAGGCGGCGGATCGGGGCGAGGGAGGGGCGCGGTCGGTCACTCCCACGTCGTCGTCCTCCTCCGCCACAACTCACAGGCTGCACTCCAGGCCGTCCTTCAACTCCCACAAGCTGATCCAGTGCGACACTCTGGCCCGGAAGAAGCTGAAGTCGGAGAAGGGCAAGGCGCGCTCCCCGGACCTGCCGGAGCTGTCCGGCGCCGACGGGGCCGCCCCCGGGGCCCGCGGCGCCCCCAAAGGGAGGAGGGAGAGCTCTAGGACCAACCCCTCCTCGGGCAGCAGCCAGGAGAGCCTGGCCCGGCGCAAGCCCTCGCTGCCGCCCAGCGAGGCCGCCTCCTTCGCCCCGAGCGGCCCCGGCGGCCGGTCCCTGGCGGAGCACGTCCGGGCCCGCCTGATGGGCTCGGCCGACGACCTGCGCATCGTGGGACTGCGGAAGCCTCTGTCCCCGGAGACGCGCAGGAAGAGACGGGCCTGGCGCAGACACACCGTGGTGGCCTCGCCGACGGAGGTCTCTGACAAGAGACCCCAGCTGACTGTCAGCGACTTCCCCCTCTCCCCCATCACTCAGAGCCAGGTGAAAACTGCGGGGCCGCCGCGGGAGTCCGACGGGCTCGACCAAGGACCGGCGGCACGCCACTCGTCCACCTCGAGATTCCACCAGTATCTGTGAGCGCACGCTTCTCTCCGAGGGTCAGAGGTCAGAGGCCGCCAGGTTGCACGGTGTTCCACTGATCGGGACCTTAATAGCAGCCCAGCCTTTTTTACTTTTGATAAGCTCCACTTTGCGCGGCAAAGGGGCCTCCCTGTGTTGCCAAAGCTTTTTTTTGTTGTTTTATTTAATTCCCAAAATGTGTGCTTTTATCAAAGTAATACGGAAACAGGACAGAGACCGAAACGGACCTCATCGCGGAGCGTCCTTTCCCGTCTTCTCTGCCTTGCTGCTCACGGACGGCGTAGATGAAATAAAAGGGTTGAGTCCCTTCGAGCGGCCGGATGCCGAAATGCAACGTCTTCTGCTTCTTGAGAGAAGGGGGCTCCTTGTCAGATTGGCTTTTTTAACGGTAACTTTGGCAGCGTTTCTCTGAACCTACTTCAGTGAGCCAGAAGAGACAGACAACGCCCTTCATACACACACACACACTTGTAAATACAAAACGTTATTGGCGTTTATTGGCGCGTTACAACGACCGATAGGAGAATATTTTTCATATCGGTCGTTGTATCGCGCTCCGCCTCAGACCACAGACACTGTAATCGCTCGTTAGGACCCCAGACTACGGACGGGTGGCACGGTCGTCTCCCTCTACTTGTTAATAATGTTTGTGTGTGTGTTCGCGCAACAATATTTGGATTGTGTCTGAGCGTGCAGGTGTTTGTGTTGAACAATTTTGTAACTTTTGTACAAAGCGTCGTTAAGTTAACCGTGTAAATATAAATATTATGTTATCATATTTGTTTTTACTTTTTTAGTTCCTTTTTTTATGGTTTACAAAGGCGCGTGCAAGTGCACAAGTCATTTTCTTTCAAGGTGTTACTTGAAATATGTCCCTTAATATATATATTTTTTGTTTTATATTCAATATATATATATTTTGTATTAAAGTCAAAAGAAAAGTACTTTTATTGTTATTTCATCTGGGCGTACCTGTTCACAGGAGATAAACGCGACTAAACCTGCTCCTTTTCTCCTCAAAGATGGCCTTCCTCTCTGATTCCTCAGCACTGTGCCGAAAACCTTTCCCCTCATGAGATATCGTCTCATGAATAAGTATCTCTGGTGATTGTACTTCCAGCAATGTTGCATCAACATGTTCACAAACTAATCTAAACAACTACACGTAGCAAGAGAATCAACCTGGGGATCCTGATACCATATTGGGCCGTTTGCAGGCGGCTGAGCTCTTACGTTTTGGTTATTCGTGTCTTGTGATTACTGAGCGACGCCTCAGCACATCGGCTCATGTTTACTGAGCTCCGGTCGACGCGTGTTCCTCGTGAAAGAGAAGCCTGCCGGTGTTTAACGGACTGTTAAGAAAGTAGCGCGTACAAACGGAGACATTTTAACCTCGGCTGGTGGGGAGCTTTGTGTTTTCGTCACATCCCCTGCCAGGGTTCATGCGTGTCTATTGTTTATTACCGTGGGGGTCACACGGGGACGGGTCATCCGTAAGGTCACGCTCCAACGAATCCTACCCGACTGAGGAAAACGTTACATGAGAGGAAAACAGTCATCTCTTGTCTTGGCTTGACATCACAAAATTACACAAACAGGAGGTGTGACATCCTCAGTCATGAGACTTGTTTTCATCTGACCAAATAACGTACAAATAATAATAATGATGATAATAATAACAGTAAGTTATAGTCTTGTTTTACCTCAAGATTTTTTTCTACAAGTGCCTGATTTCTGGAATGTGTTTTGTTCTGCGGTGCCATTGTCGGGACTTATCTTTCCGTTTCCTTTTGTTGATTTCTGAGTCTCCGCCTGAGGCGATGACCCAAAGACGTGTACATTTTAATAGCAGTCTAACTACATTTTTTTTTTAAAGCACACTTTTGGCCAAGGACATGTCTATGCACTCTGTTAGCCTTTACCTTAGGTTATAAGAGGTATAGTACTCGCTCAGCTGCTTTTCTTAACGCCTGTCTGTGCCCAGTGATCCGCGGCGTGTGAATATGGTACATCTAACGAGACCCGCTCTAAAGCGGCACGAGGTCACGTCAGACATCCATCACGGATGAACTAACAGCCTATGACGTCATCAAAAAGGAAAACTCAACAAGTTGGCGCGTTGTCTGAAATTTGATTCTCACCCTATGTTTCCTTATTGTATTTTAAAGTCTTGTACATACTTTCATGATATGTAGCATATTGTATTGTGTACATTTGGAATTGCTTTTTTGGAGTATAACTAATATGAAATTAAGGTTGTCCACCTGAAACCATTTCCCTCATGGGTGTGTGCTTTAAAGCAAGGTTATATGATGTAAATAAACAGAACTACGTTTAAAACTAATTTCTCCCGTGTGTTAGTTATTCCTCGTAGGATTTAGTAAAGTTGAACGGGGAGAATGGGGCTGAATGTCGCCCTCTGGTGGAAACCAGTGAGTACGGCACAAAAGAAACTTCAACTACACAAACTACATGTTGGCTTCTGAGATAGTTTAAGTACAGAAACAAGTTGACATTCATTTAATCTTTGAACTTCTGGGACTTCTGGGAATATCTTAAAACGTAACATGAGAATTATAGAGCTTTAAAATAAGTGTTATTAGCAGATTGTTTTGCTTTTGAGGTAAACAACACTCCTTATGATCATATTGGGCCTAAAAAATAAACCCATGTAACATTTCATCCTGCAAAACATCTAAGGTAGATTAAACGGAGTGTGTTAACCTTCATAAAAAGGATCTCCATCCCACCCCATCTGCTACAGTCCGCGTATTCTTCCTCCCCGGGGCCCACTGACCTGGTCCGGGATCTTCACAATAAAAGCGTTGCGACCGTTCGCATTACTGGACACGTAGTGTCCCACCGCTTCCTGTGTTCGAGAGCTTTACAACACATGACAACAGAGTTTCAAATTTTTATTTGAATGTCAACACAACTGTTCACATATTAACTTTGGAATATAGTTCTGAAAAAGTCTTTGAAAGCTGACCAAATTAGCTGTAATCCGTTAATCTTACATTTGAGGAAAAATCTTACATTTTAAATTCAAAAAACGGAAATATTAAGTTTTACCGGGGGGAAAAAAAAAATATGTTTTTTTTTCCTCGTTTTGTCTGATACATTCTCTTTATAAAAAGAATCTTGTTTTTGAAATATTTACATTTCTTCTTGGAAAAAAACGGAACAGAATACCCTTACAGTCCAAATAGAAAAGAAAGTATTGCAATGCAAGGACTCCTCGTCCAAATGACAAACTGATACAGAAAACAGATTTTTTTGTTGTTGTTGTACGTTTATGCAGCAGTCCCATATTTTACCTTTGTTTTATCTTTAAAACGTGTCCTTTAATTGCTTCCGACCTGGCCCCGGTCCTCGCTCGGCTGGCTCTGCAGAAGGAGCTGCGTGTTTTGGGCCCTCAGTCTCTCCAGTTCCCGCTCCAGCTCCCGGAGCCGGACCAGGGAGCCCTCCGCGGTCACACCCCCGGGCTCCGCGGCGCGCCTCAGCCGGTTGTTCTCCTCCTCCATCCGGGACATGCACTTCTCCAGCTCCAGGTACTCCTGCACCAGCTCCTGCTTGGTCATATTCTGCAGGCTCTCGACGTGGTACATCTCGTAGGTCTCGGAAAAGTCCCTCTGGAGAAACTCGCCGCCCGCGTTCCCGGGTCTCCCGATGCCGTCGCTGCCTCCTCCTCCGCCGCTGCCGTCGTCCTCCTCCTCCTCCTCGTTGGTGTTGTCGAACAGGTCCTCCTCGCTGCCGGTGTCCTCCGCGCGGCCGCCGACCCCCGAGGGGCGCCTGACCCCGGACTCGGTGTTGAGGTCGGGCTCCACTCGGTCGTGCTCGTCCATCAGGAACTGGGTAGTGTTATAGGGGGCCACGGGGAGCCCCTTGGCAAACATCTCCTCCCTCAGCCGGGAAGCCCTGGCCGTCTCCTTCTCCTCCAGCGCTTTCCTCTCGTCCCAGTTGAGTTTGTAATACGGCTTCCAGTTGCGCTTCTTCTTGGAGGCCCTGCGCCGGTGCCTCTTCTTGCCCAGGCGCGCATCGAAGCCGGTGTCCGAGTCGACGTGACCGTCCTCGGGCGCCGGGTTCAGAGTCCCCTCCGGCGGCCCGTCTTCGCCGTTCTTCTCCCGCGGGTCGTGGATCGCAGCGAGGCCGTCGGGTTTCTGCAGCGGCTGCGCCGCGTTCGGGCACTTTGGCAACACGTTTCCGGCTGCGAAGGAAGCGCACACCCCCCTCTGTCCGCCTTTCTTTTGCCACAACTTGTCTGTGTTGACATCTCCACTGTGCTGCTGCTGCTGCTGCCGCTTCGGGTCTCTCTGTCGCCCCCTGTTGCCGTTCTCGGGTCTAGCAGGGTTCCTGGCTGGGAGATGCTCCAACGCGTCCACGGCGCTCCCACCTGATGGGCTGCCCGGAGTCTTGGGGTGATGGGTCTGCTGTACCGGCTCCGTCATCCTGATGATCCGCTCGGATTGGCTCCGCTTTAGCACATTTTTTTGGAGAACGGTATTGCTCTCAAAACCGAGCTTCAAAAGTTCGTTAAAATGCGTTAAACTCAATTTAAACGAAAGTATTCGCAATCCAAAAATCGCTAAAGAAGGTTTGGAGTGTAAAAACAACCTCTCGCAAGTTAAAAGTAAACTTGTGAACAGTGAGCACTTGTTACTCCTCAGAGGGTCTGTCAGAACAACTGTCGCAAACTACCGTTAACTGTTTCGCTGCTGTTCGACCTGCCGTTCAGCCAAAGACGACGTCCCACCGTCACAACAGTGTCCAGTGTGATACTCAAGAAGAGGGCGCTCGTGTTTATATAGCGGCTCCGCCTCTAGCCATGCGGATGCAGCTGTTTGCTGAACCCGTTGGATTGTGGGACACGTAGTTTGCATTTCAATAACTCGCTGCGTGAGGTCTCTACATTAAACTACATCGTCCACAAGTCCACCGTAACTGACGAGCATTTAGACCAATCGAATTGCAGATACTTGAGCGCGATCGAGTCCCTCCTACTCTAAGTTGATTGGACAAGAGGATAATTTTGCTGTTGCTAAGCTTAAAGTATTTTATGATTGGGTAGTTTAATGGTCAATCAAATGTGCGTAATCCCCACCAAGAAAGCAGTCCGGACAACTAAATGGACGCTACTATCTCCAAATAAAAGGGGCGTAGAAAAAAAGTTAGGAAATACAAGTTATCGTAAATACTGTCAGAAGGCATTGTAGGATAACTGGAACTAGTAAGTATAATGTAAAAATACGATTGGTAGGGCTTGCTTTAATTTGAAAACCACGCAGTCTAGCGCAAAACAAGTAATAACATGATAACCCTCCTTTATTTGAAGCAAAATGCAGAACACCTCTTAAGAAATCTAGTCCGTGTTTAATGTTCACATCGGAAAATAAGTAAAAACTCCTTTCTTTCAAAATGTAATTACGTTTCATGTTTAGTGGTATAAAACTGCGTTGTTTTGCAGTCAGTGGGATCAATAAATGATTTAGCATGAATATTTGTGTGTCGTGCGGAGTGATACATTGTCGGTTAGGGGCTCGGGTGAAATGTGGAATCAGCGTAAACAAACGACATTTATTGTCAAGCTGCCGCTTCGGCCACAGCTCCAAGCCCTCGTTGTTAAAGGGTGGGTCAGGCAATCTCACACTTGCTCAATAATCCTGTTACCAGTGGACGGAGTGGTCTTGACCACTTTTGAGTATTTCTGCGGGACCCATGTTCTAAAATGCAGTGTTAGATTTTCACTTTTGTATCGTGTTCACAGCTAAGGATAAGCTAGCTAGCTAGCTCGCTAACGTTAGCTAAACGTTAACGTTGGTTATCAAATGAGAACTAACGTTATTTTGCTCCCAAATTACACACTGCAACGTTTCATAAAGTGTGGCGCCGCACGCACTGTCGCTACAATAAAAAATAAACGTATAGAGGGTCCACGGCGACATTGCAAAGCAATGCGTTCCTAGCAACGACTGTTTGACTCAAACATCATAATGTTCATGAAGTCCACGTATCTACTGCTAAGTTTAACCAATTAACCACGAACGGTCGAGCCGTTTGAAATAAAGGGGTTTCCTTGTTTTTCAAGTCTGTAGAGCAACGGCGAGCATGCAACGAAGTAAATTTAAGACAACCAGCTACACCAACGGCTAGCGTTAGCCATTTGCTAACTAGGCCGATGTGTTTATAATGGGTCAGCGTATCTGCTGGAACGTAATGTTTCCCCTAAGGTTTACGGCATATGTTACGAATGGTGTTCTCTCTGATGAATACAGCCCTTAGTCTGTAAATGTGTACTATCAGATCAAAAGCCGCAGTTTTTACAATATATGGTACTAACACGTGAAGTGGAACTCCGTTTAACTAATGTGGTTTCAGGAAGTAGACGGTCTCGGATCGTGCAAACACTGAAGCTTTCCTTCAGTCTAGTGATGTTTAGCTACCTTTTACACGCTGAGCTAACAATCTACACGTACATTTTCTGTAACTTTTTATAACTGTTCCTGTTATCTGCAAATTAAACTGCTGAACTGAATTATTGTTTTCATTAATTAAAAATGATAACCAAGTTATGGAGTATAAATATTTTCATATGATCCTCTGATTTTTCTCTTCTAGAGCAGTTTTTACATCTAAGGAGGTTAGCACACTTAATGTCCCACTGTAAAACAGCTAATCAATACACTTCCTCTTAACTGTGCATGTGTCACTGTACCATATACACCTACCTATATTCGTTAGTTTCCACAAAACAATTACATTACTGGACAAAATGTGTTATTCAGTCCTTGACCTCTCGTGGTGAGTCTCTCAACACTCCCGAACACAGAGAATCCAAAGGCCACAAACGACATAGGCCTACTGTCTCTACTAATAGAATCAGACAGAGTTACAGTTCTGGCGAACTGAGCTGGGAGCCCTTTAAGGAAGACATGATGTGTTCCAGTTAGTATGAAACCTAATGACGATGGAAATAGAGAAATCATTCTGAGGGCTCCTATATTCTCAAATCAACGAGTGGTGCAGCTACAGAACAGGAGCTGCTCCTGGGTGGATCACAGCTTGCAAGGATTAGCAGGCGTGACTTAATCTCTCACCCTGTCTAACGTGGTCGTTGCTGCAATTGAGAAGGGATGAATTGTTGTAGGCTCCACGCGTGGACTTTTAAGTGTCATTTTAAGCATTGGCTTATATCCATCTTTGCACATGAGGATTGTTCCTTTCTGGGATTTGAAGATTCATAGAAGATGTATTACACTGGTACATTGTCTGCATTAAAATACTTAGTGAGAGAACCATGTCACTTTAACTGCCTATCACCCACCACACTAAACCTGCTTGTTTATGTAATTGTGTGTGCGTATGTCTGTGAGTTTGAGCACGTAGATTGTTGCAGATCAGGGAAAATTATATTTGGTCCGGTTTCTCTCTTTGCTCCGTCATTACTCCATTACAAAGACTTAATTAAGTTTCCAGATACTGCTCTGCTGCGTGGGACACGTCTCCATCCACTTACAAAGAGAATCAAGTATTTCGTATACAGCACATCATCATTATTTTTTATCAATGTGGACACATATGTCCGTACAAGATAACGTGATTTGAAAATAATTGATTGTCGTTGTCAAGATATTTGCAATTCCTTGTTATGGCCAACAGGGGGCACTGCCCTCTTACTGATTGGAATAAAGAATTGGACATTTAATAGTTCTATGCTAGTTGATAGTGTTTGCAGCTCAAGAACATGGGTTGTCCCCATGAACCTTACCTGGAGATTATAAAAGTTATTCAGTGACTAAATACGTTGTAGTGCACAATAAAATGAAAACAATGATCTTCAGATAAAGACCAATAATACTCCATACACAGAAAAACACGCTTTTTTTGATGGACAAGACACTCAGATTTCTTGTTTAACAAAAATACGAATACCGGAAATAGTGTCGGAAATCCTTCATTCAAAATGTACAAAGGTATTAACTTCAAAATATACTTGAAGTGCCAAAAGTAAAGTACCCATAATGCAGAATGACAGATTACAAACGAAGGTGAGCCCGTATCAGTGATACATTGACGTCAACGTGCAGGAGGTGAAGGTGGAGCGTGTTGAATCACTGCAGGGAGGCGTGTGAATTTAAGTCTTATCCCATAAACAAATTGCTATGAATTGACAAAGCAAATACATTATAAAGACAAGTAGCCTATATACTTAAATCGTACCAAATGCGAAGCCCTTGAGTACAGGTACTCGTACTCTCGCGCTTGACCAGCTGTGCCTTGTGCGGTGCGTAATGGGGATGATTGGAGCAGCGGGAGGAGGCGGGAGCGCGCGAATTGTGCGCCTCGTTCGGAGTCACATTACGCTGAGACACGCAGGGACGCCGCACACATGTGGAGGACGAGTAACTGGTGCGCCTAGTGGTGTCTGTCCTTTAAGGGGGGGACTTTTCTGGAGCAGCACCAATCTGCTCCGGGAAACACACGCACGCGCCCAGACTCGCTAAATAACCCGAAAGTTACCGGGCAAGTCTGCGGTTGTTTTCCGCTGGAGTTCTGATCATGTTGGGCAGCGGTAAGTCAGCGGCCACCAGTACCACAGAGCACCGGAGGAAAGGTGCCGAGACGCCGATGGACCCCATCAGGAGACTCGGTGAGGATTATGATTTACACTAATCATGAATTCGTGCATTTCTGCAGGGGGTTTGAGATCTGTTGTATGTTAATAGTGACACAGATGCTTTTATCCGAGTATTTTATGGGCTGTGTTGTCATTGGCATGTTGTACTATCCTTGCATCCTTTATGATAAGACTTTCCTTGGTACCAGGTATTTCCCTGCAAAGCTACTCATGAAGGACTATATTTAGAGTCGGGCCATGTGGGCCAAGTTTCCTAATTTGGAAACAAATAAGTAATATAGTGGATTTAATTGAGAAAACAGCTTCTGAGACATGACTGAGCAAATACATAAAAAACATAGAGGCCACAAGGTGCATGATTAACATCAGAATTCTACTAGAATTAAAAAAATAACCCATTTATTAAAAATATGGTTTGCTGTGGTGATGAAGGACCTTCTGAGTTGTTCAGTAGAACACTGAGACCCACTAACACAACACAGCGTATAGGATACTGGCTAAGATCCCCTGACAGGAAAATACATTTTTTGCTGATGTCAAAGGACCTTAGTGTCCTCAAGAAGAAATGTTTGGACTGAGCCTTTTGTTAAAAGGTATTTGTATGACGTTTTCATCACATCAGCAGACAAAACATGTGATTTCAGGCTCTTTGCCAGACCTCAGCCTATGACCAGTTCTGATTGGCTGCTGTATCCTCTCAGCTCATGCAGCCACCTCGCCCCCAAAATAGACACCTGCTTAGAAGCACAGAGCCCCTGTCAGAACGTCTGAAAAGATCCCGGAAGTCTGGACACTGATTTTGACCTATTTACACTACTAGAAATGTAAATTGTGCCTGCAGCCAAGAACCGTATAACAATTCAAATTTTCTTTCATGGTCACGGGCAGATTTACAAAATGAAGTTATAAGCAGAACACCAACACTTTTAATTAAATTGAAGTTGTTTATAAACTATACAGGAAACTATATATGAGGCATTTTGAATACAAGTAACAGAATGACCCATGATTTCACAATGAAATACAGCTGTACGCAGTATTTACCCAACCCAAAGGTTCAAAGAAATCACTCTTCAAAAATACTGCAACTCCATGCTGATTTGCTGTTTATGTCCCTTCATTTATTTTATTTTGACATTCGAACATTCAATCAAATCCTGCTAAAAATGTTTTACACTAAAGCGTCCCGCTAACACTAAATAATGAAGCCCCTGACCCATTACCATGTCGTCATAAACCAGGCACTTGGCTTTCAACCCCGAATGTCTTTGTTGCGTTTTAAACCCTCACTTCAGGTGGAAAACAACCTGTCTGTCATCTGTCATTTCCAAGAGTGGAATGTTGTGTCACGTGAAGTCAAAGGGAGCAGCCTCGTGCGTTCCTTCATAGTTCCCTGTGAACCGAGGGCTGCACAATTAATGATCATCACAATTAAACAAGCGTGATCATTAGCGTTTTTAAAATGCTCTGCCACAAATCAAATCATGCACTCCCTCAACTAACAGTCAGCCAACCACCAAGGTGGAAAACGACATGGGAGGTGTCATGGGCGCACCTTGCCGCCTCAAAGAAGGTTCTGTCAGCAGTGGACTCCGGACATGGTAGAAGAGTGGAGAGCGACATGGAGCCGACTGCACTGCCTGTGTGAAAGGTAGATCGAACGTCAGGAGCAGAAGGAGAGGAGCTTGTCCCTCAAGAAGGTTTAACATCCGTGGTCTGGATGTTTTTCTTTTGGGGGGCGGGGGGGTTTAGGGCAAGTGATGTTACCTAAGAACAAAAAGTATGCAGAGTGCGTCAGGGTTGTGTCTGCGCCGCATAGCTATATACGACTAACTTGTTTAACCACCTGAAATATGTCTACATTTGCTAAAATGTAGCACAGCATGAAAGTGAAAGTGGGGAACTTGTTCATTTTAAACGTGCAACACTAAGATGTTGTCACTAAAACGATTGAATATTAAGCGGGATGATCATTTTGGCCATAATCGTGCAGTCCTGTGTGAGTAGGAGGTCAGTTAGTTTGTTTGAATCAGACGAACGTACAAACATCTCCGCTGCCCCAGATGCCCCCTGTGGGGGTCAGGGGTTCTTGGCGGTGTCGTCGACTCCGGGGCCCCAAGGAGCTGTGATGGTGAAACAAGACCATTCTTTTATTGTGTGAACAACTTTATATTAAACCAGATCCAGAATGCAGCGTTCTAACATTTGCAACATTTAAAGGAATATTAGTGTCTTTTAAAAAAAAAAAGTAAACTGATTCTATAATTCTGGCAACATCTTGTTTTCAGGGTTGTTGGTAGAAAATGTATTTTTTTTCTGTACACCAGTATAGTGAAATCATCATGATGGGAATAATCCAAAAGAAAAAGTGACTCCCTTTCCACTTCTCACACAATTGTTTGCTGTTGAAATGTTTATTACTCTGCCTCAGTGGAGGGAGGGAAAATCCCAGCAACTGAAGATCTTTGGTCTTTCACAATCCCGATGTTAAAGTTGTGTAAGCCGCACACACAACAATTACTGTCTCAACTATGGACTCCTCACTGTGTTCATGTCCTGCTTAGTGATAATTAAATGAATGAATTTATTATGAGAGACAAAAAGAATGTTAGAACTGAGGGCTGCTCATTTTCAGCTGAATACAAAGAGGTCGCCTCTTCAATATTTTGCTTTCATGCTCGACGTTGCACTGTGCCAAAGAAACATTGGCAGTAATCTTTTTTTTTCTCTTCAAAATAACACTATGACTCTAATAACGCTTCTCCTTTTAGAGGGAAATGTGTTTTCACATCCGTCGCCAAGTGTCATAAAGTACAATATTTTTTGCTGTTAAGCTCTCCTCAGAATACTTTCTAATTGTGGATATAATCATGTTTATACAAGGCTGAATATGGACCCGTATCGTGAGGACAGCTGTGAGACAGAATTAAGAAAATTGAATCGACCCACTGCTCGAACCACGTCAACACCCTCGCTTTTCTCTCTTCGTGCAGAGTCCTTGCTAGCGGAGTCTTGAGGCAGTTGCGCCGAGAGAAACGTGAACCGTGTCCCACGAGGAGATGGTATGTGGGTGTAAGTGAAGAGGACTCATGCAGTCACAATCTAATCCGGACCAGCTGATGGTTATTTTCTTTCTGATCCACCTCCCAGTTTACGGCGCTCCCGCTGCACACACGTTCCCTTCAAAGAAATGTTCCTTTTGGGGCCAATATAAATGTCTATTGTTTCCTCGTACCTGATCCAGCAGTGTGTTTTTTTCCTCTTTTGGCCGGTTGTTCTCAGATGGCGCAGGTCCACACTGAAATGCTATTTGCAACTATTGAGTGAGACATTCATAACTGACTTGGCTGACTTTTCCTCTTGCTCCGACACAAGGTTTCCGCTTTTTTTTCAACATCTATCAGAAGAGATTGCAACCCATTTTTCTACAGACATTCGTGACTCCCAGTCGAGTCTCTTTTTTTTTTACTGACTGACTTTTTCGCCTTGTGGAAAAAATGTCTAGACAGCTTTTTGATTTAGATGTTCAATGACATCACATTTGTCATTGTCAGAGATCATTTACAATGACCGTTAACTGTCAATCATTGTAGTGAAAATTCAGTCCAGTACTCTTTTAAGAGGGTGGCACGGTGGCGTGGTGGTTAGCACTGTCGCCTCACAGCAAGAAGGTCCTGGGTTCGATTCCGCCCAGTGGCCTTTCTGTGTGGAGTCTGCATGTTCTCCCCGTGTCTGCGTGGGTTCCCTCCGGGTTCTCCGGCTTCCTCCCACAGTCCAAAGACATGCTCTGGGGATCAGGTTAATTGGGGACTTTAAATTTGTGTACCTCTGTGTTGCCCTGCGATTGGCTGGCGACCAATCCAGGATGTACCCTGTCTATCGCCCGAAGTTGGCTGGGATGGACTCCAGCCCCCCCCGCGACCCTGTGTGCAGGATAAGCGGTCTGACAATGGATGGATGGATGGACTCTTTTAAGACCAGAATGCCTGCGAAACGAATCATTTGCTGCTCTACTTGATGTTTATGGCAAACAAATGTCTTCTCAGCAAATACATTTTAAAAGTAATTCCATTCCTATCAACTTCAAGTGATACTTGGTGACTATTAGCACGCTACTGTTTTCCAAATTTTCCAGATTTTCTGAAGTGTATGAAACTGAATGTACCTCTGTTGCAACAAACGGAGTATTGTCCAACCCTTCCAGGCCTGTGCCTACTCCTTTTGTTAGATATTAAAATAAAGCAGGTAGGAAAGCAAGAATGTGGATTTGGATAGGTAGGCAATGACAAAAGGGAGCAGTGGGTTGAGATTAAGGCTGTTTGGGGCAGTTTTAGTGTGGCCACTGACCTGCAGTTAATCTGCTCCATGTATTCTGCCTGTGGGAATGCCTTGCATGTGGTAACGGCTTGAAAGACAGGGTTGCTACGGATGAAGGGCTGGTGGGGGGATTTCTTTGTGTTTGACACTGATGGGGAGAGATCCACGGCTGCACTCGGATGGTTTCTAGTTGGGAGGGAGGGGGGGGCAGTTTCTGTTGTGCTGAAGCGTCGGGGCCCCGTGGGAGTTTGTTGGCCAACTGGCAGCGACAGTCCGAGCTCTGTGGTTTAAGGGCCAGTTAAAGGAACTTTGCCAACTGTTTCTTAACAAAGCATTGTAGGTGAGCAGAAGAAACTAAGTTCTGAAGAACAATTCAACAAGAGTGAGAGTTGCCTAAAACTTTTTCTTTGAAAAGTCCTGAAAGAGAAAAATGCTCTGTAAGGGGCCCCATTAATCACTACAAAGGGAGCAATGAAGCATAGCTGAATCTGCTTTATTAACACGTAACTTTAATATGACAAAAAATAATAACAGCCCTCATACGAACCTGACCAAGATAAAAGTGGTAAACATTTTTTCCACAGTATTGTGTTGCACCCACGACTCGTCTGTAGGTCTGTCCTGTTTGAACTGGTGTGTAAACACTGGTCGTTTCACCTTTTCAACCCTTCCGTCCACAATCCTCATTGGCTCCAGACTAGAGCTGCAGTATTGATTGATTCATCTTGCCCTCTTTCTGTTTTTCAACAAGTTATGACAAATGTAGCTACGGCAGTAGCTGGTAGCCTTCATAGTTACTTGTTTTCCTTTCTGTGTTTCAGTGACTTATGGAAACTCTCAACATAAACCTGTCTTTCGTGTCCACCACGCCTCTTGCCTTGTTCTTTTATTCTCTGCTATAGCTTGCCCTACTCCGTTCAGTGCTGACGACAAATACCTCTGTTCGCTTTTTTCATTTTCCAAAAGACTAGGCTGGAATAATGTGCAAAAATAAACACTGCTTCGACAAAATACGAGATCACCTTTCAACACCAACCAAGGCAGCGTCACTCTGCACACTGAAACCTTCAAAGCGCAGGCCCTTCCCTCCTTCTTGCCTGAGGTTTGTACATGAAACACAGCCTTGCGTTTAAGGTATACAGCAGTGTCGACCGTATATGTGACTTTGGCCTAACAAATAAAGTCTTTTTCACGAGTTGAGGACTGATGTTACGTGTCAAGTTGTCATCTTGGAAAGAATATCCACTACAAAGCTCGATAAAAGACTAAAATAATAATCCTGTTTGGGGAAGTGTCAGAGATTTGCTTTTGTTAAACTTACAGGAACGTATGTTGGTTTATAACTAAATACCTACAACACTATCAGCGTCGGCTGCACTTTGTGCTAATCAATATATGTCAGCGTGCCTAAACACTAAACTAAGAAGAATAACATGGTCAATATTCTACCTGCTGAACATCAGCATGCCAGCATTGTCACTGTGAGCCTGTTGGCAATTGGCACAAAGCAACACTCTGCTAATCACAGCCTCATAGAGGTGCCGGCATAGCGTTGTTAACCTTACAGCAGCCGGCAACAAACGATAAGGACTCGCAAACAAGCTTCCTGAGAGAAATGTGTTTGTGTGCTCCAGGGCTGATGGACAATGAGGACGTACGTGGGATGATGCAGGGCTGCAACATGGTGAAAATCCGCTCTTCTAGGTGGCAGAAGAGGCGAAACCTGCGGCTGCTGGATGACGGACTCACTGTGTGGTGTGAATCCACCAAGAGGTCCCGCAAAGCAAAAGCCCAGCAGACATGTGAGTACTGCTGAAACAAACTGGGCTTTGAGAACAGGGCGAGTGGGATGGAGAGCTGTGTGTGTGTGTGTGTGTGTGTGTGTGTGGAGGGGGCTTGCGCAGACAAGAAGGGAGTATAAAGGTGAAAAAGACTTGGTTATAACAAGTGAGGCTGATTTCTGAAAGAAAGTCTGGAATAGAAAAAGTTTTACAAGAGGAAGCCTGAGCAATATCAGATTTGAAGAAGCACGTTATTTGCCTGAAAGGAAACGTATCCAAAGGGTTACAAAGAAAGACCAGCAGGCCTTCTAGCAGCCCAGTAGACACTGGGATCTCTCAGGGCGCCAGGCCATTGTTCAGGCTTATTGAGGTGTTTTATCTTGGCCAAATCGCGTGCTTTGCCTTTATAATAGGGCTGTTTGTTTCCACTGCATGTGAGAACGATAATCATAGGGTCTGTAGTCTGGCTAAACAATAATCGTGTGCAGCTTATCTACCGATTCGTAAAGAGTCTGGTGCAGACTGCTGACTCACTGCTGTTGTTGGATGTTACGTGTCATAAGGTGAACCACGATTCACCCAAAGTAAATCATTGCAAATGCAGTGATTTGATTTTTTGATTTGCGTTTCAAATAAATCTCATATGTTTAATTTGACATAAATTGATCAAATCTACATTACATTTAGCTGACACTTTTATCCAAAGCGACTTACTGTACATTGCATTTTTAACCCATGGTTTTACAGTTTGCCCGAGGAGTAATTAGGGGTTGGGTGTCTTGATCAGGGACACTTCATGGAGCTGTCAGGGTTTGAACCACCAACCTTTCTACCCGGCGCACCTTTTCTACTCCATGCGCCACCATCTCCCTCAAATCTAGCTAATAATACATTGACACCTGATACAAAAAACGCAAAATTTATGTCACTCCCATGATAATTCAATCTGCATGGCTAGAGAATAAGTGCACTAGTAGATCTAAGAGTAGATCTACCTGAAGAGATTTAGGACCTCCAGTCCCTGCTTGCACAATGTAAAAGAATTGTCGCATGTGATGTTGTGTCCACTGAGTCCCTGAGCGATGTCCAGGTCAACCTTTATCACTTGGTTTTTCTCTGTCGCCCTCCATCAGGTTTCCCATTGTGGACCGACCATTTCCACACTTTTATTTGCCCCGGGTCCACTGGACCCAAACGCCATGTATGTAATTCAAATGTGTTAAGGGGGTTACGGTGTTCGGTCGATTTAAAAAATGTGGTTGGATATATATGTTCTTTGCAGCAAATGAGCCAAGGCCAATAAGTCTTGAGTTTGGAAAAATAACAAATTGTATTATTTTATGTCTTGATTAAAAAAAATGAAACCGGGTTCCACAGACCTGAACACCATTCAAGGGTTAAACTACCATTCGGGCTGCATGGCACTGTGTGTCTACTTTACACATGGGGCTTACATGAACGCAAATGCTTGAAAGAGTCATGAAACAAGGTGACCGAGACATTGCAACAGATTGTGACGTTAATCCTAAAAAGACATTAGCTTATTTAACCTGAGCAGGCATTTCCCTCTGCCTCATGTTGACACAGAAAAGACATTCAAACAAAGGAGATTAGACTCTGTGGAGAATGCCATGTAGGGCATTTATGTTATCCCAAACCTTTTTCATTATTTAGCCCCTTTTGGAGCTTCTTTTAGAACGATAATTCATCGCTAGTGGGGTTAGTGATCATTGTCTTTCTTGCTGCTCTCCCGTTTTTAGTTTCGGTTCGGAGGAAGGGAGGTTGGGTGTTGATGTTTGGTGAAGGCCGTCTTAATTGAGCAGCTCCAGAAATAGACACATAGTGGTGCAATTGACGCGTGTAACACTCCTTACAATGATGTCAACACATAGTGCGAGGACAACCGGGCCTCTTCGGATGGATACCGGTAGTGCTGCAGAGAATAACTATATCTTATGTCTTCATAAGTGCGTGTTTGTGTGAGTCCAGGGAGAAGGACTGGCTTGGCTTGGTGTTTCTTCAGGTCCAGTGTGATCTGGCGCCTGCAGTCCGGTGCTGCAAAGACTTGGCATAGAATACACACTTCTGGCGTCCCTTTCTGAACCACGCACACACGTATCTAATCATTTCTACCACGCCCATGGGCTAACACAAAGAAGGAATGGGGAGTAGGAAGAGGTGGAGTACAGAGGCTTTATGACATGCAGCAACAGAATGAGGCTATTGTCATGTAATAGCCCCGTTCTGTGTTTAGTCTACTACCAAACTGAGGAGTGATTGTGCATTAAGAGCAGAAATGGAGAATATCCTGTGCTGAATACAGTTGTTGTGTCAGGGTATAAGCTATTAAAACCAGTGTGTGTGTGTGTGTCTTTTCTGGGCAAACAAGTGTACAAATCAGAGAGAACTGTTAATCCTCATATTTTATTATATAAATGCTATATTTTCTCAGCCGTGCTTTGTGTTTATAATTTGCAAAAGTTTGCATTCTATGTTTGCACACTGATGTTAGCATTTAGCTAACACAATTTATAATAATATCCTAGAAATCAATCCTCCAGATTATCATTTACATTCACTGCGTTGAGATAATAACCACCGTAAAGGCCATTGAAGTGCTGCCATGTTGTAATGCTGTTGCTATGACGCTGTGCTTCTTGGGAGCCCATGAATCCCTGAAAGGACATGGCGTTTGACCTCACGCTTTTCACCCCTAGTGGCAGGGTGGTGTTTACGCAACAACACAAGAACCTCTCTGTCTCCGTCTCTGTCTCCGTCTCTCTCTCTCTGTCTCTTTCTCCAGTCGCAGTGACAGAAGTGGAGTGTGTGCGTGAAGGCTGCCAGTCCGAGGCGCTGAGGCGGCTGGGTGGGTCGTTGCCGGAGGGCAAGTGCTTCACGGTGATCTTCAGGGGCGCCAGGAAGAGCCTGGACCTGCTGTGCCCGAGTGAGGAGGAGGCTCAGCGCTGGGTGCGAGGACTCTGCACTCTAAAGGAGCACGTGGCCGACATGTCTCAGAAGCAAAAGCTGGACCAATATCCTTTTCCCAATTTTTAATAGGCTAGAATAAATAGAGTGGAGCTGAGGCAGCATTGCTATGGCGACAGCGTAGCTAAGGTTAGAGGTAATTAAAAGAAAATTGTGTCTAAATATAGTCTTGACTATCACTGTTACTTACAGTCCCACATAGCCAGTAGATAAAATGACTGTGGATCAGGTAGAGTATAACATTAAGATCATCACTTTGCTTTTATGTTCATTTATTTTTAGTCTAAACATATAAATCTTCAGGGCCTTTATCTTGCTATCTCGTCTATTATGCTTCATAAAGCAGCCTTATGACGTTTATTGTCATTTAGTTTGCACTTGCAGGTGACAAACTCTAATCAGCTTTATGTTGCATATCAACTCCTTCATGCAGCAATCAGATTTGCAAGTGCATCCCTCGGAACAAACGACAAAGAGCTTCTTTACTGGCCTTTATCCTTTAATTTAATTATAATCGAGCTAGAGGCAAAATCTAAACTGAACTCTGTTGCCACAGCTAAAACCAAAGCAGTCTAATACAACAGCTCTGCATTAAAACCAATTAATTCCTTAACCCTCTGCACTTGGATCCGAAGCTACCTGAGGCGAGCGGATGACAACCAGGACGGCAACATGAGCTACGACGAGGTGAAGCGGCTGCTGCAGATGATCAACATTGACCTGAGTGAGCACTATGCTCTCTGTTTATTCAAGGTCAGGATCTTCCTGTGTGTCTTCATTTTTACCACCTGCAAATTATCCTTTTGTTTCTGTAATTCGTATGTTCTGTGCTGTGAAAGGAGTGATTGTCAGAAAAGGGGCAACATAAATATATATATCATTGGCGGCCTCCTTGCTAGTGTCAGTTTACTGCGACACCCTGCAGTCTTGAGTCTGTGTTCAATTACCAAGCCAGCGGCAAGCCACCCACCCACCAACCCCCGCACACGTCTTCACCCCCTCCCTCTTGTCTTTGCCTCAACAAAGCCAGACCCAGCTATCCTTTTATTGGGTATTCCTGCCTGCTATGTCCCTCAGCTCTCCATCTCTATTATAGCTCAATTGTGGGTTTTTACGCTGGTCCCGATGCAGCTAACCCTCCCCAAGTACCCGTGTTCTTAATGGAAGTACACACAGCTGGGTCGTTTTATTATGTAGATTCTTTCATCACAGGGGATTTGAAGCATACCCAAAATAAAAGCCTACTGTATTTGCCGCATGTGTCTGATTTATTTATTTATTTTTGTCATTCTTTTTTTAAACTCCATATCGCATCGCAGAGGTGTGACAGATCCGGTGATGGTCGTCTCGATCACGTAGAAATTGAGGAGTTCTGCCGGGAGCTGCTACGACGGCCCGAGCTGGACGCAGTCTTCAGACACTATTCGAGTAACGGTTCTGTGCTCGCCATGGCTGAGCTGCGGGACTTCCTGGGAGACCAAGGGGAAGACGCCTCGTTGAATCATGCCCAGAGCCTCACACTCGCCTATGAGCTCAATGGCTGGGGTAGGTCGTTATAGGCTTTAAAGGCTTTAAAGAAAGAGCACACAACAGTTTACTTATGAATTCTGTGAATTTCCCCTTAAATACAATGACATACGTGATTCAGCTTGTACCAGGAAAGACGTGGCTATTCTAAGCACTGAGGCAGAGTAATGGCTCTGCTGCTGTACAATCATGAGATGCACTTCTATGTTTCCAGCAGTTGAAGTGGTTTATTTTGGGGAAGAACCAAGTGGTCGGCACAATCAATATCTGCAATGAAAGAAAAGAAAATTCCACCCTCAACAACTCAAACTGTACAGAATACAAATGAAAAACCTGTTTAGCAATTCATGTTCAGCTACAGTCAAAAAGGCTTAATTTAAAGGGCTTTTGCATGAATACATGATAGAAACATTGTTGTAGGCTTGAGATATTTGATTTTTATTTGTGAACAATAAATAATGTGTTCACTCAAAGTTACATTTTCTTCATTTAAGAAAACATAATTTAAGCAAGAGATAATCTGTGGATATCTATTGGAATATAGGAGATCCATGTGACAGTATAAAAATGGGATCAAAATCCGAAACATTTATTGCCAAATGTATGTATGTTGGACCTGCAAGGAATTTGATGTGGTGGGTGGTGCACAATAGTATGCAATAAAATATAGAGGCATATAAAAAATAGAATATAAAATTAAAATAAAACAGCACTTGGCTGATTAGAGTTGTAACAAGATACTTTATCATTTGTTGCAGCTCAGAAGAACCACTTCATGACCCAGAGTGGTTTCACCATGTACATGCTGTCCCGGGAGAACAATGTTGTTAATCCCGCCCATGCCAGAGTCTACCAGGACATGAGCCGCCCTTTGACCCACTACTTCATCTCCTCTTCCCACAACACTTACCTTACCAAGGACCAAGTCACCGGCGCCAGCAGCACCGAGCCGTACATCAGGTATTCGGAACTCAGGAGGCCGTCTTCTATCTATCTCTATCTTCATCAAAACCTATTATGGTGTCGCGTAAAATCGGTTTCCGAGCATGTGTCTTTCACTGACAGGGCTCTAAATCAGGGCTGTCGCTGCGTGGAGCTGGACTGCTGGGATGGAGATAAAGGTGAACCTGTCATCTACCACGGCCACACGCTCACCTCCAAGGTGCCTTTCAAGGAGGTCATTGAAACCATCGCCCAGTACGCCTTTAAGGTCAGAGGAACTTAATTGGATGTTGTAAATCCTCAGCTACGACAGTATGCTGGATGCTTTTCAATGTTGCTAATAAAACAAATGAGCAGTCAGTCAGACGTCTTGCTTTCCGTGGCCACCACGCTTCTTGTGGTTGTGTACTTGGCTATGAGGCACCCCTGCGGAATTCTGGTTTTGACATGCTATAGCATTACAGCGTCAGGCCCTGCATAGCTATCGTGTGATCTAATTGCGTTTGCATGCAACGTCATATGTGTTTTTGCCTGCGTTTCCCCCTGAAGGCGTCACCGTATCCTCTGATCCTGTCCTTGGAGAACCACTGTTCTTTGGAGCAGCAGGCTGTCATGGCCAAGCACCTCCGCACCCTCCTGGGCAGCAAACTTCTCACCAAGCCTCTCGGTGCCCAACCGCCACAGGATCTGCCTTCTCCTGAGGTACAAGACGCGGCGACACGAAGCTAGATCCGTAATCAAGGACAGTCTGCAATCCGGTTATTCATTCCAATGACCTTCGTTGCAGGAGCTGAAAGGGCGTATTCTAGTAAAAGGGAAGAAGCTGATTCCTCACTTAGGCCAGTCGGGCAAGGGTGGCAGCTGCTCCAGCTTCGCCTCAAGCTTTGAAGATGAACCCGTAAGTGGCAGTAGGAACACCCCCAAGAAGGATGCTGCAAAGGTCAGTTTCTGAAAGACTGGTCGTTAAACCCGTTAAAGTAAACTTTTGAGATAATTGCATAAAATGTTCTTTTATGTTTGCGTTTGCCCTTCTCAGGTCTGTTCTAAACTCAGCCCAGAGCTGTCGGAGCTGGTGGTGTACTGCAGCAGTGTCCCATTCCGGGGCTTCGAAAATGCGTCTGAAAAACCTCCAAATGAAATGTCCTCCTTCTCTGAAAGTGAAGCCCTCAGGCTCATCAAAGACTCGGGTACAACAATGGGAATAATTGCATCTTGACAGCACAGAGGGAAAAGTCCAATAGATTTTCTGACATTGCTTTATGGTGTACGGATATCTTCTTTTCCTTCGCAGGAAAGCTTTTTGTGAGACACAACAGCAGGCAGCTGAGCAGGATTTACCCCTCCGGCCAGCGCCTCCAATCATCCAACTATGATCCTCAGGCAATGTGGAACGGCGGCTGTCAGATGGGTTAGTTCTCCAGACTAGAAGCTTGGATGCTGTTCTGGTGGCAGCACATTAAGACAATTCAGTCTCATTAAGTCACATTATGTCACCATTAAAAGCCAAAGGTTATCTTTATTCATTTCTGTTTGAGGCGCCCTACATCCGCAACACGTGATGTCACGTTCGCCGGTGTTTTTTAATGTGGACTCGTGTTTCTGACTCCGCTCTCCGGGCCTGTTCAGTGGCTCTAAACTTCCAGACTTCCGGGGAGCAGATGGACCTGAACCAGGGTCGCTTCCTCACCAATGGTCGCTGTGGATACGTTCTCAAACCGGACTTCCTGTGCAGCCCGGCTTCCGTCTTTGACCCGGAGAACACGGGCGGAGGCCCCGGTCACACCCCCACCCAGCTGACTATACGCGTGAGCGGTGACGTTTTACTTGGAACCGTAGTGATTTCGGGTTAAACAAATAAAATAAATGAGATCTTGCTCATAATTGGATATGATCAGTTTGACTAATTACCTTTTGATTTGCAGATACTATCTGCACAGCAGCTGCCAAAAATCAACACAGACAAGGCCAGCTCCATCGTGGACCCGCAAGTGTCTGTTGAAATTCATGGGGTGGCTATTGATAACGCAAGAAATAAAACCCACCGCATTGACAACAACGGTAACTTTGAGACATCATTAAATAATAAATAAAAACCCAACAAAGTGCCAATCTGATAAATAAGTTATATCTTGTTATATCTTTTATTGCTATGAAAGAAGTGGCTATTATGCTGTTTTTGATTATGTAAATGCAACAGATGATGGCGTTAAGCTCCCCGGATCTTTTGTGGGAGCCCTTCCTGTCCATTGCCGTGATTGGTTTGTTTGGGAGGTACATTACTGGATGATGTATTTATGGCTCTTGTGCGCCCTCTACAGGTTTCAACCCACGGTGGGACTGCACGCTGAGCTTCCAGCTGCAGGTCCCTGAGCTGGCTCTCGTACGGTTTGTTGTGGAGGACCACGATCACAACGCCAAAAATGACTTTGTGGGGCAGTTCACTTTACCTTTCATAAGCCTACAAAAAGGTGCTCACAAAAATCCAATGTGCATATTATTGGCCATTCATCCCTGTGGCCTGCTTCTGGGTATCTGTGTGTGTATGATATACTCTCTTCTTCTCAGGTTATCGACACATTCATTTGTTGAAGGCAGACGGTTCCAGTCTGTCGCCAGCCACACTCTTCATCCATGTTAAAGTGACCCGCAAAGTGCCCTTCAAAACGGTGTCCGAGCGTATCGCCATTGCAAAGGGCAAGGTATGACGTGCATCTGAACTTAATGGAAACCTGCATTTTCTGAAAAACGAAGCGCTTTGGAGAAGGTGCTCTGAATGTAAGCAGAGAGAGAGAGTCCGCTGCTGTTGCCGCCAGCCGGCTTCCCCGTCCAGACTTCCAAGTGGTCCAATTTGCACGGAGCCGCTACAGGAGGAGAGCTGTTGTTTTTCAGAGAAGAGGAAGCACACTGGCTCTTAGCAAATGAATTGGCTGTGGGTGGATAATGAATCCATGATGGACTGTGGGAGATCTTGTCAGAGCTCAGTGGTCTGGAAACAGAGTACGGAGGATTGTGGCTAGTGAGAAAGACCAACGTGGGACTCGTTTCTAAATTCCTTTTAGTGTTGTTCACTCTCATGTGTAGGTGGTTATCTAATAACCTGTTGAACTGAAGATATTGTTAATTCATCTTTTGATAGTATTTTAACATTTTTATACTTCAGTAGTTGACTTAAACAAATGAGCATCTTTTAAATAGAAACAATAGTTGCTTAACTTGACTGCTGTATCATTTAATAACTGCTCTGAGAGAAAATCCAAGCATGTGAATAAAATTATCAAAATTGTTTTATTAATTATGTCAACATTAATTGTGGTCTAATCGCAATCTAATAGTTGTTATCTATGAAGGATGAACTTGAAATATAAGAAGTATTGACTCTAACTTAACATTTTTGCAAATGTCATTTGTTTTATTTGCCTCAGCATTGCTTCACATGTGCTAACGTGCTCACATGTTTTTATTTAGTTATTTGCTTGAAGGCTCCTTTTGCCTTTGTTTTTCTATTAACATTGCTGCATAATTATTATGTGGTTGAGCGCCAATTGCAACCAGCACAACCTAAAGTTACTTTAGGCGACAACGAATCATTTGGTGCTCTTATAAGGAGATTCCTGATTATAACATGTAACATGGATTACTGTAATAACAGGATATATGATCAGGATTGATTTCAATATTATGTAAAAAATAGTTCAGTATGATGCAGTGTTACAGTGTAAAGCCTGCGTTGTGTGTCTGACAGTTGGTATTATGTATACAGTAGAAAATACTGTTTTTATAAAAGCACTAACAACGCAATGCTGTGTTTTGTTGTCGTTTTTGCATCCACTACCAAGAGAGAGACAGAGTGTGGGTATGTGCAGAGGGGCGGGCTTTGCAGGATACAGAATATGAATGAATATTTCAACATCACATTTTGTTTCCATTTAAATATTGTATCCACCCAGCTAAACTCTTTGCAAGCTGATAATCTGCAGAAGATCCCGAAGGTCAGTGAACTGAATGCATATGGTGCTGATGGCCACAGACAGGTAAGACAGTCAGCAAGTACTACGAAAGGTACAAAACCGATGTTTTTTCTTTCTTTCCATTTCTTTTCTTGTTGAAAAGATTACAATTTTTAACCTTAAATCAGTACGACATAAAAAAAATTGCTATTATCAACCATGAACACAAACTTTAGTTTCAACTTACAACTACCATATAGAGGACGTTGCATATGAAAGCGGTACCATACTTCATCATTGTACATGTAGCCTGATTAAATCATTTAAAATAAGTACAGTTAGTACTTCCTTTAACTTAAGTAACTTCATACTTTTATTCCACAACATCTTCGAGGAAAATGTTGAGCTTTTCGACAGCCTCAGTCTCTCGTTACTTAACAATTTTTAGATTTTCCAACCCCTTGTGAGCGGTGGAACTCCATTGTATCTCCAAATACACAGCAGTAATATCTAAACATGTATTCTAAATGCAAAAAAAAACATTTGCAAAACAATAATGAACCAATAATTCCACCTGTAATTAAAACTTGCAACCATTACATGAAGGGTGTCTTAGCTTGTCAGTACTAGTTGCCATAGCTCCTTATAATAAACAGCCACAAGAGGACAGGAGTGCAGGCGGAGCCGTCGTCGCTCTAAGCCAATGGGATCAGGGCAGCTTTAAAGTCGTCGAGGGCACGCGGTGGCGCCTCACTTCCTGGTTGAAGATGGCGGATGAGAATGAGACAGCACCGATGCCGGAGAAAGAAGATGTAGAGGACCACGGACACTGCAGCGACTGTGAAAATGAAGAGCACCACTCTGACGACGGGTAAGAAGGCAGGCTTCGCGGCAACGTGGTGTGAAATATGTCACGTCTTTGCACGCGTTATCAAAGCGGGATCAAACTAAAGCGTCTGGGGGCTTTCGGAATAGACAGCCATCGATGAAGGTTGGCCCGTCCACTTGCCTTCAGCCTATTGGCTAGAAACACCCTCTGCCCGACAGTTTCTTTGACGTGATTGGCTGATATTGCGTCATGTCCTCATGTGGGCGGGCTCTGGTGCTTTCTCACTGCTAGCAAGGCGGAGTATGGGGGTAGCACACCCAAAGTAATGTCACGCTTGAAAGCGATTCCTTTAATAATATACTACCACTTGTACAGCTTTATTAAAATTCGGGAAGTTTTTTATTCAAATACAGGATTTATTATTTGCATTTCTGTCTGCCTGTAACCGATGCATTTCATGACAAGCCCAGTTGACATTTAGCAACTTAGCATGCATGCATGCTAGCAAAGCTGTCAAACCCCCTATTGTCTGTAAGTGAATCGGGCTGCAGACAGTTGCCGAATCAAAAGGGAAAACGACAAAAACCTGCTCGCTGTTACACGTGAAACGTGATCATATCGTCTGCCTGCGGTGGCTTTGTTAACTGGGGAGTCAGCAGGACTGTTCATTTTGATATATGAAATGTGCTAAATCAGCCTAATGTTGGAATCCTGGATTAAATCCCATTACTCGGCTTTGATGCCTGTTTGCTAAATGAACACACACACACACACACACACACACACGCGCGCGAAAGGTGCATTCGATTGCAAATATTAAGGCGTGTCCTGCTCGCGTTACTTGCAAAACGTTACTTGTGACTGATCACACGTCTTGGTGATCATGAGCAGTTTTTTTATTGTAAGATTTGGGGGTAGATGTGGGGGGGTTCATGGTGGTAAAGTCGTTCAGTATTTCATTGGGAAGCAAAGCAGAAATTTCCCCAAATAAATGACACAATTTTTGTGCCTGATCCACCTCTGCTGTGAGTGGAACATGGTGACGCTATTTAATCAGTTGAGGTGAAGCAAATGTGAGCTTCACTGTTGCTCTTTTTTGAACAACACATGCGATGCGGCCCTGCACACAACGCACAACACGGAGACAAAGACCGGCTGTGGCTGGCCTGCTCTGTTAAAATGGAAGCTTGTGGAACAAAACTATTGAATGTTTTGTTGTCCATTGTCCCAGTCACTCACTGACCTCTTGTACCTACATGCATGTATACATATACACACATACACGAGCCACATGCTGTCCAGTCTTCTTCCAGAGGTCATGTGATTCACCATCTGTGCTGGTCTTACAAATACAGGCCGGTGCTCGGCCTCTTCCCCTCTCTTGGACAGGACACTAATGAGATTATCCTCTGTAAGTATGTAGTCTCTCTCAGGCCAGAGGACGGGGGTAGCTGGGTGGGGGTTTGAGTGGCTCTTCTGGTTTGAAATGATCATGGAAGGGGAGGTGTGTTTTTTTTATTTTTATTACCAATAGATTGTTTTGGATACAGTTAAGAAAGACAGTCATTTGAATCTGCTCAAACAGCTGTTTCAGGTGATTGAGAGATACAGTCCAGATGTCTAGTGCTCTACGTTTATGTGTTCTGCCTGTTTCTTGAGACTGTCAGTTTTCATTCTATCCAATAGACCTGTTTCGTTGTTAATCAGCAACATCGTAGTTCAATACTGAAATGCTAATAAGTCAGAATAACTTTCACTTTGTAGGCCTTAATAATCAAGAACTTATTTATATGGAGGTGAAACGATCCGTAATTGCAGTGCAACTTGGACTGTTATTACTGTTATTCCTTGAGTGGTTTAACATTTTCTAGAGAAATTCAATAAATGAGTACGAAGCCTATTCTATGTCGCGATTCTAATACGAGCAGAGCATGGCTTCCTCTGGGGTAGTAAACCCATTCGCGTGCCTTTCTATTTCTGTCCTTTCAGTGACAGGGGTCTGGGTGACGACACTGGTGCCAAGAAGAAGAAAAAGAAGCAAAAAAAGAAGAAGAAATCTGGTGCTCCAGAAGCTGCTCAGGATCCCCTTGCCAAGGCATGAAATCCTTCATTTTATAAAGTGACAATGCGAATCAAACGGTCAGATTGCCTTAAATTCAAATGGGGGAACAAAAATATTTAGCCATAACGTTTAGAGTTACAGTTCCACTGCTGTTGCTCAATGATGTTTAAGTCACTCAGAAAACATGTTGATTTCTGTCTGTGTGTGTACTTTGCAAACAGGTGAATTCATTGCCAGCTGATAAGCTACAGGAGATCCAAAAGGCCATTGAACTGTTCTCTGTAGGCCAGGGCCCTGCTAAGACCATGGAGGAGGCCACTCGGAGGAGTTACCAGTTCTGGGACACACAGCCTGTGCCCAAGCTAGGTATGACTTATCACGTTTCTTCTGAGACGAGGTCATTTAACTTGTTGTGCGTTTCTTGTGCTTGTGTCTGACTGTCTAACTGTTTTGTTTTCCTTCAGGAGAGACCGTGACATCACATGGCTCTATTGAACCTGACAAAGACCACATCCGGGAGGAGCCCTACAGCCTCCCACTGGGCTTCAGCTGGGACACCCTCGACTTGGGCAACGCTGCTGTGGTAAGAGGGTCTATTAACTAACACACACACACAGTTTTCAGCAGGATTGTCGTTGTACCAGTATCTGCCGTTCCATTTTTTCTTTACATCGATGGAATGAAGAAAATCTCTCCATGTCTAATTTTGTGTGTCCCTGTGAAACCAGCTGAAGGAGCTTTACACCCTTCTCAACGAGAACTATGTAGAAGATGACGACAACATGTTCCGATTTGACTACTCTCCTGAGTTCCTCCTCTGGTATTTCTTTTCACAACTGATATTCTTCCAATCTACGCCTGGCATGGAATGTTTAATTGGAATGCTAAATACTACTTTATATCCAGCCATGAAATATGTTTTTTGTATAAAGCTTATGGGAGAAGTTTTATCAAATATTAACACAAGTGATGGCAATGCAATAGTCTTTTGCTTTTAATGACCGGCTCATCTTTGTCTCAGGGCCCTGCGGCCCCCTGGCTGGTTGCCCCAGTGGCATTGTGGGGTGAGAGTGAACTCCAACCAGAAGCTTGTTGGCTTCATCAGTGCCATTCCTGCTTCCATCTGTATCTATGACATGTAAGTGAACACAGCCATGCAGTGTCAAAGCACACTGGGTTTGTTCGAGTAGATCACATGCTGGGTGAATTCCACTGTTGTGCTTTATTATCCCACTCGATTCCACATTACGCACTTTATAATCTTAATACAATTCGGTCCAACTGCTCTGCATAAGGTCAACTTTTATGTTTCCGTTTTTTTTCACCTTTTTATTAAAATCCTTTTTTAGTGTTGACGTCAGTTTCTGGTAGTGGCGCTGTCCTTCATTATATCTAGAGGTGTTGCTAATAATCTGTCCCTGTTATGTATTTAACACCTTTTAATGATATTATTTAATGAACTTTGCTGAAAGTATTTAAATGCATGCCAGAGCACTCTGGTGCACAAATACCTCATGCAGAATTAAATAAAGACCACAGTCTAATCTAATTTTTTTGAAAGTTAAAATATAAAAGTGCAACACGTGATCTATTTATTTAATGTCCGGTTTGAGTCTGTTGAAGAGTTTCTAACTTGCTGCATTACTTATTTATCTTTTTATGACATTTAGAGAAAAGAAAATGGTAGAGATCAATTTCCTCTGCGTCCACAAGAAGCTTCGCTCCAAACGAGTTGCTCCGGTTTTGATAAGAGAAATCACCAGACGGGTCAACCTGCAGGGCATCTTCCAGGCGGTGTACACTGCTGGAGTGGTACTGCCCAAACCTGTGGGCACATGCAGGTGGGTGGGACAGAGTCACCTCTCCTTTACTTGAGCCATTCAGTATTTACAAATCCAACTTCTTCTTCTTCTTCTTCGTGCACAGGTACTGGCATCGCTCTTTGAACCCGCGCAAACTAATCGAGGTGAAGTTCTCCCACCTGAGCAGGAACATGACGATGCAGCGCACCATGAAGTTGTACCGTCTGCCCGACGTTAGTGAAAACGCACCCGTCCAACAAACACTAATAGGCCCCCAGGCCCGCCGAGCCTTTATCCTTCTCCTTGCTTTTCCCCCCGTTCAGACTCCGAAGACTTCCGGTCTGCGGACGATGACCAAGAAGGACGTCCCACTGGTGCATCGCCTCCTACGCGAGTACCTGAGCCAGTTCAACCTGGTGCCCGCCATGAACCAGGAGGAGGTAGAACACTGGCTGCTTCCCCGGGAGAATATTATCGACACTTACCTGGTGGAGGTAAATGACTTTCTGTTTTAAAGCATCCCTCTAGTCTGTTTTACACTGAGGCGCTTCATAAAAACCTTCTTTATTTGTCCTCTTGACAGAATGATGGCAAGGTAACAGATTTCCTGAGCTTCTACACTCTGCCCTCCACCATTATGAACCACCCTGTGCACCGCAGTCTGAAAGCCGCGTACTCCTTCTACAACGTGCACACCACCACGCCCTTTCTCGACCTGATGTCTGACGCCCTCATTCTGGCCAAATCGGTGTGTTCCTCTTCAATCCGTGTGCGTGTTCTCTGACAAGTTAAAGCTTGGGGGAACTTATGAGCGTTTTGTTTTTCTTCATCCAGAAAGGGTTCGATGTCTTCAATGCACTGGATCTAATGGAAAACAAGACATTCTTGGAGAAGCTTAAGTTCGGCATCGGTGATGGAAATCTACAGTATTATCTGTACAATTGGAAGTGTCCCAGCATGGGCTCTGAAAAGGTAACTGTTATAGTGGCAATATCTCAACCTTGGGGTATCCGCAGGGCTTAAAATATTTTAATACATTTACATTAGTTTCCTCAAATAACGTTGTTCGATGGTATTAAAGCCTTATATTTTATTGAAAAGTCTCATACTTTCTCTAGCTGGCTGGAGGTGGTAATGTGGTAATATTAGTCATTGAAATGTTGAGACTTATCAGGAACATTTATTGCAAAAATATGTTGGACATGCAAGGAATTTGACATGGTGTTTATTGCATAACATTGAACAATCGACAACAAGACGTAACAAATAAGTAAAGTGGCATCTTCCATTTAAACTACATTCTCAGAGGATTTTACTGTGTGTGTGTGTGTGTGTGTGTGTGTGTGTGTGTGTGTGTGTGTGTGTGTGTGTGTGTGTGTGTGTGTGTGTGTGTGTGTGTGTGTGTGTGTGTGCTTCAATCCTTCCTAGCAAGAAGCTAGAGGGCTCAATGTATCATAATGGAGAAGTGTCAAACTTACTTTATCTTGTTCAGTTTGTCTTCCATTCTTTTTCTGCACTTCGCGACAATCCAGATTGCCATATAATAACACACTTAAATCCTATCTTCCCAATTGTTTTCATTTGAACTTCCACCCTTTCACCTTCTTTATGGCCTTAAAATATATTTATTATTAACTCTTTTATGACCTTTTTAAGTTTACTATTTTTGTGACTGCTTTCCCTAATCTTTCTCTCAGGTTGGGTTGGTTCTGCAGTGACGTCCCTTTACGCCATAAACAAGTGTCACCAACCGGCCAGCGGGTGGCCCCATCGCACCGACCACCTGCCAGATGGACTGATGACTTCCTGTTTCCGGAAAGGAGGGAGAAAAAAAAAAAAAGAAAAAGAAAAAAAAAAACACCGCCCATTTTTACTTTTTGATCTTTTGAACTTTGACCTGCACTACCGCTGCCAGGCAGGGAGGAGGAAGAGCGGCGAGGCTCTCCCCGCCTCGCTCGATCACATGGACCTTAAGCCATCGTTACCATCCCAATCAACGTTATTTCATCTGAGCGCTGTCCTAATTGTACCAATCACACAAGAACAGCACAGATTTCTGTATATCGAAAGTTCACTGTTGGCATCCCTACGAAACGTAAATCACATGTAAATAATATCAAACATTACTTCTGGTCATTGGCCTAACACGCACAGACCAGAACCCACTGTTCTGTTTGATTCCTAAAATGTGGGAAATGCTTTTTGCAATTGAATTAAATCAGTCATTCTTAGGTTTTAGATACAACAAAATGATTAAAAAAAAAAGATTTTGAGAGAGAAAGGTTCAATGTGTGAGGTAATAAATACCCAAAGTGGACACCAGATAAGGGCTTCTGTTAAAATCTTTCTTGTTCTGCGTGACCCTGATTGTTTTTGTTTTTTTTCTTTTGTTTTTCTCATCAAAACCTTGTATCATTATGTAAAATATGTTTATGCCTTTCTGGAGGTTTTCTCATCCGTATTAACTTCCATGACCTCAGTGTACTGCACTAACAGAAGAAGCCCTTAAACAGACTATCAATGAACCAGCTCAGTTGGCGGCTCGGACGAGGTCGGACTCCGACGCAGAGGTTGAATGCGTCCTGATGGAGTTGGTGCAACTTGGCAATGACGCCTCTTGATTTTTTTTACTGTGCCTCCGTTCCGATGTCCAGCCACACGGGCTCTCAGGTTTTGTCAAATGTTCCTGAAAAGTCAACACGAGCTTGGGTCAAAGTTTGACCTAATTTGCTTGAGGAAATTACAAAGTCTTAAATGGTTTTAAAGAATAATATGATATAATGCAAAGACACACTCCATAGGAAAAACTAAAAGATTGAATGCATAAAGCACGGACTGCGTTTATTTTCTAGCTCTTCGGGATACAAACGGTTTAATGTGGTCATCACCTATATTACGCTTTTTTATTTAGTTTTTAGAAGGTTAAACAAAACGATGTTCAAACATTACAGCATTTGGAGCTCTACAGCGATCGTGCAGGTGATGTCAGTCTAAAGTCACAAGGGCATGTTTGGGCCGGTGAAAAGCCGTCTGGACTTCAAGGACATGGTGCAGAGTCAGTGTTGATGATTACTGGGGACGTTCCCCACTTGAGGCGGTACTTATGTAACTTGCTGGTTTTGCAAACTGTTGTAAAGGAATAAAGGGTCTCATGGTGTTTTTCAGCAGGAAAACAATGTGACAGCGAAAGGTGATCTGTTTACTCTTATTTCTTTGCTAGAAAAAAAAAGTCTTGAACTTGCAGTGAGGATTTTTGTCAAAGTTCATATTTACAGAGGATACGAAATCAAGCACCTGCTCAGTTGCAGTAAAGCAAACTCAAAGATCAATTGCTGTTTTTTTCTCTAATGGTATTCCTTAGTCGATGGTGTTCTAGCTGCGTAAAAACAAGTACGAGGATGTAATGATTCTTTTTTTTTTTTGGCAAACCACAGTGACCATGGCCAAGACAGAGTTATCGAGCATTAAAGTTTTTCTAATTGCAACAGTTTTTTTAGGTTCAACAGTCATTTTTAACACATTTGTTTTTGACAATGTGCAGACTACTGGTTTCAAGGTGCTTAACAGTTTCCATCAACTATTGGTGAATGTAAATTCAGTAGAATTCTACTTTGACAAAAGTGCAAAACTCAACAAATGTACATGAAGAAGCAAACATTGTGGATTAATCTTTATCAGCCTTTGTTGAGGCGTCACCAAGGTCAGGCAGACCCTTTATTTAAAATTATGGAACTCCATAGGGGCGTGGTCTCCTCACGCCCTGTGCGTCGCTATTGCACCAAGCTTGACGTTGATTGGTCGAAACCGCCCAACGTGCGTTATTAGACGGTTTTAATTGGCCCGTATCACTTGTCAGTCACGTGGACAGTAACTCTGGGGTAACGCGGAACTGTTCACTCTGCATGTTGGACTAGCAGGCACAATGTTGATCGTAGTCGGGATTATTTCTTTCGCTTTGGTCATATTTATATTAAAATATGTCTTTAGCAGCGGACCGAATCCCTTCGAGAAGGACACCCGTGAACCGCTGAAAAAGATGGTTCACGACAGGAAGCAGAAAAATAAAGTGCTGAAGCAAGGTGAGTGACCGTCAACGTCAAGTCGAGTTTTTACTTTATAAAAACTTGAGTGATATTTATTGCAATAATAATATGCAAAGTAATCTCAACCGCAAATGCATTTGTAAATAGTTTACGCAGTGAACGCTGTAGGGCTGAAGTCTGGAGGATGTGTGTGTAAAGTTAACTCGGAAACGTGCTGCGTGGGGATCAACAACATTGCTGCGATATTAACTTCAAGCAAATGAAAAAACAAATCCTATTGAAATGGAACTAATTGTTCCAAACTAAAAGTTTTGTGTTGGATTCAAAGTAGCACTGCATATTCCCTTCTGCTGTTTAAAATAAGCCACTGTAAACATATTTAAACCTTGGACTGTTGGAAATGTTATGACTCAAATAAAGCGATAATGAAAATGAAAGTAGGAAAATTCGAGGCTGCTCCGACTCTTCTTCCCAGTATGGATTTAAAATCGGACCAATTCGAATCGTTGGGCTTATAGAATCTCTCTTAGAGCCAATATTACAAAGTGACACATGTCCTGAATGATTGTGGACTGAGGCGGACGATGTCCACTGTGGCCTCCTCAGGTGTCCTCTTACTGTGCCATTTGTGCCGCAGCCATTCCAGGTTGTTCTCTATTTTTTGTTGACAATGCTGTTGCCTTTCCGGCAGGTTTTCTGGCCAGCAGAGTACCTGACAACCTGGACGCCATCATCATCGGCAGCGGGATCGGTGGTCTTGGGCTGGGCGTGCTGCTAGCCAAAGTTGGAAAGAAAGTCCTGGTTCTGGAGCAGCACGATCGGGCCGGAGGATGCTGCCACACCTTCACCGAGAAGGGCTTTGAGTTTGACGTCGGTGAGAAGAACCCAAAATTAAGAAATCGCTGTGACGGCTTTCCATTTCTGTTTGTTGTCGGAGAGCCCACCCCGATATTTCAAGACGCAACAAATTAACGCAATCCCTGTGGTGCCCCCGTGCCGTCCCCCCTCAGGGATCCACTACATCGGCGACCTGCTGGAACACAAGCCGTTCCGCTGCATGCTGGACAGCATGACCAACGGACAGCTGCAGTGGGAGCCGCTGGAGAATCCCTACGACCAGGTCGTGCTGGGACCCCCGGAGAACCGCCGCAAATATCCCATCTACAGCGGCCGGACCCGCTTCCCGGAGGAGCTGAAGAAATGCTTCCCCGGGGAGGAGAAGGCCATCGACGAGTACGTGAGGCTGGCCAAGGTGGGATCTTTTGTGAACGGGACAAAATGGCACCGTGGAGAGTGCGTTGTCAGTCATCCGTCTACCCGATTGTATCCTCTGCTTATTCCTTGAACCGAGCGTTTCTAAACTCTAGCACTTTATCCACATTTTTATTAAGTGTTGTCACTGATATTCATCAAGAGCTCAAGGGTTGGTGAAGCAAAGGTCGGCGGGACCTCCTCTTAAATGAGATGTTGCATAATTTTAACCAGACTGATTTGCAACAGCGTCTTTCACACAAAGATGAAGGAATGTAACTCTCTGTCTTTGAGGATCTATTCTGTGCTTTTCTTCATTGTTGTGTCTCCCCACTGGAATTGCGTAACCGGTAGCTCAGCAACGCCCCCATGGATTTGCTACAGGTTTGGCATGAATATCCAGCTCGGCTCCAAGATGAAATGTTTAGATTTGGCAAGAAGCTTTGATTCAAGGATGAACTGATTAGATTTTGTTGGTCAAAGGTCATTGTGATTGTAATACCGGTGTTTCATTAGGATACAATAGCATTCACGCTTTGGTTTTATGGCCCCTGAGACAGTATTTCTGTGCATAATTCAAAAAATGTTTTCTGGCTTTGTTAATTTTCCTTGTCGAGCTGCATCCTCACACACCCAGTTACACAGTTCCTCTTGGACTTTGTTAAGTACGCTGTAATCGTGCACTTGCAGTGTACTGCGGATCACCATCGTTGTGTCTCATGTGTGTTCCGTCTGCAGAAAGTCGGCCGGGGCATTTGGCTCCTCGCTATGTTGAAGATCTGCCCCGTCCCCTTGGCCAAGTTCCTGGTCTACACCGGTCTGGCCCAACGTCTCTCCTTCTTCTTCAAAATGGCACCTCGCAGCCTGACTGAAGTGGTCAACGAGCTCACCGACAACAAGGACCTCAGGGCGGTTTTCAGCTACATTTTCGGCACCTACGGTAAGCCAAGCCGCGCACGCTGGTTGGCCAGATGGAACCATTTCTGCAGAATCCCGCTCATTGGTTTTCGTGCCTCCGCGTCTGACCCGCAGGTAACATTCCTAAAGACAGCAGTTTCGCTATGCACAGCTTGCTGGTCACCCACTACCTCAATGGTGCGTGGTACCCGAAAGGTGGAGCCTCCGAGATCGCCTACCACATGATCCCCATCATCGAGAAGGCTGGCGGGGCGGTTCTAGTCCGAGCGCCGGTCAACCGCATCCTCTTCAATGACTCCAAGGAAGCTACCGGTGGGTCTCATTTCCTCAGCGCTTCCGGAATCATCACGCAGCTCCGAGTGACCGGAGATGTTCTGGGTTTTGCGTTTTCTTTCTTTGGTCATGGTTGTCAGGTGTGAGCGTCATGAAAGGCCAGGAGGAGATGCATATACACGCCCCGATGGTCATCTCCAATGCCGGCATCTTCAACACATACCAGAAGCTGCTGCCCAAAGAGCTCCAGGCCATGCCGGGTAGGGACTGCAACTGAGCTGGTTGTTTTTATTATGACTCCGTCAACGCTTTGGTCTAGAAAATGTATTTTTTTTTTGACCAACTTTTATTAATTATGCAATGAGTCACTTGATAAAGCCTTCAAGACACTTCAACCTTTGCTGTGACACTCGACGCAGCTATCCAGAAGCAGACGAGCATGATGAAGAACGGCGAAGGCGGCCTGAGTGTGTTTGTGGGTCTGAATGGAACCAAGGAGGAGCTCGGCCTCAAAGCCGACAACTACTGGATCTTTGCCGAGAACAACTTCGACGAACTGTACGTTGTTTTGCATCTCGTGGCCAAAGAGCCATTGGCTCCTAATGAAGAATCTTTTTAGTCTGCTCGGTCAGTGCTTAATGTCTGAGGAGTTCACTGGCCACTCAAACTGTAAATCTGAAAATGCTAAAATCTTTATTTGTGATACTATACTTTCGTATAGTCTTAAAGTTACTCTAATATCATACAGTGTGTTGGAGATATAACAGAAACCGTAAGGAACTTCTTGTCCAGAAGATATTTTTGTTATTATAACATAATATATCTGCTATGTGAAATCGGCTGTTCTCTTTTAAAGGGTGGAGAAGTATTCAAACGGAAAGCGGGAAGAGTCTGCTCATAAAGTACCTCTCCTGTTCGTGGCATCTCCATCGGCTAAAGATCCGACCTGGGAGGAGAGATCTCCAGGTGCAGAAACCTTTCTGGTCCGTTTTTCTACGGTGGACTGAGGATAATTTATAATTCTCTCTCTTTTCAAAACTCTCCCCTCAGGGAAGTCGACCGTGAGCCTGGTCAGTTTTGCCAACTACGAGTGGTTTGAGGAGTGGAAGGACGACAAAGTGTCCAACAGGTCGCCTGAATACAAAGAGCTGAAACAGGCATTCATCGACTCTATCCTGGAGGTGGTTTTCGATGTCTTCCCCAAGATAACCAGAGACAAGGTGACGCGTGTCCCCTCACTGCTCATTAGCTTTTTGTACTGTGTATTCCGGAGATATATTGCTCTATCTATATATATATATATATATATATAGATTTTTTTTTTTTTCTTTCTGGCTATGCTGGGTTGGCACTCCTTTTATGTAGCCTAAAAAGAAACTCAACCACTTCATTAACATGAATCAATAAACTGGGAACGTCTGTCCTTTCTTCCCACTCCCATTTCCTTTAGGTTAATCACTATAATTGTTATCACGTTTTGTTTCCAATTGTTATCTTTTGTGTTGCTTATTACTCATTTATTGTTTCCTATGTGGCCAGTCATACAGAACCGTAAAACCAGGCTTGCCTTCCTGACCTAATCCATGCGTATCGATGTCCATGTTGCCTTTCTTGTGTAGGTTGAGTTCATTGACGCCGGCACCCCCATCACGAACACGCACTACATCGGAGCCCCCAAAGGTGAAATCTACGGGGCGGATCACGGCATCGCCCGATTCAGCCCCGAACTCAACGCCACAGTGAGACCTCAGACTCCGCTGAAGAACCTCTATCTGACAGGTTGGACCCTCCGAGCAGCGCGGTGTCGCCCCGCAGCCCTCCTACAATTCCTCTCACGACTTCAGGGCTAAACTCCACCACTTTCTGTGTGTGTTTTGTGATTCAGGTCAGGACGTGTTCACATGTGGCTTTGCCGGCGCTCTCGCCGGGGCGCTCTCCTGCGGCTCGATCATCCTCAACCGCAACCTCCATCTGGATGCCATCGCCATGGCGAAGAAAATTCGATTCATGAATCCTAAATTGAAAGGGGAGTAACTGCCTGACAACATTGAGCGGAGTGACTGGAGGAGGCCTTGTTTAATTAGCGCTTACTCTCACCCAACACCCCTTTGTGTGGCTGAGTTTTGTGGATTGTTCTGGCTAGAATAAAAGTAAAAGGGGAGTTTCCACACCGACTGGGCTGTGCGTGTACTTTAAAATGTGCACATCCACATCAATTAATGTTTACATAACTCAGTTTTGTTCCAAAAGACAACCCACACTAACATGCAGCTAACATGCCAATGCTTTAAAAAAAAAACTCGATCTAGAAAGTCTTCTGCAGTTTGTTGTGTTCTATTTTATTGTGAAGTGGCCTCTTAATTGGGTTTAAGATGTATCATGTTTTACTCCTTTTTTAATATTAAAAGGTACAAGCGATGAATCAGTTGCAGTTTTGTCTTTGGCTCAACATGTTCATTTAATTTTCTAACTTCAATGAATTTTGCAAATTAATTTGCTTTCGTCTTTCTTGTATTGCACCACTTCGAAGTTCTCGAACTCTGTTTGTTAATTACTAGGACATAAACTAAAATGTTCAAACGGACATCCATTAACTCTGAAGCTCAGTCCTTAAATTGTTGAAAATTGTTTTATTTGGTCTGGAAACACAACTTGTTTTGTGTTTTGTTTATATAGCTGTATATTGTTTATTCTCAGTGGCCACAGTCCTGCACCTGAACGCAGCATATATATATATATATATATTTATTTTTTCCCAGCGACATTGATCGCAACTGGGAGCACGTGTAAGAGCAGCGCGGCTCACCAAACCGATCTGATTAGTTGGCGGATAAAAGGGGTGTGATTGTGTCCTAATGTTCGGACCCTCGCTGCAGCGATGCTGGTTCCCTGCAGGCCGCGGCGACCAACAGGCTAAAGGGCGCTGAGCGGCGTGAGGTGGCGTCCAAACACCGGAGCAGCCGGACTTAAATCCAACTATTTTGAATTGCATCCAAACACTGCCCTTGCAGGTGGTTTTTGCCTGTCTGCGACGGGACGTTCCCCTCCCAGCTAACCCGCGACTAACGCGACTTTTACGCACAGCCTCGTTGGCTAGCTTAATCCGCGATTTGAGAACCGCGGGTCAGAACGCGTGCGCACGGGCAACTTTGTTTTGAATCGCGTGTCACTCCGGCGCCGGTTCAGTCATTTCAAGAGAAATCATGGAGTTCTACGGTAAATCTTTGTGCTACGAGCTGCTGGCCGAGGTCGGAGAGGGCTCCTACGGCAAAGTGTACAAAGCCAGAGAGGTCGGGGACGAACGGCGCCTCCTGGCGGTGAAGAAATTCAACATCTGCGGGGACTCGTCGGAGAACGGGATCCCCGCTTTCATGATCCGCGAGGTGGCGCTGCTGCGTAAAATGAAGTACTTCAACCATCCCAACATAGTCGAGTAAGTTCACGTCTCCGGTGGACTTTATTGTGGGGAATCAATCAATGTTTTAATGGCAGTTTTGTGTTTTCTTTTGTTGATGACTGTGTACACGACACTTAACAGGATAGAATATAATAAATAAAATCTAAAATACTGTTGTTATGAAGGTAAATGTACTGGGTGAGTGATGCAGATATATGAGCCATTTTGGAACGTGTTTTCTGACATATTGGGTGTCTTAAATATTTTTATAACTTGCCGTTTGATATTATTTATTAGGAGCTATTTGTGGCAAGAATGCATTATTTTAACTAAAGAACAGTGCTGGCAGAAAAATGAACTTATATTTCTATATATGTCTCTTCTCCGTGTTAACGTTTGTTTGAATATTTGATAAAAGCAATTTGTCACAGAACCAGAGCTGCACACATACTGTGCTTTAAAAAAAAATCTGCGTTGATTAAGTCAATGAAATCCCCCAGACTGTTGGAGGCCTCTGCTGTGCCAGTGGGCCGGAACCTGGACCTCACTCTGGTGCTGGAATACATTGACCAGGACCTGTCCACCTACCTCGCCAAGGTTCCTGCTTGTGGACTCAGCCGGGACTCCATTAAGGTGTGGACTCGTCGCCCGACTGATCGTAGCACACTACTTTTTTGTTCATTACTTTAATATCTGTTCCAAGTTAGCAGAAATCCCCCCCGTATCGACAAATGCCGATATGCAATACACTTTGAACTTACAGAGATCCTTTCAGGATAAAACAAAATGCTCTACCTCGGCTGTCTGTGTGTCCAGGATGTGATGCAGCAGCTGCTGCGAGGATTGGACTTCCTGCACACAAACATGGTGCTGCACCGTGACCTGAAACCAGAAAACGTTCTGGTCAGCAGCCGTGGAGAGGTCAAAATTGCAGACTTTGGACTGGCGCGCATCTACACCTTCAATATCGCGCTCACTCCAGGTGTAAGTGAGGCAACGCGTACAGATGAGAGGGGGAGGCTGTGAAACAAGCACACGCACGGTTCCTTGACCTGAGGCGAACTTCACCATCTCCTCCCTCGCTGCCTCCGCTCAGGTGGTGACGCTGTGGTACCGAGCTCCTGAGGTGCTGCTGAACTCCGTCTACATGTCCACGGTGGACATGTGGAGCGCTGGCTGCATCTTCGCGGAGCTCTTCCACCTGAGGTAAGGCGCCCGTGTGTGTCATTTTCCGAGCGCCATTTAACAAAGGTTAACAAACCTTCCCACCGGTTGTCACAAGTAGAGATTGCGTTCCAGCATGACGTTTGTTGTGCTTCTCTCTTTGGCCGCTTGTCTCCCACAGACCAATGTTTCAGGGATACTCGGAGGCACAGCAGCTGCAAAAAATCTTTGAGTGAGTCTCTCTCTCTCTCTCCGGATCTCTTTGTCTCCCTCTCTGTATTTTGCTCAGTGATTTGCTCTCCTGTGTGTCCTTCAGTGTGATTGGCTTTCCCAGTAAAGAGGACTGGCCCACGGACAGCCCCATCTCCTACTCAGTCAACTGGGGGCCAAAGAGGTCCTGCACCAAGCTGCTGCACAACCTGGGCCCCGAGGAGAACGACCTTCTATCTGTGAGCACGTCTGGGTTTTCTGTTCTCATCACATCTCACGATGCAACGCAATGGTAGAAAAATAGCTGACTTTGTCAAGCTTTGAATCGTTTCGGGGGAAAAAATGAATAGATTTTAACATTTCTATATTGAATATACGGGCAACAAAGATCAAGGATAATAATGCTGATATGAATAGTCATTTAATTGACAAATCTTCAGGATTGTGACAGTAGTTTATTTCATTAAGTAAGAAGACAAATTAACTTGATTGAAGATCTAAATAAGTAAATAAACTAATAGGCATGAAATAAGATTGGAAATAAAACCCACAAAACAATTTCTAATATTATGAAATTCTGTCTACTATTTTCTTTTTCTACATCAATGGTTTAAATTGAATTTGTAAAACAAAGAGACTCCAGAAGGTAGAGCTAAAACACCACGCGGGCCCCTGATGGGTCAAAGAAAATCATCTTTCAGATCCGGAAACTACAATAGCGGCAGAAATGTCCCTCGACCCAGATTTCAAAATCCCAACAGAGTCCCGTTGACAAAGCACAGACCTTCCTGCCCACGGCTATTCTGAGTATCCTTCCTGACTCCTCTAAACATCTGGATCAAAAAATGTTTCTCTGCTGGAGGTAAAAAAAAAAAGCCCTCCTTTCCAAAGTATGAGATAAGTAAAGCAAATCCAGCAGGAGGAAACTCATAGCATCTTGTCCAACAGTTGCTGGGACATTTCTGTCTACACCCAAGTGTGGAATGACCAGCATTGCTATCCTCAGAGCCACGGTGCCAAAAATAGCCAATATTTTCTAGTCCCAGCTTCGTAGATGCTCATCTGTGTTTCATGACTCTACATATCCATATTGTTTGCGTTGTAGGCTTCCTGTCGAAATGAGTATGAAGTGAGAAATGATGCTGTAAACAATTATCGCAATAATTCAGATGAATATAAAACGAGAAATAGCATCACCCAGCCTTCACACACACACAGTGCCTTTCTCCAAGTAGTCGGTAAGGTGTGACCTCTCCTTACCCGCAGCAATGTTTGGCATTCAGACCGAGCAGTCGCACCTCAGCCGCCAAAGCCCTGGCCCATCCTTTCTTCATGAACCCCTGAAGCTCTGGAAGATCAGCGACGCCGGGTCCTTCTGCTCCTCTCAGCTGTACTAACGGGTCTTGTGCCATAATATCCACCGTGCACTTTGCATCATGAGAAGCTGTGAGCAGGGTTGAATAAAAAACGTTGTTACTTTTGAGCGTCAGTGTATAAAAACACTGTGCCTGACTTACAGAGGACTACTCGGTAGTTTAAAACACTTTTGTTTCGATTTTTGTTTTTGAAGGAGTTTGATTTACTTACTTACTGATTTGACGAGCCTTAATATGAACACAGTAAAAGTGTGTTGCTGCGTTGTGTATTTCCACAAAACATTGTTTACTTTGTTACTGTTGAGTGTTATAAATAACAATCCTGTATTTGTCAACTAGCAACAACAATGTTATGAGCACCTTAAAGTTGACGTGTTGGATGGATTCATGTTTTTTCACCTAAACGTTTTTTGTTCTAGGCTTGTATGTTAAGTCCTTTTAGTGTCTGTTTATGGTGTAATCGCTGGAATAGATTTCCTGTGTGTAGACGCCTATATTGAAAAGATTGTACAAGATTTTCTTTTTTCTACACGAGTTGCACTGTTCATTCATGAAGCGTTTCTATAAATAATTGTCTTACAAACCATCTCTGCATTTGAATGTCCCGGCATTGATAGCGGACGCCTTCGGGTTCATTAGGAGGAAGATCAGCAGGTCGGGATGATGGATAAACAGAACGCAGACCTTCTCTCTCTTGCATCAGTGTAGTCCGAACAGAAGGTGGCAGTGCTAACTACCGTTCTTCTCTCCACCACCAACCAGTGTCCATGCTGGAACGGTAAAGTTCACCTTGCGTCTGTTTCACGTGAGCTAAAGCAAATGCTAAATTCTAAAGATTTAAATTTTGGTTTAGGTAAAATGGTTATTTGTTTTGCAGTGTGCTTTACATTTGCAAAAAAAAATTAAGCCGCAAATTCGCAATTTATTTACATAATTAAACAAAACTGACGTCATCGCGGGGATTTCAAAGCCCTCCGTCTCCCTGAAAGCTGTGTCTCTCCGTGGCCACACACGCGGCCGCTGTCCTGCACAGTGGCGGGGGCCTCCCATGGTTTGTCCTTCTATTTATACGCGCTCCCTTGATACGACGAGCCCTCGGCAGCTGCGAGCGTGACTACATTTGGAGCGACAGGCCGGCAGGAGGGCCACTGCGGAGGCACCGGCGGGCTGAGGAAGGGCGGCGGCACCACTCGTGCCCGGTTCACGCGGCGCACAGTGCTTGTAAGTACTTGGAGCTACCGCTGGTTTTACGTCTCTTCTAACGAATTTAAAGTCGAACATGTAGCCAGGCGCCAGGAGCATTGTCCTCAATGTTCTGGGTATTGAACCGCTCCTGGTCTTTCTTTCCTCAGACCGGCTGAAGTTCGGTTAGCACGGTGATTATGGAAGTTGTGGTGTCCACTCACTTTCTGAATCTTTCTCTAAAAAAGTTGTGTGTAGTCTCAAAAATAACTGAGAACATGTTTTACGCGCGTTTTACGCACAAATTACGCACGAACGACGCGGTAAGAACAAATCATCTGAACACTTTGTGTTTGTGTTTCCATCTTATTTTATTATTCTACAACCGGACAAAATATGGTGCTGCGTTTTTGTTTTGAAACCTTTTATATTTGTTCCCTAGGAACTATTACAAAATGCTTAGTCCAAACACGTTCGAGTATCAATACGTTACTTCTGGTGATTGAAAATGTATCTTTTCCAAAATCAATATGACGGATTAGCACTTTGACCAGCTATTTGTTGGACAAATAAATCAAACGTATATCTGAAATGTTAGAACTTCCATCGGAGCCGCTGATAATGTGCTGCGTCCTGCTGGGAGCTAACAAGGGGATTACGGTGCTTACACGAGGAGAAAGCTGGTGCTATATTCACCCTGCTGACATGCCTTTTAATATAGAGATCAGGCTAAAGGTCAATGCATATCTACGTGGACACATCCAGACTCTCACGTTTTGCTGCTGCGCATTCTCACAGAGGGCAAATTAAGGAAAGACCTCATGCTTCATGATGTGCTTTTCTCAAGGTAGAGCAGCCAGGACAGGTGTAATTGGTCGGAGGCTTATTCCAGGCGAGCCTTTTAATCATGTTTACTCTGCTGCGGTTGTTAGACACTGAGATCATTTTCTTATGTAACATCCAACATGTCTGCACTTTGATTAAAACAATTCTGCATGCATAAAATATATATGGTCAGGTTGAAAGTAAAGGTGTTTGAGAAGTTCCTCGGTAACACTGTGTATGATTTGGATTCACGACTAGCTTTTGTTTAACTCTCTTGATATTTTTACTATTGACTATTCCTGAGTAGGTGGAGAATGGGACCTGGGGGCTCATCCACCGGCTTTATTTCAGAGCTGGTGTCAACTAGTGTCGCTGGATTAGAAGCCAATGATCCCTATTGAGCCTCTGTTGCGTTCTTTCCTCCAATCAACAATCCTCCAGCTTGTCACATGGCTTTTTTTTCTCTTTCAACATGAGTGGGAACTTACTTGTGTTCTGCCATCGGAACATAAAGTAGTGGGACTGGAGATGCTCGTGGCTTCTGGTTCTTCTGGTTCACATTTTGTTCATATCACATGTAAGCAGGTTTTAAAGTTGCAACCAGGAGACACAGAACACAAATCCTTGGTTGTCTTGTCAGTCACTCCAACGCTGACAATGTCTGCAAAGTTTTATAAGTTTATAAGATGACATCATTATATACCTCTGTTTCGTAATGCTTCTGACAAGCATGCTTCTGACTTCTGGCGGACCTTACCTGCAGTTGTGCAGACAATCATTGCACTAACCACTTCGTAGAAGCTGCAAACATGCTAAAATAAACTTGTATCTTTGACTTTGTGAGTTCACCAGAGTCATTCAGCCCTGCTGCAGATAGATCTGCTTTACTAAGTCAGTGGCTCACGTGTCTTTGTTCTCACTCCATTGTGCTTCCTGCATCAGGAATGCTGACATCCACAGTTTCAGCGTTCACGGTCACTCACTTGTGAACCGATCTGACGGTTAGCCGCTGTCTTTAAATGCAAATCGTGCCATATCTGTGCTATTTATATGTGGCTTCCAGCCTCAGCCGTTGTTAGTGATGTTTATTCACCTCCAGGCAACCGTGATGTGGCCAACTGGGGACTTTCTTTTGGCTTGTCAGCATATTGCCAGGAACATGCCACAATTCAGATAGGTCATCAACTCATTTGAACCCACAGCTAATCAGGGATTAATCGCACCTACTTATATAACATTTAAAGAAGAAGTTCCAGTCAGAGTTGTGGAGAAGTTCAGCGAGCCTGAATCCCCAGTGCCATGGCTGCCCAGAGCCAGCGTGGAACTGAGCTGGTGAGGGATTGAGTTTCAATGCAAGGGGAGATTTCTGCATGAGACTGCAAGCTGGTGCAGGTCATCTTACATGGACTCAAGCAAGATGAGAGAAATCGAGAAATTAGTTAATGTATAATAAAGGCTTAGCAATGTTGCCATGAACCCCTCTAGAAAGCCGTGTACAGACTGCTGAAGGGCACATGAGTGGTGTGTCTCTGACATGTTTTTTGTTTGCTTATGCCTCTTTCAGGGGAAATGTTTTACTCACCAAGGAACAGATTGTTCTTCAAACTCTGATGGGTGGACTCTCTCTCAGCTTAGAACGTCTCTAGGTCCAATGGAGTCTGAAAAGAGCAACCTGTCGGATTCCTTTTCCTAAATGCTTTGCCGGTCATTCAAGGAGGATACAACTGATCAACTGAATCCCCCTGAGGGACATGGACGCCGCGGAAAACCCGGTCCTGGAGCCCCGGTCAGAGCGGATCGCTCGCTATAAAGCTGAGAGAAGGCGAGAACTGGCCGAACGCTTCGGCCACGTGGAGGAGCTACCTTCCAAGTGGGTGAGGAGGAACAGGAATGAGGGGCCCGGCCCAGCGACCGAAGCCCACGGAGGGGCTGAGAACTCTGATGGCCTCAGTGAAAGAGTGAACGGAAGCATGCGAGAGGTCACAAATGGATTAGAGGATCCTGCAGAGTCTGACCGCTCGAGAAGGTGAGTCACGTGCGCAGGGAAAGAGGACTGGATTGAGGGAGCAGCGAAACATCACACAGCTGTCACCCACGGCAAATGACTTTACAATTACAAATTGCATATGTGAACTTGCATGTGGTTATCAAATCCGCGTGAGGATCTTTTTTGATCTTTTGCAGCTTTAAAAATCTTAAAATATCCAAAGAGGTTTTGGATTGTGTGGATGCAGCAACGAGTTTGTGTCTGTACGTTTTCTTGAGTCTGTATGTGGAGGAGAGCACGGTTCTCTTGGGCTTAATTTCTGCAAACAGCAACACAGCTACATGCCAACTACCTTTTCCACCTTGACAACAATGCACACTGCAGGCCTTGTCCTAAAATAACAACACAGGTCATATTTTGACCTATTTTGAGCATTTGACTGATATCATCCCTGAGGAGACGGGTAACGTAACCCAAGAGAAAATGAGACGTCATTTATGTTTTAATGCACGTGTAACTTTACGACCCTTTCTCGGTAAATTCTGTCAAGTGCACACAATTGAATGACTTCCTTCTTCAGAAGCACTGATCCTCCCGCTTAATTTTAGCCACTGCTACAGAAGAGCGTTTGACAGACCGTGGTCAAATTAGAGGTCAAATAAATCTTCATTTTAGACCTTACTGAGTTAGTGAGGGATTAGAGTATTCACATCTTTTCCAAAGTTCACAGCGTACGTCCCAGAGGATTATATTATACTACCAGTTTCTGAAATTGGTCTCCTCCTTTGCCCGAAACCTTTGTGCAGCTACAGGACCTTGACTTCCCCAGTTGCTCGGCAACCTTTGTTTCTAATTCAAACCGAGCGATCTAAATCAGTGGCTCCCAGCAGGGAACATTAAAGCCAGTCTGATTCTCCTGCAGTTGATTGGAACGCTTATCCCGCCATGTGGTCCGGGTGCTTTTCCTTGGAGGAGCACAGACTGGTAACCTGGTAACTCCTTTAGTGTAGGAGCTTCACATTGTTTGGTCTCTTCCCGATTGAAAGCTTCAAGATTAGATTTAGCCCCCCCCCCCCCCCCCCTCCGAGAGCGAGTTCCTCACCCCTACATTGACCGCACCTGCATCCTCGCTCCCTTCCCTTCACTCCCGCCCCCCTCCCCCTCCACCCCCCTCCCTCCAGGCAGGGTTCCCCGGACTCTGCCAGCATGCTGAGTGGGGAGGGGCACCTCGTCCCTCTCGGACTCGATGCACCGCAGCTTCACACCCGAGTGTCGGTGGGCCAGTTGAGAAGTGCTCTTCTGCAGCAGACGGGGCGGCGTGGAGCGCAGGCCGATAAAGCGTAGGGTCACCTGCACGTGTGCGTGTGTGTGTGTGTGTGTGTGTGTGAGAGATCCAAGCTGTCACTGTCAGCCCTCCTGTGTGGCAATCTTTGTCTTTGCCTCAACATACTTCTTCTCCTCCCTCCTCCTGCTCTGTTTGCGTGGATACCAGCTGCCCCGAAGCCGGGCGGGCCGCGGCGTCCTCCCTCGATCTGGCTGTGGCGCCGGGCTCCGAGGGGGGGCGGCGACGCCCCCGGCGGTACCTCCCCGGGGGCCCGGGAGGCGGTCGCAAGACGAGCGAACGCTTCAGGACACAGCCGATCACAGCCAACGAGATGGAGGAGAGCGGCGGGTAGGAGCCGTGTGCCGTGGTGCAAGACGAGGCACCTGGTTTGGTTTTTTTCTTCCCCAAAGAAGATGCTGTGTGCGGCGTTTTTATGACTTGCATCTGGTGGCTTCCAATGCTTTCAAATTGCTGCATAAATGTGGTTAAACTCGCCTGCGGTGTGACAGGTACATAACCTTTACATAACTACCCACAGGTGGTGTGGTGTGGTTTGCATGTGTTTGCTCTCCATCACGACCTCCACAGTGTTGCATATTTGAGCATGCAAATATGACACGGTATCTTGATTTCTTTGGAGCTCCGTACTGAAGCACAAAGAAGTAGATTGTAAGCGGACAGCCGGATGTGATAGAGGACGCGCAGCTTGTGACTTCTTGTTTTGTCTCTCTTCCCCTCTTCTAGGCTGTTGGACGCGGAGGAAGAGGAAAACCGTAAAGGTGAAGCTGTGTTATTGTGTTTGCAGACAAACATCTTTTGCCGGTTGCGCTGGTGCGCCGGCCATATGAACCGTGGGAGAAGGTGACAGCAGCACAACAATGTTCACCACCGACGGAAAATGATGTGAACACAATGATGGCGGCAGGGGAAACGGTTCAAATATGAAGAAAAAAAAAAGACATTTTCATCACACGCCTCTTCGAGTGTTGCACAGTTGTCTTCACAACGTCCTAAAGCAGCTCATTAAATGAATCAGGTTATATATTAAGGCCGACGATGTTTTACTCTTTGATGACAGATTTACGTCCCGCAAAACCATGTGAGCAGTGGAGTACTGCTAAGTCAGTCCCTCCCATCAAAGAAACTACAAGGAAGTACTTTAGACACTAGTAGATAATAGCTTCTTTACTATTTGGACTCATTTAAGGCCATAAGTCGTCTGCCATTCACTTACTTACTACATTGTTTTAGCTCTACAAATATGACATAAGTTAAAGGGATAATTCTAATTTTGAGGCAGAGTGATATAAAAAATTATTACCTACATCAAATCAATGTAGTCTTCTTTTAGGTGCAACCGTAGTTTATGCACTTAATAGAAGTGCAGGCTGTATTTAGAGTATTTGCCTTTCATATTGACCTCGGTGTCAGGCGGCTCTTTACGACTTTGCTCTCTTCTACGCACACTTTCTAAGAAAACAAACAAACCCCCCACCCAGGTAATTTACCTTAACAAGGCAAAGGATGTTTTTTATTTTTTTTAAAGGTAATTTCACCACAAACTAACCGATCAAGGCCTCTCTGATCTCCAGCACCTTCCTCGCACATCTATTAGTGTCTGAAACGTGTGCTGATTCATCACCTGTTAATGACAGTGGTCAACGTCTTCTATCTTCTCACAGCTGAGGTGAAAACAGACGACAGAGCACAAATGAGCGTGGCAGCCAAGATGTCTTTGTTTAAAGTGAGTCTATGTTCGTCTCGGCACTGAAACAGGATCCCTGTTACTTCTGATGACCTGCTTGTTCTCTCTTACGCTATGTGCAGTCTACTGCCCGCTTATAAATACCATTCTCTATATGTGATGGAGACGTGCATCCGTTGATGAAGCTCGAATAAACACGTTTAACTAGAACTACTGTCAACTGCAGATGAAAATATTGTTAATAAAGACGCATGCTAAACCCAAACCACACGCAAAGCTACTGATAAGTTGTCGAGGAATGCGTTGAACGGCCAGAGAAAGCTGCGTCCATCGTGGGCCGTCACCTCAGCTGCTCACCTTACTGTTTGAGACGCGTCGGCCAGTCAGCGCTGAGCACGCAGAACACAACCCGCTCATGTTGACGGAGGCGAATGATTAAACAGGTGCACAGTCGGTGCTATCGTGTCTGTTTGCACTTTTTTTGCGGTGTGATAACACCGTTTTTGTCTTCGCACCGAATGAAACACATTCTGTTTTTTGTTTTTTTTTCTTCCCAATCTCCATTCCTCATGCACAGTTTTAGTCGTGAAGCTTCAGGTGAACATGTGCCAGGCGCTGTATTACCATGGACAACCATAGCAGCGTGTATAATTAGCCTGCTGCTCTGTGGAGGCAGCCGGGGAGGTAACTGAAGCCAGCGCAGCTCTGGTTACACTGTGACCTGTTGGGCCGGCATTCTACCCATGTAGCCAACACGCTCCACCTTCCAGATAGCTGCTTTATTAACCCGCGATCCAACCCCCCCAACCCCATCTGTCAATACAAATAGAACAGGAGACACTTGTTCTCCCGTATTACTTATTTAGCAGGTGGAGGCTGTCTATTGAAGCGGCTAAAAAGACCAAATATGAAGGTCAAATGTTGATGTTAACGCGTTTCCCTGCCTCCTCCGTAGGAGCTGGAGAAGTCGGCTGCGCCAGAGTCCTCGGCCTTCCTGAAGCCTCGCTCGGGCAGCGTGTCTTACGAACGCAGGGGTCGTCGTGGCAACGACCATCGATTTTTGACTCAGCCAATCACCTGTGAGGACATCGTGGCAATCAGGTGGGGAAGCCTAGTGGCCACAGGGAGGGAGATTTTAGATTCCGTATTTGAATTAGTGACCTTATCTAGAAGCATATAACATGGACATTTGTTGGATTCTAAAACAGGGGGTAATGGCGCATGTGCTGGGGACTACCTTCAGCAGCAGAATAACACACATTTGGATCATTTTCTGCAGCAGTACGTTTTTACAAAGGATTGCTAACAAACTACCCTTTAATGTTGATAATGGAGCACAAAAGATCTAAGAATTCAGTTTTAGTTTTAGCTGTTGCTTTCTGTAATCACAAGTCTTTTTTATAAAACGCGTTCTCATGTTTCTCTGCAGCAACCCCAAACCAGCACCACCGGTGGAGTCCCAGTCTCTGCAGCCTGAGCCAGTGGAGGATAGCGATGAGAGCTGCAAGCTGACCATGAGCGAGAAGCTGGCCCTGTTCAATAAGCTCTCCCTGTCGGGGAGGGAGGAGGGCCGTCCTGCCGACGGACCCCCAGAGAGGCGGAGGCAGAAGGGAGCTCGGTACCGCACACAGCCCATCACTGTGGAGGAGGTCGGCCTGGTGAGTAAATAAAAGCAATGAAAGATGGTCAATACTACAGACTAAACAAAGAAAGAACACAAGTGTCTTTTAAAGAGCACAGTCAAGGCTTTTAAGCTTTAAAGATGGTTAAAAATGAAATACACATTATTTCTAAATATACAGTATGTTTCTATATGAAGTTGTGATCTATACCTACTGTTCGTCTGACCTTTTGTGCCTTGTCTTTGTTCAGCTCCAACAAGGCCCTGTGCAGCTTCCCGCCTTCTGTTTGTCCCCCCATCTGTCCGACAGACAGCAGGCCTCGTCTGTCAACCTCAAACCCAGCGAGATACGCTTTTCCCAGCCAAGACCTGACACCGATCCTGTGCCCGGGGAGCCTACGGGCTCCACCCAGCACCAAGACCTGGAGCCGGTCTTGAGAGGGATCCTGAAGAAGAGGCACTCCGGAGGCTCAGAGGGGGGCAGGAAGGAGAGCGCGGAGACGGATGCAGCTCGCAGCCATGAACAGAACGGTGGAGGCCGGGAAGAAGCCGAGATGCGACGGGGGGGAGAGAGCCCCGAGGTGCAGGGAGCGCCTGCGGCACCGCGGAGAAAGAGAGGAGACGCTTCAGGTGCGGATGGAGGCTCACTGGCTGCCACGCCGTGGAGGCAGAGGGCTCGGACCAGGAGGGAAACCATAGCCTGTGTGCCAATAACAGGACTGTCAGATCAGGATACTCCTCGGGAGGAGAGGGCCTGCCAGACAAAGTTGCCGGAACAGCTGGTTTCCTCTGCGGATCTCAGCTCAGAGACAACTTGGAGAGTTCAGTGAGTGATGGGTGCCTCAGTATAAGAAAAAAACATTGACCGCTTTATGCATTAGGGGCTGCAACAATGATCAATTGAACTGAAATACAGTTTTGTGGTGGTATTTTGAAACTTATAATCTGTATTTTCACTGTCCAAAAGACAACCGAATGAAAGGAGGACGAAAGAAGAAACCACAGCCATGGAAGATGTTCATGTCACACTGGTAGATGGCTCTGTTAAGCTTCAGGAGTCCACCAACAGCAGCAGAAGTAAGGTGAGAAATAGAAATATGTCACGCTGCTGCTCCAAAGGTCTGTGATATCTTGACTATGTGCAACAAGGATTTCAGTGGACCGAATCACAGCGGCAGAATCAAACGTTGCTCTGCTTCTTCTCTGTAAAGGGAGAACGTTTGGACCTCCATTATTTCTAGTCCTTTGAGAGTCCAGTTTGGAGCGACTGGGTCTTTAAACCGTCAGCAGGGGGATATGGTCTTATTTTACTTTTCACAATCAAATTTTTGTACCCAACTTTTAAGCTTTCAGTTTGATGTACTCACTCAAATCTTCGTCAAACTTCCAAAATCCAAAGGTGATATGAAACGTATGTAATTAATGTGTTCATTCAGGCTGCATTCGACCCTCACAGAAAATCATATTGCATTTTGACCATTTGTAATACAACATAAACGTTTTTCACGCGCATAACAATAACAACGTACTGTCATTTAGTGTGGTCTGAAGTTCCCGGTTTCTTTTCTTTTCCCATATGACCACGCAGGGCTTATTTCAAATGATGTACAGTACCCAGCAATGAAATGCTATCTGTCTAAAACAAAAGGCCGCAGTGGCCCGAAGGACTGGTTTTAGTGTCTTGTCCTCTGGGAAAGCACCCATGGGCTTGGCTGAAGTTTGCTTCTTGAGGTTGTCGGGTTCACGCTGGTTAGATCCGTGCATTTGTCATTCCAGGGAAACCAGATATAACGTCTCTTAGCAACAGCACTCTGGATTTGGTAGGTGCTAAATGTCGTGCGATCAGTTGAAAGTTACTGGGGAATATGTTGTGTTTGTGTAATGAGAGGGGTTTGACTTTCTCGGAGCATTATATGGAATGTAAACAGAGTGATTTGATTCTCCTGGTTAAATGTTGACACTTTAGTGACCTTTTGATCAGCGGCTGGCCCGAGGCGACCGCTGTGCGTACCGTGTCTGTGTGTGTTAAGGGGAGGCATCCTTTACCGCTTCCATAATGTCTTCTTGCCAAAATATGAATCACGGTGCTTCTCCTGGGTTTCACGTGATATCAATTGATTGGAAATAGATTTGACTAAATCTGCCAAATTTTGAATTATCTACTGATACCCCACATTCTGCCCTTTGCAGGGAGAAACCAATAGCCTCCCTGTGGACGGTGTCCCCCCCCAGTGCTGGGTAAGTGTTCCACCATTGCTTTGAAATGCATTGATCCATCTCATGCCCCGCTACCACGATTATATACGTACTAATTTCACAACAGCCTTAGCCTTCCCCGTTCTCTTCTAATTCCTCTTCTCTCCCAGGAACCCGTCTTTGCCTCTCTCTATTCTAGCAGTGCCCCCCAATATATCATGTGTTTCAATCAGGTAACTGTTTGAGTCGCGGCATGGCCAAGTCATTGTGGCTTTTCTCTTTTTGGTTTGCAGTGTTTTGTATGCAGTGAGAAGTTTTATTCACACGTGCAGATGATGTGTGAAGTTTCATCTCGCTAACGAGACCACTCTGCCACCTGCAGAGTGTTTTTCGGAAGTGACACATTGCAGCTCGCACTTCACGGTTTCCATTTTGTTTCTGTTAATTCTGTGCTTTCTAAGTTTTGGCGGTTTAACAATGGTAAACAAGCACAGTTTACATGTTACTAATATGTTTCCTTTTTAGGAGAATCCAAGTGTCTCCCTTTTTATTTTACTGTGTATATTTATAGGGACAAAAGATAGTAATCAATACTAATGTGCCTGAAGGCTAATCATCAACTAAAAGGCCTAAATTAATCATTGTCAAGAAGGTAAGCAAGTTAAACAAAGCAACAGTAATGTCAAAAGAAAGTTTTTCCTTTTCCACCAAAAAATCAGTCAAATCCATTTTTTGGTAATTTTGCCGCTTGACTACATTTTGTATCTTGATAGCTTTTTCTTTTTTTGGATGTTCGTTGATCTTCCCGAATGAATCTGATTCAATCTACAGTTTTATGTGCGTCTCTCCGAAGGGGCCGTTCTATACTATGCTAAAGAACTCCCCTGCTACTTCATTATCCATGTATTCTGTTTCAACTCATCCGCAGACCAAAATGTCCTTTGAGGCACAAGAAGTCTCCTCTTCCACATCAGACCTGATTCCGCCGCAGTGGAGACAGAAGGTGACACACATTTCACACGCATTTCTTTTTTGAAGCTTTAAGTTGCAGAAGAGCTCATCTCTATCTAACATATAAAACCTCCTGTTTTCTCCCCCCGTAGAGGGCTGAGGATGAGATGGAGGACGTTGAGGAAATGAATACAGACCATGAAAGTAAGGAGCAAGAGGCCGGATGCACGAACAAGAGAGGTGAGTTCACGTGTTGTAGTTTGCTTACATTATAACTCCTTTGCTTTAGTCACTTTGTGACCGGTGCCTCTTGTGTCCGTTAGGATCTACAGAATCAGACAGAAATGCCACCTCGCATAACAAGGAACACTCTGGAGCTCTATCGGGCTCAATTGAAGGTAAGCGCTGCGTTAGATGTGAATAAAACCGTTTGTTTCTGTCTAAACTGTTTGCTCAATTTGCTTCACAGCAATCCGCACGCTGTCTCTGAATGTGAGGTCATGTGAAGCCTCGCCGATATAAGTTGTTAACGTCGCGAGTGTTTCATTCCATGTCTGCGGTCCTGCAGCTCCACAGAGCTCTCCGCTCTCGGCGGCTCCCCATGAGGCGACGGAGGAGACGCCGGGGGATGAATCCAACACGTCCGACGCTGGTTTCCACGGAGATCCGCCACATCCCTCCGCCTGTGTGCCCCCACCCTGTGGAGACGTTGCAGCTGCAGAGAGTGAGCAGGACCTCGGGGTTCTCTGCCAAACCAACACGCCCGTGTGAGTGTTTTTTTACTTCTTCTTTTTTTCTTTTTAACATATATGGATTTATTGATTATTGTAAGATTATTAAATGAATAGTTATCTGAGCAGTAGCCTATACTATAGCACAACATCTTGATTTCAGGGAGACAAATTGCACTAGATCGGTATTTGTAATATTTCATCTATATAACACAAATCTGAGTGAAAGTATCTATCTGATATATTTAGACCGACAAGAAATAATCCAAAAAACAAGGAAATAAATGTAGCATAATTCCAATGACAATAGTTATGTTGAAAATATTCAATATTTAATACTATTTATTCATATAAATAAATTAAAGGGATACCTAGCAAATGGTAACCATTTGATAGCGGCCCTACAAGTCGTTTGTATTTAAATACAATATGTATTTCCATTTTTTCTTTTCTTTCATACAGATGTGCTGATTTCAACTGTGGTCTAAATGATATGTGCATCAAATACTTAGTAAACTTCTGGAGCTCTCTTAGATCTCATAATGGTCTCAAAAGTTAATGATAACACTTTATTTTTGTTGTTGTTGTTCATTAGTTTACTATGTTAGATTTTATACTTCCTGTCCAAACACTAGTACCACATCATTATCTATTAGTTATATTGACTTATACTAAAGTATATACTCATGGAGACTTGGTACACTGTCCGTGTGAAGCCGTATTTGTCGTGTGTGTTTGGTGCAGACTGACCTCGTCAGTAGCCGAGCACAGGCGGTCCGTCCGTCCGTCCCGTCGGACTCAGGGCTCCAGAAACCCTCTGAGGGCTCTCGCCGCCCGGGAGGACATCATGCAGGACTACATGGGAGAGACGGTCAACAACACGGCCGCTGAGGAGAGCTCCCAAGCGGAGAAGAGTGAGCGGGAATATTTTCACTTCTCTCATTTCCTGTCTGCTGTCTTCCTTATTCGGCCCCCGCTCCATCTTGTATTTTTCCCTCCCGACAGAGTCCAAGATCTCCTCGGTGGCGGATCCACGTCTCTCCGCGTCACACCACCTAATCGGTGCCTTGGATTCTACCAACTCCTATCCTCCCTTCAGCAGCCTGATGCTCATTCACATTAAAGGTCAGGAAACGCTTGTGTCCCTTAAATGCCGTCTTTGTGTTGAGCTTCCATATTAACCAGTGCTTGTGGTGGCAGGTAGGCGGCATGTCCAGGTGCGTCTGGTGGAGCCGTCGGCGCAGTCGCTGAACAGCGGAGACTGCTTCGTGCTGGTCACCCCGCAGCATTGCATCCTGTGGAGTGCAGAGTTTGCCAATAAACAAGAGAGAGCCAAGGTACAACCAGGGCTGTGTTCATTTTGTATGGCGGCGATAAGCGCGGCGTGTGCAGGACGCCACGGTGTAATGTGTGTATGAGTGAAGTAAAATGGGAATTTGGTCAAAGTGTGTAAAAATGAAAATAAAAAACATGTTTTACTTTTATTTTGGTAACAGCTGCTATTAAAATATAATTTGATAGAAAAATGTTCAGTTTGTAATGATACTAGAACTCTGGATATCACTGAACACACGATCTAATGCGGCACCTGGTCTGTTTCCACATTTCATATGCCTGTTCTGCCGTGGTATCAGAAAGCTCTCCTTGTTGTTTTTCAGGCGGCTGAGTTGGCGTCGTCCATCCAGAAGGATCAGGATCTCGGCTGTCGGGCCTCCCAGGTGGTCTACCTGGAGGAGGGGCTAAACTGTGACAGCAGCCTGGCTGCAGACTTCTGGAACCTTCTTGGAGGAAGGAGACCATACGGAGGTTAGTGGTCATAATGTCCGCTGGGTACATTGTGTATAAAAAGCCGATTGTACATACGTTATTGAAAAGGCAGGGAAATTGGAGTGTAATGAGATTATAAAGTATATTTTATAGCGAACTTTATGTGAACTGTGAGAATCCTGTATGTTGTAATTACTGTAACATCAGTATATTCAATATTTAATTACTATGTATTTTCTGTATGTTTTCCTTCCCTGCAGGAGCCAGTGCAGATGAGGAGGACGAGCTCTATGAGTGCGGCGTGGTGGAGTCGAACTGTGTCTACAGGCTGGTGGAGAACAGACTGGTGCCTCATGAACAGGCCTGGGCCTCCATCCCCAGAGTCTCCCTGCTGGGCTCCAACGAGGTCAGAGGTCTCCTCTGAATGATCCTGTTTGCTCCAACAAACATGAGAACATCACAACATAAATTATGTTAATTCAAACTCATTTCAAACTCTATGCACCTACTGTACTTGTGTGTGTGTGTGTGTGTGTGCACAGGCCCTGGTGTTTGATTTCGGCAGCGAGGTGTACCTGTGGCTCGGACGGGATGTTTCCCTCAGCAGGACGAACGTTGCTCTCCAGCTGACTCACCAAGTGTGGGCCGGACCGTATGACTACAGCAACTGTCGAGTCAACCCGCTGGATCCCACTCGGTGCAACGCGAACACACAGCAGTGAGTTCACACTGCAGGCGGTAAACCTTTTAGTCCCTGCTTCACAGCAAAAAATACACCGCATATAAATATCAGAACGCATTACAGAAATATTCCAGTACAGTGTGTGTGCTACACATATTCAAACACTGCTGTGCACACAATTAAAGCAGCGGGTGTAATTCCACTTTAGACACTGTGAGCATTACGTTTAATGTGCACGCAGCTCTAAAACACAAGCAGGGGCATCAGAATTCCTCATTGCCACACATGCAGCAATTCAACATTGTTGTATATAGTTGTATATTTGGAGCATTATGTTGTCATTATAATGCTTGACTTTTTTTTTTTTTTTGGAACTCCGTCCTCAGGACAGGACAGGGGCGTCCCAGCTGGGCGTTGTTCAGTTGTGTCTCAGAGCACAACGAGACAACTCTGTTCCGGGAGAAGTTTCTGGACTGGACAGACGGGAAAGGAGGCGCGGAGGACGCCGATGCGGTGAGCACGGACGCGCAGGTCCATCCCGCAGTCTCACATTCAGAAGTCAGTGACGGACTAATAAGATTTGATTTGAAGGATTCCTTTCTCGCTTGTAACACCCGACTCTCCACAGCCCGCCCCTGTTTTGTCCTCCCCGTCCGGGTGTCCCGCTTCAGACGCCCTCAGCGCATGTGATGCCAAGGCTCTGGTTTCGGGTCAGTCCCTGGGAGGGGACGGCTCGATCCACAGCGTGTTGGCGGGGGTTGATGTCCAAAGGGGCCACGGGGTCATCACGCTGGAGGAAGGATATCAGATGGAGCTGAAAACAGTCGCTGTGGACACTTGGCACGTCCAGGAGTTTGACGACAGTGAAATTCCTGTGGAGAGCACTGGACAGCTCCACGAAGGAGACTCCTACGTCATCCGCTGGACGTACAGCATCCGCGCCTGTGGTCAGTGACATCATGGTCTCACGGAGACTCTACCACACTCTCCTCGATGAGGCCTATTCTGCCGTTTCAGTCGGTGTGGTTTGATTTGCAACAGGTTTTCTCTGCTGTAGATAAGACAAACTGCACCGGTGAATCGAGTAAAAGTCCCGGACTAAAAGAAAAGACGGCTTTCTTCCTGTGGCGGGGTTGTCACTCCAGTGTCAGCGGGCGGGACACCGCTGCTTTCTTGTCCATTGGGATGAAAAACCATGAAGAGTCACAGGTAAGGTCTTTTCATTCATGTTAAATGCTTTATTCATGTCAAATATTGTTCATTCAGTAGTAAACGGGGAAAGGAAATTTAACATATTCCTGCTTTTTAAAGTTCCCCATATAAGTGGTGGATGAACAGCAGAACTAAATTATAAACCAAGACGTTTCCTATGAGTTAATCCACCAGTAGTTTGATTTACTGGATGTCCGCTGTGTGGACAATTCTGTTTCAGCCTCCTGCTATATTTTTAGAAACGGCTGCTTATGCGCTTATTGCTGCCCAAAACAATAGTGATTGGTTTAAAGAAACACAAAGAGACAATGATAATAAAGTGGAGCCACACGCAGCTGACGCAGCACTGTGGAGAGATTAATGTAACATACATTTCTATGGTTACTTCAAATACCGAGCACTTTATACTTTTCAAAGCTTATTTCAGTATTGAATTAGATGTCGAAAGAAATGTGTATGTTGTTCTGAAGGTGGTGGTACCTCAGGGAAAGGAACCTCCCTGCTTTCTGCAGCTTTTCCAGGGAGGCCTTGTCATTCACAAGGGGAAGCGAGAGCAGGCCTGCATTAATGCAGGTACTGTACAGTAAGGGCACATTTCTGTCCTCCCGTATCCATTCTCTTTTTGCTTTTTGTCATTTTATTAAAAATACAAAATACTTGTGTGTGTGTGTTGCAGCAGAGTGGCATTTGTTCTGTGTGCGAGGTGAGCTGCCAGAGGAGGGCTCTCTGTTGGAGGTGGATTGCTGCTGTGCAGGCCTGAGATCCAGGGGCTCTGTGGTCCTCCTCAACAGCCTGCAGGGCGTCCTCTACCTCTGGACTGGCTGCAAAGCTCTCAGCAGCTTCAGAGAGGTCAGCAAGAGGGTGGTGGAGCAAATCACTGAAACGTGAGTCTCAGTCACTGCGTGCCCAACGGCCCAGTTTTTAACATTGAATGTTGAAGTCATTGTTCAGGCTGTGGATTGCACCTTTGATGTGTTAGGTGTCCACCAGAGTTGGGTCTCAGCAAAAGCAGCCCTTTGACAGTGCAGGTAGTGGAGGAAGGTTCCGAGCCTGCGGACTTCTGGACTGCGCTGGGCCAAATGGACAGGAAGGCCTACGACTGCATGCTGCAAGGTAGTAAAACGGCTTATTTTTAACCCAGAATATTTCTTTCAGCTCTGTAAATCGTACAATCAGTTAAAAAAAATTCCCTCTTCCGTCAGATCCAGGAAAGTATAACTTCACTCCTCGTCTCTTCCACATGAGTGCCTCCTCTGGGAGTTTCCAGGCCGAAGAGCTGCAGAGTCCATCGCGGCTGCCTGGACTCGTGATGGCAGCACCGTTTGTCCAGGAGTGTCTGTACTCTGTGCCACAGCCGGGTACATTGCCAGCACACCAAACGAAAAACTCCAACTTAATTTGATTATGAATCTAATTTCTGTCCACTTTATTGTATATTAATTATATCGCCAAATTTTGTTGTTTGTCCGCCAGCCTTGTTCCTGCTTGACAACCGTCTGGAGGTCTACCTGTGGCAGAGGGGGGAGCCTGAGCAGACACAGGGCTCGGATTCGGCCCTGAGCTGCTGGCATGACGAGAGGCGGTGCGCCATGGAGACGGTTCTGCAGTATTGCAAAGGTGGGAGGAAGATACTCGATGAGAAAAAGGCGTGGAAATTAAAGGCTCACTGGTATGTTTTTTTTTTTTTTATCCCTGTATCCCAGAGATGAACCCAAGACGCCCACCGCAGGCCTACCTCATATTTGAAGGGTTAGAACCTCTCACCTTCACAAACGTGTTCCCCCGCTGGGAGAGGAGCCTGAGACCCCACACACCGGTATGACCACCACACAGTGAAATCTATACATCTACTCTTCTTAATGTTGTAGTCTAGAGTCTAGACATTGCTACAGCTTGACTAGTCCAGTCATAGCAAAATCTCTCCCTTTCCCCGGGTATGTTTGATTTACGTGTCAGGGCGATGCGGAGAGGGCGAAGCTGACCTTGGTGCAGGACGCCCTGGCCCAGCTCACGAAGACCCAGTACGCTGTGGAGGAGCTGCTGCTGAGGCCGTTACCCGAAGGAGTGGACCCCCAGCGGCTGGAAGTCTACTTGTCTGACCAGGACTTCCAGGTAAACGGAGGGAGAAGCGCGCACTGACGTCTATCAACCAGCAGGCGGCAGTGTCTGCCATGTTTTGCCAGTGAAAATGAACGCACTAACGTTTATAACAGGATTATAAATCCCGAGAAGAAGTCTAAAGTTTCTTTTTTTTCTCCAAAGTATTTAATTATATTAACTACATTTTCACATTATTTCCTCTGTAAATAAATCACCACAATTATGTTTCAGACTATTTTGCAGATGAAGAGAGACGAATATGCCTCCCTCCCAAACTGGAAGCAAATTGATCTGAAAAAAAGCAAAGGGCTGCTTTGCTAGACTGCGAAAACTAATGGAGGCCGACTGTGGCTGCGGCAGCAAGGACTGAGAAGATGGCGGCGGCACAAAGGACTGCTTACAACGTTATAAAAAGAGAGGAAGAAATTCATTTTTATTGATGTCAAACTAATTTGAGTGTGTGAACTCTTTATCAGACATGGATCTCTCTGTAGCTGTTGGTCAGAGCAAAATACAAAAAAATAATTTTCCTATAAAAGTTTGTCTGTATAAATCAATGAAAGGGAAAAGGAAAAGCTGTGTGGGAGTGAAGGGAAAACATCAGTAACAAACTGTGCATAAACAAGGCTTCAAAGCTAAAAAAAACACACAATGTAAACAAGAAAAAATAAATGACTAACCACTTTCTACAGGTTTCCTTCTCGTTTGATACGTTTACATCAAAACATCTTTGCATGCTGGATGCTGCTGTTTTTACTGAATCTCATTTGATTGATTTGTCAAACCCGCTGCTTCTCGTCGTGATTGTCACTAAAACCTTAAAACTACCGCGTTTGCCTCAATGATGTGTATTTTACAGCAGTGCGTCACACTGATTGTGGTCATTTCTCTGCCTGCCTTGTGCGTGTACAAAGGTTAGTGTGTATTGTGTGTATTGCAGCTTAAGCCCATGTGTTCATTGTGACAGGCTAATGCCTTATTAGGACTCCTTGGGGATTCGCTATTAGCTACGCATGGGAGAGCTGGTAGACATGCTCCAATAACATCCCTCTGGCCCCAAAACAACACGCTAATTCTGCTCCACCTCAATCAACACAACTTCGCTAACGGCCTCACATAACACGGCAAAACATAAGAACACACCGTACCTCTGTAGTGGGGGGGCGCTCAACATTTCTGCTGATGGCGATGCACTTGGCACTGTGATATATGTGTAATATTCTTATTTCTGGACAAATCTAGATAAAAAAAGTTATTACCAGAATAAAGGAAGTGTTTCTTGACTAGATGTCTAGTTCTGACTTTCAGAGAAACAGGAAATATCATGAATATCTGCTCCGATTTTTAAGGCAAAAGTCGCAAGACTGTATCACAGCGTTGGACCCGCTGAAGGCTTCCCAGAAAGAGGCAATGCATCACCAAAGTCAATCGGATTTATCCTCTTTGGGACCAAGAATGTCTGTCCAAATGGTTGCGCTAATCCATTGAGTAGCTGCTAACGGACGAAAGTGGTGCTTCTCCATCGTTCCACAGCCTCAATTAATCGTAGTACAATGCAGCAACGGGACGAAAGGGAATTTTTCAACGGGGAAACTACTCTTAACCTGCTGCTGATGTGGCTAAAAGTGCTGCCGTTATTTGGTAACAACTCACAGACCAGCTATTTCTAACTGCGTACGAGTATCTGAGGGATGTTTGAGCACCTCCACAAGTCACGCTGACCCAACACATTGTAAAGTAGTCTGGTTACTCTACCATTGGTCCACTGAGCAGGAACCCCTTTGGGTTCACTGGCTAACTGGATGTTGTGTTCCTCAGAATGGATTAGCTGACTAAGCCTCCATGTGACTGTGCAGGGCTGGCGAGATTGGATTTAGGCCCACCGCTGGGTAATGGCGCACCCAAGAAAGACATTTCCAAAAGACCTTTCCATCACTGGCAGTTTGAACAGAACAAGTTGAAAAAAAAAATAGCTGCTGTAGGATTACACTGCATGACCCTCACCTATATCTTTGTGTGACCCCCTACTTACTATTTAGCTTTAGCGAATGCGGCAGAATCTCAAGCACTTTTTGGTAAGGATATGATGAAGAAACAAAGTCGCTTCTTTTATGTGAGGAGTGGAAATGAGGGACGGGGTCAAGTCACGTAATTCATCAACCCGTGTTAATCTGGACTGGACGATGAATTTGGCAGAGCGTGCCTATTCTACACTGCTTCAACAGAATATGTGCTTGAGTATAGTAGCACACGGATAACATGGACGTGTTGTATTTTGGGTCAGTATCTGTTTCTATGTCTAGATGGCCTGCTCCCTCTGTGCGTCGGCTCCGGGAAAATTCCGATCCGGTTCGGAGGCCAACGCCGCCTCGCGCAGAACCACCATGTGATCCTCGGCAGCGTTAAGCGACTGGTCGATCCAGTCCATGCTGCCAGACATGTGACAGGCGTTGCGAGTGACCAGCACCAGGTGGCTGACTGAGAGGAGGAGAGCGGTGGCCCTGAGAAGAAGGAGAAAAGGATTCAATTTAAAACCCTAATTTCCCTGAAAAGCTCTGAAAATGAAGCAAAAACAGGCGTAGAAGGGCCTGTTGAGCTGAAGAGCTGGTGGAAATAGCACTGCATGTATCCATGGTTATTACAATATAAAGAAATCAAGTTGTGTGGTTGCTCCTCTCGCCTCTAACGGATCGACCAAAGATGAGGCTCTATGGATCAAACAGGCAGAGTCACCACGACAAAGTTCGTTCAAAAGATGGAACAACATGTGATTACCTGGCGTCCAGGAGGATTGGATCCAGAGGAGGGTACATGGACCGGACCACGTCGTCCACCCTGTGAGGAGGTGCAGAAGCACGTCAGACGAGGGAGTAATGGGTCAGCGAGAGTGGTGAACAGATCTTGTACTATACCGAGGGCTGATGCGTTTGGCCACACTGATGATGTCACTGAGGCTGGCCGGTGCTTTGACCTTTGCGCCTGAACCCATTGTCATGGCAACCAGCTTTTCAGTCAAAGTGTGACAAATCTGTATGTGGAAGTGATATGTTAGAATCAGCGGCTACGACTATGGACCGAAAATTGAAGGAAAGGCTGTAAGAAATGCAATGACCTTTAGGATGGAGATGCAGTGAGAGACCAATCCACTGTGGAGAAAAATCACAGAATGAATACCATAGTTATTTAAGTAGCAATAGTAGTGTAGAAATACTTTGCTAAGTTGAGTAAATATCGTATAGAAAATGATCAATGAGAAAATGATTAGCATGGAAATATACTTGAGTGCCAAAATAAAAGATACTCCTTATGGGGAATGACCAATTTCACAATAGATTATTAATAATGAATATTTTGGATTATATTCATAGTTGTGTACATTGCTGTAATATTTCAGCTAACATTTTCCCTCCGGGGAAGATCTTATCTTAACCTCTAATAATACACCATGTTTTATTTGTTGATCCTATTTTTTTATATTAATCAGAATTCTGAAATTAACTTTGGTTTTAAAAGAAATGTAGTGTATTTAAAAGTACTAGTTTTGGGGTAGAGGAACAAAGTATGAGAACATATAAATACTTAAGTAGAGTACAATAATCTCAAGAGTACAATACTTGAGAAAATGTACTTAGTTAGCGGGAGCATTAGGAGAGGTCACTCAAAGTTCCCAAAACGTTAAACTAACGTCCCGCTATAATGGCACCAGTAAGACGTACGAGGCGTCCTCTATCCAGTCCTCGTTCTCCAAGATGGCCTCAATGTGCGGGTTGGTGATGACCACGTCATCCAGCTCCAGCTCCGACTGCTCACTCTGGGTCTCCATGGCTCCAATCAGATCCACTGTGGGTCTGTAAAACACAACAGGGAAAGCAGAGGAGGCAAAGCTGGATTACCAACCAGAACGTCCCAGTTCCATTGCATTCACATTGGCTGTGGGGATAGATTGCACCAGTAAAACAGGTTTCAGTGGTGATGGTTCACTTCTTGTTTAAGGGATCCTGTGTCTCTGCTCACAATGGATGTGCGCTATGCGGTTCGTTGTATTCATTGTGAATTTGGGGGCAGCAGTGCACAGATACACGTTTGGTGGGTCGTGAGGGAATAAATTAGGGTCCAATAGGGGAAATCTCAGCCCTTGTAGGTTGTGGAAATCCACATTACATATGATTTTGGACCTATAATTAGGAACAACAATCAATAATACGAAAACAAACCCAGAAACCTTTTGGTCAACATATGGTAACCAATCACATCAATTGGATGGAAATGGAAAATAATCCCAAAAGACATTGATTGTAGATGTAAATGTTCAACTGATGTTGGGATGAACATAAAACGGAGCACATCTGTGCTAGTAACACTTTAGTTTACAGCATCAAACATCTGTGCACAAAACGTGACAGCCGAGCTGAGAACAAAGTAACAAACATCTGATGGTACTTTTTACTACATTTTGTCAGCGAGACCGTGTGGTGGAGATGCTTGATATTGGTTCACTGACTTGGTGTCGAAGGGGTGCAGCTGGTGGTGAGGATAGCGGTAGCGGTGTCTGCACACCATCACAAGGGCGACGAAGGAGGCCAGGAAAATGGTGGCCAACACTCCAATGGCCACGATCACCACCGTCTCCATGGCGACTCCGGCTTCCAGGGCGGCAGCAGGGAGCAACTCGTTCGATAGGAAAGAAAGCGTTGCGGGGTCGTCTGATTGTGCGAGCTCGATTGCGGATGCTGGCTCATCTGTCGAGGAGAGTAATCAAGAGTTTCAGTCTGATCGGGCGACATCGAGCCCCAGAAGAGTTCAAATATTACCGTACTTGATCATATTCCTGCAAGATAATTCCACTATTTCTACTCTTGTCTAAAGCCAAGGCAACGGAGATGAGAATACAGTTTCAGACGTTTGCCATGTTTTGGGTTAGTTTCTAAATGCGGCACACCTTCGACTCACATGAAACTGATCTTTATCTAAGTAACCCACACAGAGAGCTGAGGTGCACTTGTTGTTGCTTGTTTGCATTTCATGATATGATGATAACAGTGTGTTTGCTATGCAGACTTTTTTTTGATAAATCAGATTTTGGTAAACCCTATATTGCTTCTATGCTTTAAAAATCATCCCAAACTTTAAGATCTGTGTGACGATTTCATGTTTGTCTTCACTTTGATTAGCCAGCAGCAAACACACACACACGCACACACACAAACCCTCAAACAAAGAAATAAACCGTGGAACAAAACTCTCAACAACTTTTACCATCTGATGTTTTCAGTGCCTTTACTTTCGGATTAAGTTGATTTTAGGTGACGTGCCTCTCTGCAGCAGTGTGAAGTGCACCTGCCCATCTAGTCAATCATTAACCCGCCCTCCCTCACCTGATCCCTGATGAGTGATGTGAGTAAACTCTGTGGCGGAGGGCTGTCATTGGCTAACCAGACAGCTCTCTTGGTAAAGTAGAATATCATTGACCGAGTTGTGTGTGCTGTTACAAGACCACAATGCAGCGGAACTTTACAACATGTTAAAACTTCTTTCCCGCACGATTACGTGAGATTCTGCTATGGAATGCTGTAATTCTTTAATCAGATTAATTTGCTGTATCGTACAGAGCTTTCTCCTGCCCCAAAGCCTCCCCGACTCCCTTTTCTTTTCTAGAAATCCCTCTGCTAAAATAGAAAAGTGACTGGAGGTATTTTAGGTCACAGAAAGGGACTTTTTTTAGGGGAAAGTCTTAGCCTTAATGCTGAGAACCTACTTTTAACACACAAGTAGTAAAGTTGTGAGTAGTAACTAAGCTCATTTCCTCAGTTCTTTTTAAGGGGAAATATTTGACTTTTTACGCCATTATGTATCTGAAGATTTCATAGGCCTCCTAAGTTTAGGATGAGCTATTAGGAAACTGATCTGAAACCTAAGCTGCTGCGCATTGCATAGTCAGATTTTACATGGAGAACCCGTTTGGTCTGCCTAATAGAAAGTCCCTGTTCTGCCTGAAGAGAGCTGCGATGTGACAATGTGCATATAAGAGATAAATACAACTTTACTTTATATCTCACCATGCTCCCTTTTCTCCCTGCAGTGTATCATTAACGCGCACAATTACGTGTTTTATTTCACAAATACACAACATCGGAACACTAACAAGCACAATAAGTCAGTCCCACTCAAAGTCTACTGAGCCTTCCTAAAGATAAACAATACAAACTTTTGAATTTGAATGAAGAACAAAAACAATCGATTACTTACCAAAACATGGTTTCCTTCACGTTGAACTACTTTTAGGAGACAAAATACTTTCCTCTCTGGCAGGAAGCGCGCGGAGACGGCGCCGACATCTCCGAATCTCCGGCGTGAACGCGCACAGACTTGAGTTGACGCCGCCTGCGAGTGACCGCGCGCGCGCCTCGAGACCGCCGGGAGCGACGCGCGTCCTCGCGCATCCAGACGTCAGTGCCGCAGCGGCGTGCGGAAAGCGCGCTCTCGCTTCCCTGTTCGTTAACGCCAAATTGCACGGATGCGATAGCGAGATGCAACACGCGGGTTAAAGCCAGGTGGCGTGCGCGCACCGCCGCAGTGCTGCTGCGTTGTCAACGTGCGGGAGAAGGTTGAAGACGTGACCATTTTGGACGCTTCTGTGTTGTGTTGACGCGCGGCACGAGGAGTTGGTTACGAATGATAACGGTAAACTAACGCCACTGCTAAACGTGGCATGTGTGAGTCCCCCCACCTGCCACCTGCCACCTGCCACTGCGTTACGCCTGTCTCAGTCCACGCAGTAGCACTGCTCCTAGATTGAAAATGTTTCTTTTTGTAAAACAGCTAAATGTACACTGAAGTATTATGTAAAATGATATTTTTGGCAAAATGGTCCCATTAAGAGATATTATTATTATGGATGTCCTATTATTTGTTGTGGTGAAATAAGTATTTATTGGAAACCCCAAAGTAAAGATCTAGACATCCTCATCAATCATGATTCCTATATCTTGAAAAAACAAGACTGATTTAAACGATGTATGTACCACCATGTAGTCTCACCTACAGTAATGAATCCTATAGATTTTGTACTAATAATCGAAATCTGCAAAGTAACCAATAACTAAATGTCTTAAATACATTGAAATGAATGTAGATTAGAAGTGTAGTATAAAGTAGCATTTTAAAGAAATGGCTGTACACCTACCTCAACATTATACCAATCGTGTGTGGCTTAAGGGAATCCTTTTGAAAAAATAGATTAAAACATTCATAATTATGCTTTCATTATTGTATGAGCTGAAAATAAGACTTGTGTTTTATGTAGCTTAGACCGAGCCCAGAACAGTGATGATCAGATCAAAAAAACAGCACGTTGTTTTTAAACGGTAAACAGAGCTTGCCTTCACAGTTTGGTGCCTTTTCTCATACATTGATCGTCCACTCTTCCTGGCTTGTTCCACGCAACCTGCGGAGATAATTATCCCCCGACTGAATGCAGCATAAAAGCAGGTTACCTCAACGCGGAGCCTGCAAAAGCTGGTTAACGTTTGAGCAGTCCTGCCAATCACAGCGATGCATCGTTAGTGCAGCATTCTGGGACATGTCTTTGAAGTTTTTCTCTGCACAAAAATAGATCCCAGATTAAAATGATCTTTAACAACACGAGCCTTGGTTGAAGAAGGAAGTATGGATTTTTATAGTTTCCCTTACACACCTTGTCAACTCAACACCATTGCAAAGAATGATAAATGACATCCGCCCCTTCATCCAACCTTGCCTGTGGTCGGTCAGTGGCCTTTCTTCTCGTCTAACTGGAGTTCTCCAACATCTATATCTGAAAAAAAAATCACACTGGACCACTCGACCGTCTTATTGTTCATCAATGGCCGGCAGCTGCTGAGTGTTATACAGTATTGAGCAGCAGCAGAGCTAATCAGTAATAGTCGATTCATGCTGAAAGTAGACCCGTCAAGCTGTAATTTAACCACCGACTTACCTTGAAGCTGCCAAGGTGTCCTTCAGGAGAAAAGGAACTGTGGATGAATGAATTTACATGTTTTTCCCTCAGGGTGTGAAACGTTTTATTCCTTTGGTGCAAGAATTTGATAGTTAGTATATTAGTATTTAGTATATTAGCTGTTCGTCTATGTTAGTACAAACAAACTGCTAAGACTGCTGGGAAATGCAGAGGAGAAACATAAAAACAATATATGCTATTTAAATAATTTATTATTTATAATTAATTTTAATAATATTTTTTTTTTATAATTTAATATAATTAAACGGATAAACTAAAATGTTTCATGGACAACAACCCTTTTTTAAATTACGGCTGAAATATGACGTCCACAATGACCAAACAAAAAAGAAGCCACTACATATTCTTGCCACTGAGTTGCAGTAATATCTAAGTTACAATCTCCCATTAAAAATAATCCAAAACAGTGTGAAACATCCCTCTGGGTTGCGACTGACAACACTCTTTGTGTTTGACGTCTGTTGTTGACAGAGTGGCTGTGAATCTCCTCAGTGTGTCGTTTAGGCGGAAAATCAATCAACTTTGGCAGTTTCTAACTGTGTGGTTCTGAATTTTTCTGATGTGTAGGATTGTGATTCAATTCAAGGTCTCCATGAACTTCTTTACATTAAAGCGATACATTGAAGCTCATATTTCTTTGCATGAATTGAGGCTATTTTTCAACTGAGCAGAAAATGAAAAATGTTTGCTGGAAAATAGAAAGTACATATTGGAAAATATTACCAGCCTGTCCAAATTTTTGTCAGAGCCCGTGTGACGCCTATTGTATGACTATGTTATGTGTTTTGCAGGGCTGTTAATGCCTCCCAGATTTGAGGAAAAAAATGTCTTTCTTATCAGCCCTCTGAAGCTGGAGGCAAACCATGACAACACCGTCTGCAACAGGAGTGCTGGGGAAGAACAGAGGAAACCCGTGAATGCTGCAAATGAGGCGTTATTTGAAAACATGTGGTCCGAGGTGAAAGTAAGATACAAAGACAAACCCCAATAAACACCAACAGGAATAATAACTGTGTTTGATACTGAGTTTGGTTCGTACGGTTAAGACCGAAACGCAAAAGCCACCAACACCCCCTGATGGGGTTTGTGCGTTGTGCATAAGGAATCCTCACTTCCGATTTTTATTTTGCATTTACAGTTGGACAACATGGGATTTTGTGCAGCGGCATTTAGCTTTAATGAGCACGCACTAAACGAGACACCTCAGCATGGCTGCCTCAACTGCATCGTTTTTTAATTTGTTATTAATTCAATGACAACCGATACAAATGTAGTGTGAGTTTGTTAATGTGTGATTTTTTGAAAAAAACAAAACAAGCTAAATCTCTAATAAAAAATGTCTTGTTCCAGTCACAAAAGTAACAGTCAAATGATGTCTAACATGGTGTTTTCTCCACATATACATCTCTTCCTCCAAAGAAAGCCTTCAGTCCCATTGTTTGCTTCTATTACAAATTAAAGAATAATCTAAACTTCTGGTGTAACTTATGACATTGCAGCATCTACACTAAGCTCTTCAGGAGCAGCCGTTGTTTAAAACAGAAAGTTGATCCTCTGTGTCTCACACGCAGATGGAAGCCTCACCTGCAGCTGTAGCTCCCAGCAGCAAGACTTCAGCACATTTAGTCCAAGAATATTTGGCACTAAAAGGGGAACACAAGACTTTGTGGAAAGAAATAACCAGGAGGAAGACTGTGTCACAGTGTGAGATCCATCCAGTGTTGTCTTGTCTGCTGTGATGGAATTGACCAACATATCATGGCAATGTGAATAGATTAATTTACATTGAGGCAAATATACAGCAGGAAGAATCTATGAAAATATCTTTAAGATATGATTGATTGGAACTATAAAAATATGAAGTAAAATGAGTAGAGTTACGTATATCTGGTATATTTCATAAATGGATGAATCTGAATAGATCAGCCAATAAATTCACTTTTATCTTTACACAGAATATTTCAAGTGCCATTTATGATCAAGTTCTTCCTTTAATATCCTTGTTTCATAAAACCTTTTTATGCTCAAAAGGTCTTCTGCCTTTTCATCATTTTAAAAGCCAATCTTCTGAGTAGAGCGACTTAAAAGTCTCTTGACTTTCAGAAAGGGGCTCAGAAAAGAAAAAGTCCAGAAGCAAAACAAGACTTTTTCTGAATGCACCCAGCTTTACCCGAGGGACCTCCGATCCCCGTGGCTCCAAAGGCTTACACGACTTCCCATTGCAGCTGAGCAAAAATTGCTGGAAAATCTCGGCAACTGAGACGGATACAATGGCGCAGGGTGTGGTGGGCTCAGATAAATGGTAGCGGGACACAGCGGAGTATGGTACAAATAACCGTCCTTGAGAATCAAAGAATCCAGCAGGCTTTTAGCCAAATGGCTCAGCTTTCCTTATTTTGCTCGTCTCCTCAGTGATGCTGAAATCCCTTTCTTGGCAGCCAAGCAGAAAAACAGCAGACATTTTCCTTTTGTTGCTTTTAAAGCAGATTAAAGGATGTTGTAGTCTGGCAGAGCTTGCGCTACTTGCATCCTGTAGTATAGTCCTATAGGTCTATGGTGTGTACTCTGTGCATAGTTCGTATGGCAATACAATCCTCTGAGTTTACATGATATGGAAGATGAGGTTTATTATGTATGTACAAAATCAGTTTAGTGACAAAGGGATTATATTCCTCTATTATTCAAAAATTAAGTATATAATAGGATTTGAAGTGACAGTCTGTGTGCGTGTTTTTTTTCAAAGTTCTTTAATGTTTTATACGGTAATTCTAACTTTGTTTGAGTTATACAACCATAGCTGACAATGTGTGGCAGAGGAGCTGTTCCTTTGTGATCCACTCGACCCTCTTTCCGTCATACTTAGTCAGCAGATGATTCATTTCACGTACACTTACACAGAAGGGCATTTTCTTGAAATTATAGCACTACATCCCTTCACAGGACTCCCTGCAGCTTCGCTTTAACATCATCACGCGGTTACACTGTGCCTGTGTGCCAGAGGGGTTTTTGGCTCCAGACCAAGTGACCACAGCTGAATATTCTACATATTTTTTTTATTAAAGGCAAAAAAAACTGCAGCGTGAAGTCACCCTGAGAAAAGAACTTTTGTTGAGCGTCATGCGGCGCCACTGGCTGTTTTGAGCCGTCCGTGTTTTCCACCTCTGTGCTTCGTTCCTTCTGAGTTCACTTGAGTATGCTGGCTGGGAGGCAGAAGTCATTTTTTATTTTAACAAACAGATGCAACATCCTTCCACTGTTTTAACAAATTAGCTTAAAGTGTTGTGTGTACATTTTTTGTTGCTCCAGAAGTCTGTGTTTTGATGGACAGAGAGGTTTACGGATGACAAATCCAAATTTTTCACTCTCCACGTTCAGCAAGAGACATTTCCCTTCCTTTTACTGTAATCCCCCCCTCATTGCTGATGATATAGTCTCTCTATTTCTGTC